CTGCCCCTAAAATTTCCCTGTCTAGACCCAAAGCTGTTGGCCAAGAACCAATGTGGAACACCTTGTGCGCGCACTGTGTTAAATCCGGCAAGGAAACGAGAAGAACAGAGAACAAGAAATGGAGAGTTCTAGAGAAACAACGAAACGCGATAGCTTTGTGGGCGATTTTCTGGGGGTTTTCTCATTCAACTGAATTGTACAAAATGGAAATCTACTTATACTCTAAAACAGAAAGAGAATCCTAGGCCTAAATCGTGTCATCCCACGATCCGGAACTCCTGGACTCAACGCTACGCAAGCCGCGCAAAACTCACGCCCACAACGCACGCCTATCGCGGTCGCCACCATCTGCAGCTCGCCACATCTCTCGTGCATGCATAACAAACTCCTAACGGATTTTATTATTCCAGCCGTTGCATCTGCCACCAGCAGAAATAACAATCTCAAGAAAAGCTATGTCAGATTTGGAGAATGGGTGCTTTTCTATTACAGTTCTCATTGGATGGCCATAATTCAAGATTATTGTGAGTCTAATTTTTGGATCAGCATCATCAACAGATACCCAATATGACTTCTAATCATTTTTGCTCTTCACTATAGGGGAACGCTCCCAATACTCATGCGAGGAAAGGGATCAGGAGGTTGGGAGCGAATTCTGTTTCTGTTTAGGGTGAAGAGACATTTTATCGTTAAAAGTTATTTTCTGATATTTATTGGAGAAGACTTCATTCACATCTACAAATCTAATTAAGAACTCTGAAATCACCATTGCAATCCCCCAATTTGTTGTGGGAGATGGGGAGGATTTGTGTACCAAAACCTGCCTGTTTATGGTCACAAAATCTGAACAAACCCGCAAGAAAAATAAAGCAGCAGTGAATGATCACTTCAGGGATCATACATGTATCCACAGAATGCATACAGTGTGAATCTCAGAAAGTTAGTCTCAAACACGCTACTGACAAGTGATAACTGATGAGTGATGACAAGGACAGCAGATTTTGTTCAGCACTAATATCCGAGTCTCGATTCTAGATCATGAAGGGGATCGATGAACTGTAATTTCACATAACATAGATGCACAACAGCTGCATTACAACATAATCATCATATAACAGTAATACAGATCTAACCCAATGAACGAATAATATCCCATCCCAAGATGCAGTAATGCATCAAACAGTACCACTATTTTTTTTTCTTCCAAGAACTCACAGTTCTCAGTTCTTCTTCCTTCTCAAACACCCGCTACTTGTCTCGCAGAAGTCCATTCTTGGATGGATCACACCTGAAAAGGCCATGGCCAGGTGCCGGCGCCGTCCTCGCCGCCGACCTTGGCGCTGCGGCGCAGCGGGTTGCCGCCGCACTCCCTGTCGACGTAGGCGTAGTACCTCAGCACGAAGGCGAGGGCGAGCGCGATCCACTCGAGGCAGAAGATGGCCACGCCGAGCCCGCCGATCATCCTCAGGATGACGGCGCCGTCCTCCTCGCGGACGTAGGACTTGAGGCCGTCGGCGAGGAAGTCCGAGGTGCGGGAGAAGGTGAGCACGGCGGCGGCGCCCTGGAGGATGGAGACGAAGACGGTCCCTGCCATGTGGGTGGTGTAGACCCGCCCCCTCGGCGGGTCGGGCGCCGCGATGACGGCGCACCCGGCGACGGCGGCGGCGACGGTGATCGCGTGGAGGAGGATGAGGAGGAAGCCGTCGACGGAGGGCACGAGGCGGAGCGAGAGCGTGAGGAAGCCGCACCCGGACGCCGCGCCGAGGATCATGTAGTTCGACACCAGGAACGCGCGGCGCGCGCGGCGGTGCGCCGGGGACGCCGAGTCGCCCGCCGGCGGCGCGATTACGGAGAGGCCACCCATCTGCTTCTGCTGCTGATGCTGCTGCTGACTGCGACCGAGGAGGTGAGGAGGCGGAGGCGCTTGTGCGTGCGTGGATTGCGACGAGGAGAGGAGATCGTAGTGGGGAGTGAAGTGTGGAGCGGTGGAGGAGGCGGTGAAGCTTTAAATGCGCGGAGGAATCCGACCGTTCGAGGTTGAGGAGGAACGGGAGGGAGGGAGACGACGAAGGCGCGGGGCGGAGCACCAACGGCTAGTTGGAAAAGCGCGCGCGGGGAGAGAGAGAGAGGGGGGGGGGGGGGGGGGGGACGAGCCGGCCGTTGCGGACGAAGCCAGGCTGGATGGGCCCATCTTCTCGTGGGGCCCACTTGTCGGTAACAAAGCTGGAAGCATCTTCCCGTTGCTACTTGCTAGCTTTTCGGTTTTTTTCACGGCTCTGCTCATCTGGTTCCTCGTACTTCCCGGATTATGCGGAAATTTAAATGTTGCCTGTGAAATGCCATTTAAAAATCTCGTGAATATAAAAAAGGGTCTCGTGAAAGTCATGGCATGGTACGAGTGACTTTGAGCTTACGGCGGAAGTGCACGAGTTTTTTCGTTTCTTGATAGCAAAGTGACTAGAGAGTGTGCATTTTTTTCCTCCCCGCAAAAAAACAAAGTGAACGGGCATTTTGATTTTTAGAAACGGGGCAATAATTTGAGCCCGTGCTTTTCCTCTGAATGGCGGCCTATTCAAGGGCATGTCTAGTGGGCAGATTTAAATACTTCAATGATGATACTCGAAGAGGAGATTCCAAGAATAATAAAAAAAACAACGAACTGAGATGAAGATATTTCTATGCCAAGCAATAATATGGCATGCATCAGTTCGCTGTTTTTTCTTTCCTTGATTACAATATTATCCACTATCAATTCTACTCCCTATATATGTTTCATAATACTCTGTTACATATTATAAAATGCTTTAATTTTTTCTTAAGTCAATCTTTTCTAACATGAATTAAGTTTATAGAAAATACATCAGTATCTACCAAGGAATATGGATAGTGTATTTGTTTGGTTTTATAGATGTTAATTGTTTTTCTATAAATTTAACCAAAATTAAAGAAATTTGATTTAATACAAAACTATAGTTTCTTATCATGCGGAGTGGAGGGTGTACGACTTAGAAGACGGTTTCATTCAGACCATGGGCTAATCTCACTAATTCGGAGTAAAGAGAATAATTTACAGTTCAGCTTTCTTTTTTTTTCCTCTTTCTTATGAATGATTTCGTAATTCTCTGAGCTCCTTTATGGTTATAAGAAGCCTGCATGGTCTTATAAGTTCTCCACATTAAATGATGTTATAATTGTACAATACACAATTCATATTGTTAAGGAAGCAAGTTATGCCGCAGCTACAACAAATATGAAAAGTTTTTGATAGTTATATTCATACATAGAAAGCAAAGTGTCGTGTGAAAAACCAAACAAGTTGTAAGTAGCAACCTTTCAGTATAGGGACTTCGACGTATAGGAGTTGCTACCTTGTCAAAAATCTTTGTAGCTAGTATATCAACTTTCCAATTGGCACCTCTACTCTGCTGTCAATGAGATTTATCTACCAACTAAAATATTTCAGAACTATCGTCTCAGATATGAAAATATCTCAATTATCAAGTCGATTGCTTTGTATGGTCGGTTTCAAGAAATTTTTAACGCTTTAACCGTTGACTGCACATAGGTTTAGGCCTGGTTTAGTTCCAAACTTTTTTTTTCAAACTCCCAACTTTTCCATTACATCAAAATTTTCCTACACACATAAACTTCCAACTTTTCTATTACATCGTTCCAATTTCAACCAAACTTCCAATTTTGGCGTGAACTAAACACACCCTTAGTAAACAAAAAGCTTCTTGCGTCTTATCAAATGAAAGCATGTAGGTTTAGCTGTGGCCTACGGCCTGGGTGTCAACTGTCAAAGCCCATGTAGATATATGCAATTCACTTTCGATCCCTTAACTATGGTTTAGTTTCATTCGCATCCCTAAACCGCAAACCGGGTGTAGAGCATCCCCTAACTACCAAAACCAATGTAAATTTGGTTCATTGGTGGTGCAAACATCGTCACTCTTGTTGGGTTTCGACTTTGATGGCTATGGTTGTCGGAGGAGTAGCACCGCCAAGCCATGCACCCTTATTTGAATATGAGAGGAGGGATTTGAGGGGAGACGTTGGAGCATCAACCTTGGCAAGGATGTTTGCTCGCCTGAATCTAGCGATGCTAGTCGACCTCAACGACGAGGTGGCGTAGTTCGAACTCGACAACAACGCGGCACAAATTGCCCTCTCCCTCGCCTTTGTCCTCTCCTTCTTCGCCGCAGTGGATAGCCATGGCCCCATCCTTCGCAGGCGCCCACCGCCGTTGCTGCCTTCCGCGGAGAGACTGGGGCGTTCGAGCTCCTGCCTGCTCCCTCGCCTCCCTCTATTATGTCCCTCTTCTTCGCCTTCGTCCTCTCCTCCTTCACCACCAAGGACCAACGGAGCCCCCTCCTCTACAACCACCCACTATCGTTGCCACCTCCCACAAACAGGTTGTCGAGATTGAGCTTGCCAGGATCCACCATCACTGAGACGCTGACTCCTCATTCGGAGAAGGGCATAGAAGGAGGAAGTGATGAAATGTTTCACTAACATGTGGGGCCACCGTATTTTCTTTCTAATTTAGTGCCACATAAGCGCTACGTCAACCAAAAGCCCAAAACTGCTGGTAATATTGCCGAGGCTCTCGATTTATACTGGTTTTAAAAGTTGGGATATACTATTATACCCGGTTTTACGGAGGGATGCAAGTGAAACTCAACCCATAGTAAGGGACGTCGAGTGAACTTTATCCATATATTTCATCATGCAATTCTCTTGTTGGCCTATTAAGCAGTGGGGCTGCCCTAACGCCTGGCCCAATCTTAGGTCCGCAACTCTAAAACATTTTTTCACAAAATAAATCATGTAAATTAACATTAAGAAGAAATATGTAAAAAGTCAGCAAAGTTTAAGTAAAACTGCTGCCAGGAAGGGTTCAATCGCTTCAGATATGCAAGATCGAACCGATCTCGACCGTGAACTCTTCATCGGACGGACAGCGGCTTTCCCTCGGAGGGCAGAAGCCGCAAAACCGACCCTGGTCTCGGATCATTCTGGAAACCCCAGCCTCCAAACCGCGCCCCCAAATTCCCCCTCTTCCGCCTCTCCGGCCGCCGCGTCGTACACAACCTCGCGCCGGTGAGCGGCGGCGCCGACGAAGCAGGACTCCCTCCGCCCAGCCCCATTCTCCCGCGTGGGGGGATCCATGGAGGGCGGCGGCGAGGTGGGCTGGTACGTGCTCGGCCCGAACCAGGAGCACGTCGGCCCCTACGCGCTCTCCGAGCTGCGAGGTATCCTCCTCTTCCTCCCCTGGACACCCACCCTTTTCCGCCCTATCGACTAGTGCGAATGGGGGCGTGCCCCCACCTTCTCGTAGAATCTCTAGAAACTTTCGGAGCCTTTGCTCCAATCTGCAAGGCCCCCCTAGCCCTTGTCTGGCGTTCGCTGTGTGTATTATCGACTATTAGTCATGATGTTGAACATGTAGTAAGGCGAGGCGAATCCTAGCTTCGGGTACTGTTGGATTGGGGCGTGTTACAATGAGATGGTGGTTTACCGTTTTGAGCTGTGAATGGATGTTCCCATGGATTTGGGTGTAATGTTGTTAGTAGCTGATCAACAGTATCGAGTCTGATATTTGAGGTGATATGTGGTGTGTGTTTGTCATATCACGGGAAAACCAGTTAGTTGTTTTTTCTGTCGGTTGCGTGGTCACCACTATTCCGTATAGTTTTTTACTCGGAAGCTGGGCAGAGGCAGTAGGTGCATATCGGAGGAGCTGTTCGTTGAGGCAGATTGTTGGAGCTAGGGTTAAGGTCATGCAATAAATTGTTCATGTTTGTGTGGCAATATATTGTCGCAGTTAACCTCTTACTCTTGTTTTTCCTTCTGAAGATGACCTTGATTAATCTGGAATAATGTTTCATTTCCTATCTTTGTTGTGATCTGTACATGTGGAATTTTGCTCCATCTGCAGAACATTTTGCTAATGGGTACATCAGTGAGAGCTCAATGCTCTGGGCAGAAGGGAGGAGTGAATGGATGCCATTGTCGTCGATTCCTGACCTACTTGCGGTGGTCACAAAAAAGGATCAACCTGATGAAGGTTACTGATTTCTACCTTCTGTTTTAAGGAAATAATACAGAATACACTTCACGTGATCTCCTGACATTTTCTTTAATCTTTCTGATGCCCCAGGAATTGAAGATGATTTCGATAAATTTCAAAAGGAGGTTATAGAAGCTGAGGCAGAGGTGGAAGCCTCGACAGACAAGGCTGCAGATAACGACATAAACCAAGAACATGGGGCCGATGATCCTGATGACCGGCCAGCAACCCCACCAGATGGCGAGGACGAATTTACTGATGATGATGGTACTGTTTACAAGTGGGATCGTGTCCTGAGGGCATGGGTTCCTCAAGTGAGTGCTTCCAACCTCCTGTTCTTAGGTTCATTTACTCATGACTTTTGTTTTTGGTAGTTCTGATTTTGCCTGAGATATTAATTAGATATTGTGTTTTGTTCTAATTAATACTGTAAATTGTGGTTCATCAGGGAGTCACATTTGTTTCTTCTTGGTTGCTTCTAGTGTTAATACTGTCAATGCTTGTGCTATAGCGTAGATAATTTTTAAAAAGAATCCATATTGCAGGAGGAGTGTGCTTCCTTTCAGGATATAAATGCTTTCCCTTCTTCGTCCTGTTTAATAATCTCGCTTACAAGTATTTATAAGTTAATCTAATTTCTTGTGTCATCAACATTTGAAAGTTAATATGATTTCTACTGTTTCTTTCGCAGGATGACCTAGAAGGCAAAAATGACAACTATGAAGTTGAAGACATGACTTTTGCACATGAGGAAGAAGTTTTCCAAGCACCAGATATTGCTGGTTCAACCACATTAGAAGAAAACAATGTTTCTGCCGAAATTGAAATCAAAGAACCAACAAAGGTAGAAAAGAGAGCAGATAAGAAGCGGAAGTCTTCTGAGAAGCCAGCCGATAAAAAGGTATATACAAGTAATTTTTGTCTAAGTGCTTGACTAGTTTTCCATAAGCTAATTCTTTGAAACTGTTAACTTTCTTTTTATATATGTAGGAAGCTAACAAACCTCCAGATAGTTGGTTTGATCTCAAAGTTAACACACATGTCTACGTTACTGGTTTGCCTGATGATGTCACAGCTGAGGAGGTAAGTTGCTTATATCTTTAAAAGCACTTTGTATGCTTTGAATGACCTATTTAACACATTCATGATTATGTAAATAGTGTCTGGTTTTGATGGTGAATTTCTTTTGCAGATTGTGGAGGTATTTTCCAAATGTGGAATTATAAAGGAGGTATATTTATTTTTGAGTTGCAGAGGCAACTTCTATCCTTGAATTCTGATGCAGACTGTTCTTCGCTTCTGATGATTTCACATCTAAATTTTTGGTGACATAGGACCCAGAGACAAGAAAACCCCGAGTAAAAATCTATACTGACAGAGAAACAGGCAGAAAGAAAGGTGATGCGCTAGTGACCTACCTCAAGGTAGTCCCTTGTAAAGCTCATCTGATTAGAAGCTCTCGTTATGCTCGGTTATCATGTGCGTTCTTTGGTTTTCTATTATTCAGGAGCCTTCTGTAGCACTAGCAATTCAACTGTTGGATGGGACATCATTTCGCCCTGGTGGTAAGACTCTAATGTCTGTTAGCCCGGCCAAATTTGAGCAGAAAGGTAAGCAGAGTATTTGTCAGAAACAGATAAGCTATGCAGAAGATGTTACTGATGCTGTCAATCTGCTTCAGGTGATGTTTTCATTTCTAAGAAGACAGATAAGCAAAAGAAAAGGAAAACCAAGAAAGTTGAGGATAAAATTCTAGGATGGGGTAAGTTCTATTTTTTATGGTTATTTTGAATTTGTGATGTGCTGCAAATTACACTATGTGATGGGTTTTGGTTGTCAATATTCGATGTAGATGCAGCCCTATCGTAGTCTATGCAAAATGTTTTTCATGCTTCATTATGAACTTATTGTCTGAGCCTTGGAAGCCTATTACCAATTCTAATTTGCTAATGGAAGGTTATATCCCCACTGCTTGCTTGCATCATTTTTTTTAATCTTTTCATTTTATGAAGGAATACTGAAGAGAGACACAGAACATTATGTTACAGAACACCATAAACTGTTTTTTGTATTCAGGATGTTGATTAAGCATTATGCCATTGTATAATGAGCACATGCTTTGGTAGTCATGCAAGGAAAATATTTTATCATCAGCCGAACATGAGCTTTGAATGATATAACTTGTTTTATTTCTTTGTATTGTAACACTTTTCTGCTATTAGGTGGACATGATGACAAGAAGGTGACGATTACAACTACAGTTATTTTGAGGCATATGTTCACTCCTGCTGAATTGCGAGTAAGTAACTGAAGCATGCTTTGACGTATGCCAGAAGTGTGCCCTTCTGATACAATTTCTTAATTGTTTGATTAGTCCCATGGATTTCATTATGCATAGCAACTTCTTATGTTTTATTTGGATTGAGGAAGAAAATCTTGATCATTTCAGGCCGATGAAACTCTTCTTCCCGAGCTTGAGGCAGATGTTAGAGAAGAATGCATGAAGCTTGGTCCAGTTGATAATGTCAAGGTAATCATTAACTTCGCCTTTCTTTGTTTGTCTTGCCATCATACAAGAGCTGGAGTGTAAAATGGAACTGCTTGTGTGTAGCATGTTTTGGATCCATTATGCATGTATAACTCTCTTGTAATTCCACTCCAAATGCTTACCAGACTTCCTTTTAGCTGCTTCCTTTTTCATCTAGTCCTGATGTGTACAGGAGCAACATGGAATGCAGTAGTTCCTAGCTGCAGTTTCTGATATGGTTTCCTATATCACTTTTGGAGTTTAGCCTCTGTACAACACTATGACTAAATGCATAGGAGGTAATTGCATCTGCATTCTACAGAAAGGCTGCTGCTGGCATGAGAAATGCTCTCCATTAAAAGGCCTTACAAAAATAAGGATGGGAAAAGGTTACTCAATTGATGAGTGAGGCATGCTGAGTAACTAAGGTGATCAACCTTGCCATGGGCCGGTGCGTCGGATTTCATGGGGCCATCCTTATATGGTACTCTCTCCGTCCCAAAATATAAGCATTTCTAGCTACGAATCTGGACATTAGCTAGAAATGCTTATATTTTGGGACGGAGGGAGTACCTTGCTTACACTAGGGAACAAATTGAATGCCCAACACATGTATATGTAATAACTCTTATGGTTCTTAAATAACTCGAGATCATTGCTCTATGGGGCTACTATTACCATTCCAGGCCTGGTAGGACTTCCATCACAAAAGGTTGAGTTGAACTTAGCCAGAAATTTGGGTTGGCTGGGCCTTCCGTTTATCACAAATTTAACTTGGCTCTAAAACTGGATCCTGTTAATATTCCTTTTAAGTTTTCATATTATTGTTGACTATCTATAAACTCAGTGAACTGGTCCTAACCACCAGGAAATTGTTTTTGTCCTTTTCAACCATCCCACTTACGTTCAACGCACATGTTTCTGCTTGCAGGTCTGTGAAAATCATCCAGAGGGTGTTATTTTGGTGAAATTCAAAGACCGGAAAGATGGTATCAAATGCATAGAGAAGATGAATGGAAGATGGTAGGCTTCAACATAATATCAGTTAGCTCACCTTGGTTTCTGATGCGTTGATGTTCCAGTAAAATAGTGTGTTTAATCTGCATAAACCTTGAGTTTGCCAAATGCTCAGTTATATCAATTTTAGATGTTCACAGAAACTATTTGTTTGAATGTGAGTGCTTTGAGTAGGATAGTACTCTTGGGTGTTGGAATTGTGCATGCTTGCTTTTCAACCTATCGAAGAATTAGAATTTGTGGATCATTCGTTTTATCAATTGTTCTTGATTTGTTCCTTCGCAGGTTTGGTGGGAATCAAATCCAGGCGAGTGAAGATGACGGTTCTATCAACCATGCTCTGATCCGTGATTATGATGCAGAGGTGTCAAGGCTTGATCGATTTGGAGAAGAGTTAGAAGAGTCCACATAGCACGTCGATAAACTGGCGATTAATATTACTCTGCAGCTGATGGTCGATCAACTGGCGTTTAATATTGCTCTGTAGCTGATGGTCGATCAACTGGCGATCATTAATGCTAGCTGATAGCATGAGAGTACAAAGTTTTACAGTTAGCTCTTTGCGTAGGTTGGATCTTCCATTTGCCATGTTAATCTTATCAAAACTGCTTCTGGGTTTTACCTTCTATCACCACCAGTACGTGTACATTATATAGATTAAACTTTTTTTTTCCTGATTAACATGTTCGTTTTGACATATTAACTTCTACTTCTAGGCTTGTAGCAACTTGCTATCCTCCTTGGTATGCATAAATCCACACTGATGATATCAATCACTTGTCAGAAAATTCTGTAGAAAAATGCATTGCCTTACCATTTGCATTTGGACTTGGCGCCTGGGCCTAATCGGCCAGTCTATTGCCTCTGTAGACCACAAGTTAATTTTATTGTTGCTGCGAAACCATGTTTTGATGTCAAAAATGTATTAAAACCACGTGTTTCATGACCCTGATAAAGCGTTCAAAATTGTTTTAAATGAAGAAGAGCTAATCGTAAAGAGAAGGGGGAGAACAAAAATGAAAGTATTGCAATTGTGGGAGAGAACAAAAAATGGACAAAAATATGTTTTCATGCTCCTGATAAAAGCATTCAAATTGTTAAAAAAAGGTGAAAAATGAAAGTTCCAAACTATATAAAAAAGGGGAGAACAATTCAAATAGTGAAAAAATTGATCCAAATTCTAAAATGGAAAGGTGAAAAATGAATGTTTCAAATTGTAAAAAGAGAAAAAGGAGAGAACAATTCAAACTGTAAGAAAATAAAAACAAAAATGATTGAAATTATAAAAACCAAAAGTTGAAAATGAATGTCTTCAAATTGTAAAAAGAAAAAATGTGAACAATTCAAAATTGTGAAAAAAATAAAAATAATTATTCAAACTATAAAAAAGAAAAGGTGAAAAATGAATGTTTCCAATTGTAAAAAGGAGAAAAAAAAGGGAGAGAACAATTCAAATTGTGAAAAAAAAACAATTGAAATTATAAAAAGCAAAAGTGGAAAATGACTGTTTGAAATTAAAAAAGATGAAAAAAAGGGAGAGAAAAATTCGAATTATGAACAATTGAAATTATAAAATTGTAAAAAGGAAAAAAAAGGGAGAGAACAATTCAAATTGTGAAAAAAAAACAATTCAAATTATAAAAAAGCAAAAGTGGAAAATGACTGTTTGAAATTAAAAAAAAAAGATGAAAAAACAAAAGTGGAAAATGACTGTTTGGAATTAAAAAAAATATGAAAAAAGGGAGAGAAAAATTCGAATTATGAACAATTGAAATTATAAAAAGCAAATGTGTTCGAATTATGAACAATTGAAATTATAGAAAGCATGTCTGAGCCCAGGTTCGAACTGGGGACCTTTAGTGTGTGAGACTAACGTGATAACCAACTACACCACCCAGACTTTTGTGGCACATTTGTGATATTTTATTTCTACTTTATTAATGAAAGACGTTACTGTGACCTCTAAGACTTTTGTGTTGCATTTGTGATATTTTCTATCTACTTTATTAATGGAAGACGTTACTGTGACCTCTAAAACATTACTCGGTTAATCGGTTGGTACTGCAAACCAATGGAACATTTGAAACTTGTGTTTTGTCTGACATTTATTTTGACATATTTAACCAGTTGTTACTGCAAAACCAATGGAACATATGTGAATCGTGTTTAGGTTAGGCAGTGAGCCGAGATTCGAAATTCAAATCAAGCAAAGGTAGAACTCTTCCCTTTTCTCACTAATAGCCTGTACTGCTGCAATATCGGGACATTAGCGCCTTCAGAGAGGAAACAGAGACAATTCAAACGGTATTTTAATTCAAAATGAATCGATGCAAATAAAAACTTTTGATGCTATTAAGTGCCAGCATATCTCCCTTGTCACGTACTACTATGTTACAATGAATTCATATTCAAATGCCGCACCGTCAAATTGATTTAACATTCTTGAGATGTAATACAGTAATCGGTTTTTTCCCACCTTAACACAGTAATTAGAGCTTAATGATACAGTCTACAACCATCAATTCATAGCTCAAGAGAGATTATGCGACGAGGTCTTCTGGCTGCAGGCCTCCCGGTATTCATCTATTTCTTTGGGTTCCCAAAGAATTTAGAGAGCCGCACAGGTCCTTCCTCCTCACTATCACTGCCCCTGTGCTTGGATCTTGACCTGTACTTCTTATCCTTTTTTGTCCTCTTCGATCTGGACCGTGACCTGGACTTTCTCGAATCCCTATCCTCATCATCACTGCTTGATGATTCCGACGATGAACTGGAACTTGACTCTGATGAACTTCTATGCTGGAATTTGTAGCGGTTTTATTTCATCAGTTCATCTATTGTAGTTGACTTCGAAATATCCTAAAGTTAAGGGTATACCTTTCTCCTCTTTTTACTCCGTTTCTTTGCATCTTTATCCTTCTTCTCTGTATTTAAAATTTATTCAGCAGAAACACTTGAGAAATACAACATATGTAAGAAACTGGCGACTGAACTGCTAATTACACGGTCACCTTTCTTAGAAGATGATGACTTTGACCTTGAGTGGTTTCTTCCAAGAGCTAGCTTTTGTGCCCTTTCAGCATCCAGTTGAGCCCTATATTCTCTCATCATTTTATCTTTGTCAGCTTCCATTTCACCCCTCTTTAACTCGTCTTCCTATTAGGGCAAAGAGCCAAAGAGCAGCATGAGCTACTGTACAAGTATTGATAATAAACAGCTGTAGTCACAAATCAATCTCTGCATAAGTACAAGAAGGCTTAGGATTATGTGCTGCAACATTGTGGGGGTTCATGCAGAAAACCACAATTCATTTGTAAAAAATAATCCTGATTCCTGAGCAATGTCAGAAAGGTATAGGTTGGACTTTCGGAATTAGTGCAAGCGCCATCCATAACCACCTGACGGCCAATAAACATAAAAGAGATGCAATTTGATATCATTAGCCGAGGAACCAAATCAAGTATAAGACGGAAATATGAAAGCTCCCTAGAGATGGTTTATGAGTACAAAACTGATCATGTAACACCATGTGCTCCAACTCTTCTGCTCCAAATGTTAGCTCAAGTTTGTAACAGTAAACCACAACTACAAAGTCTATGCACTTTGTTAATGCATTGACGGGGGGCAAGAATAAGCTTCTTGAATGAGCTACAGAGGTTCAGGTTGATAAATCTTCCAATATTATACAATTCAGAAATTTATTCGCTGCTACATGTGCTAGGAAAGGTAAAATCGGCGTTCCAAATTCAACTAGCAGATACATACAAGGATACAATGAAATTTACTCATCACATTAAGAGTGTTATCTGGGAGAGAACAACTAATCATATCTTTCATTATCTAACGACCATCCTGCATCAGACCATCATACAGCGCATCAACACACAGAAAATGAACAATCAGTATCACCAACACTACAACATGGTAGGAGCAACAAGAGGACATCTTGCACTACCATGGTCCGCGGGTTTGCGCACACAAAAGGAGAACTAGAGAATATAAACCAGCTGATCAAAGCTAACAGTAGTAAACCGAGCAAAGCGATGGACTTGTGTACCTTCTGCTTCTTCTTGAACTCCTCCCACGTGACGGTGTGCGTCTTGTTCAGGCTGGCCAACCGCGCCGCATGCCACTCTGGAGAATGAAATGAACCGTCCGTCTGCGACGGCCCTCGTTAGTAAAAGCCCCATGATTATTCTTTCTTTCTTTCTTTCTTTCAAATCTTCTCCAGCTACAACTAATACTACCCTCCTAGCAGCAAGATTTCCATGGTGATGCAGCCTACACCTAATCACAGATCTCAATAGGTAACGAGCGATCGATATACAAGTATGGGGGGGCCTTGGGGAAATCTAGGGGAGGAGGAAGAAGACGAGACCAAAGATCTGCGAGGGAGGGAGGTGAGGTGAAGTGAGGCCTAAGGAAGGGGACCGACCATGCCGTCTTCGGGGGAGTCGGTGGCGCCCGGGGCGCCGGACGAGGAGCCCAGCCGCGCCCGCTGCATCGCCTTGTACGCCTGGTTCTTCCCCATGGCGCCTCTCCCCCTCTCCCCTTCCTCCTCCTCCTCCTCGTCGATTCTTCGCGCGCGCGAGCGAGCTCTCTCTCTCTCTCTCTCCTCTCGCGCGGCGAAGGGCGAGACCAGATTGGGGAGCGGAGGAAGAGGAGGGGAAGTGGAGAGAGTAATGGCCGGCGAATTGCGATGGTGATAAGGAGAGGTGGGGGCGGAGGAGGGGGATGCGATGCGATGGGGGAAACGGCTCCACTGCAGCCGTGCGGAAAGCCGCGCGCTGCCGTCCGATGTGGGATGGACGGTTAGCATTGACCTTGGGTGTCTAGATGGATGCCTGAATAAGCTTTGGGCTACCCAGCCAAACAGCCCAAAGTGTTCGGGCCGCATTTGGTGATTTGGAGCAAAAGCAAGGGGAATTATATCCGGAGGAAAAAGTACACCCAAGGTCCCTCAATTTGTCATCGAGATACAAAATCATCCTCAAACCACAAAACCAGATATCTCGCGTCCCTTAACTTAATCAAAACCAGTCATAAAAGATCTTTAGACGGTTTTGACCCGGTTTTAGCCTACGTGACGGCTAAGTCAGCGTGGGACCCACGTAGCCCACATGTCTTTCCCCTCCTTTTCACTCCACGTCATCATCTCTTTTCCCTCCTTTCACTTCCTCCTCTCTCTCTCTCTCTCAATTTTCTCCTCTCACAGGCTGACCGGTGGGTCGGGACGAGGTCGACGGGGCAAGCAGGGAGAGGGGAAGGTGCGGCGGCTGGCGACAGGCGACGCGGGAGCAGGCCGCCGCACCGGGTGGGGAGGAGGCTGGCGGAGTAGAGGCCGCAGGCGTGGAGCCGTGGAGTAGGGCGTCAGTGGCCGGTGACGGCGGAGGAGCGGCGACGGCATGGATAGTACCGACGGGAGGGGCCCCGAGCAGTCGGACGGGGCGGCCGTGCCGCTGCGGCGGTTTCTGATGAGCACCGGGCTTGACGCAGATATGAGAAGGGGGAGGGAGGGCGACGCGGCGTCCGTGGCGGTCGTCGAGGAGGGCGTCGGGGGAGGAGGCGGCGGGAGGAAGGTGTGCAACGGCGGCGGCGACGGCCGCCGCGACGCCAATGCGTACTACCGGCGGATGATCCAAGCCGACCCGGCGAACCCGCTGCTGCTCGGCAACTACGCGAGGTTCCTCAAGGAGGTGGAGGGAGACGCGGCGAGGGCGCAGGAGTACTGGGAGCGCGCCATCGTCGCCAACCCCGGCGACGGCGACGCCCTCGCGCTCTACGCGGGCCTCGTCTGGGAGACCACCCGACCGCGCCGACGCCTACTTCACCTGAGGAAGGGGCCCCGCCACCGCTCGCCCGCCGCCGCCAAGCCAACTGCTAGACGTTGCCGCATACAAGCACGCCGCCGCCGGCGGCCGCGCCGTCACGTATGCGCTGGTGATAGAGATGCAGCTGGTCATGGGCTTCTTCGCCACCGCGTTCTGCACTGTCGGCGTGGTCATGGACTCGCCGGCATGCCGTAGGACCCGAAGCCGTCGCCGCCGCACCCAAGCCTCCCCGCGGGCCGGCGATGGGCGACGCGGCGGCGGCGACGCTGGAGAAGGGAGGAGGCCGGCGAGTCGGGAGGAGGTCGGCGGGGCGAGGAGGGAGAGGAGAAGATTCGGCGGCTGGCTCGCCCGCCGCCGCCCGCCCGCCCGCTGCGCGCTCGCGGCCGCTGCCGCTCCCGACGCAGGCGGAGGCGACGCCGCCGCGGCCGGCCGCGGACGACGTCGTTGCCGCCGTCCCCGCCGTCGCATCGTCCGTCGCCGGCCGCCGACGCCCTCCTCCCCGCCCGCTGGCTAGCCTGTCCCCTGCGTAGAGAGGTGAGAGAGAGAGAGAGGGGAGGAAGGGAGAGAAGAGGGGAAGAGAGAAAGGGGGTGACGTGGATAACCTGACATGTGGGGCCAACGTGGTCCCACGCTGACTCAGCCGTCACGTCGGATAAAACTGGGGTTAAAACCACACAAGGATCTAAAGTGAACGGTTTTGTAAGTTGAGGGATGTCATATATGTTTTACGGTTGGGGAACGATTTTGTAACTCGATGACAAATTGAGGGACCTTCGGTGTACTTTTCCCTATATCCGGATTATATCAATTTGGGTAATGTATATGATTTAAAATAAGTTAATATATAGTACGAAATATAATATATCATAATACTATTAATTTAACGGAATGGCTATTTATCAGTCGTGCTCCAGCGACCTTAGCTCTTCTCCTCCGGCTCCGGCGACACCTTCTCCAACTCCGGCGACCCCGACGAAAGCAATGGAGTTAGGGTTTAGGGTCCCGGGTTAGGATGGGGGTGGGAGGGGGGTGGGGGGAGGGGGAAGAGTGTTGTATCGCCGGGCTTAGAGGGATGGCGGTGGGAGGTGGCGGCCCGGCGGTGGGCGGTGGACAAGGGCAGGCGGCGAGGCACCGAAGCCGCGGGGATGGAGGAGGGCAAGTGGTCCGGGGTCGGCGGAGGGGGGCAACGAACGGATCCGGCGGTTAGTGGTTAGAAGTGGCGGGAAGGGAGGAGGATTCCGCGGCGGGGGACCCACCGAAGAGGGGGAAGACGGCGGGGCGGGGGAACTCCCCTCCCACCCCCATCCTAACCCGGGACCCTAAACCCTAACTCCATTGCTTTGGTAGGGGAGGGGAGGAGGGGGGCTCGCCGGCGCCGTTGACCCCTTCCGGCCAGCCGGCGAGTCCGAGCGGCGGCACGGCGGGCGGCGGCGGAGGCAGCGCACGCGCAAGAGAAGGCGGCGGCGGCCTGGAATGACGAGGGGGAGGGAGAGGGGTTAGGGTTAGATATGCCAGCACGAATCTTAAAGCGATCCAATGGTCCAGAATTCGCATGATTTGTGAGGTGTTTTTCTGTCAAATGCCATGTAGATATTAATTTAAACATACATATATCTAGATTCGTAGTGTTATGATATATCATATCTCGTATTAACTTTGGAATGAAGTACAGTAAAAAAAAACTTTGGAACGAAGTAGCAGTTGTTCTCCAATTACTGTAGCAATATCCTCTTTGCTAGCTTCAAACAGAAAAAAAGGGAGCAAACAATCATTAATATCTTGTCCAGTTTCTCCTCTACGAAGCTCAAAGATGATCTCTCGGTCCTTGTTTATCTCCGAATGTTGTTTTCCTCCAAAATTTCTGTCCTTTCCTCATATGACATCCAAAGAGCGGTACTGATTTTTGTACAGAGATTTCATAGACCCCAAATATTGGACACTTGTAAGTTGTAACGCAAGCACCAGGCTTGCATTTAATCTTTCTCGAGGAATTTGTGCAATTCTTCTCAGAGGAGGGATCGAGACATATACTTGTCCAAATAGAATGAGACAAAACACTTATTCAATATCTATATATTTATTCAGATTATTTGGATTGGGCATGAATTATTGTCCCATCTGGCCGTTCAGCATGTCCATTTCAATGGCAACCCACAACAGGTTGGAATTTCAGTTGCCATTCACCTATAGAAACCTGATGCCTAACTATACGCTAACTCTCTCCACGGCAGTCAGTCGGAACAAAAAAAATGACCGTCCTGCCATTTTTGTTACACATGGCACTGCCATGCGCTTACCGGCGGAAAAGAGTGGGCTGGTAACTTCAACAGCCACGGAAGCGACTGTTTATCTACCTATTGCCGTGGGGTTTCTTCTTGTTCGTTGCTTTCTCCCGTTTGTGATGCCAGCTTCACAATGTCTTCAACGAGGATCTTTCCATCTGTTAGGCATAGAAAGAGAACCAGAAAAAGGCTTAGAATGCACAATGATGAACATGGACATTTATCTTTCAGCGCAGTAGGTAGAGAAGCTGAGTGGAACCTTTGTCTTTAGAAAGATTGCTAATAAGCTCTTGGACGCCTTCCTTCCCTATAGTGTCTTTGAGATAATTTGCTGCAGCTGCTACCTCGTCAGGGGTAACTTTGCCATCACGGTCACTGCAATGAGATCATGTTATTCATGAGCAAGGCAAATCCAACAAACGGAAGGTCCAGTCCTTGGTTAGTTACCCACAACGTGTATTGAGACCATTATCCCTCAATGATCTAGTGATCAATTATTATGCTTTAGCCATCTTAATTGAAGTTTTGTAGAGCTCAGGTATGCACCATAGGGTTAGCATGTTGTAAGTCCTAACCAGGCAACCTCCCAGCCTACCTTAAGATTAAGTGATTCATGACAATTTACGCACATGCAGGTAGCATTTACCTATCAAGCAGCTGCCAGCGGTTGCCTATTCGTGCATCAACATCATCAATCTCTTTCTCTAATTTCTGAAGCATTGCATCAACCTGAAATGCAGCGAAACAGTACGTCAACAAATAGTTGCTATTTACTAAAGATCAAGACAAGAAAACAACACATCTAATGTCTGTATTACACATTCCACACAGAAACAAATTCAACAGAACAATAGAGAATTTACGTCCATCAAGGAAAATCCTTAAATTAGTAAATGCAGAACAAAGGCATGCAATTGGCCAAGTGCAGGCTGTAACCACCATTCATAGAGAAAGAAGCTAGAAGCCAGTTGAGACACAGACATAAAGCAACACCAGAATTAGAGCTCATAATTCATGAGTGAACCGCTGATTAGTGATGACCTAGTTGAATCCAGGTTAGTATCAAGCTGGAGTACAAAAAGCGATTACTGGCATTTGTATATTTTATTTGAGAATCTTCTAAGATCCTAAGATAGTAGTGAAACTAACTAGAGACTGAATAATTGATCACAAATTGCCTTTTGCCTGTGGGTGTGGGCATTATTCTCAACCAACACAAGTTTTCATAGCTGAGTGCTTTGTGTGCCAGCAATCAGTTCCTCTACTTTCACACCTTCCCACCTTCCCAGCAGTTAGTTATCTATTTGTAATTACTATCACACGATTATCTTGAGTTTAGGGATGTTTCAAAGTAATTTTAAAAGAGGCAGATCAAGTAGTGGTTTAAATGCAGAAAAGAATTCCTTACCCTCTCTATTAATGCTGAAGAGACCTTTTCTCCTGCAGCTATCTCTGCAGCATGGTCTGATTCCTCTCTTGCAGCCTTGTATGCTCTCCTAGCTTCTTCTTCACCTTTTGTACCCTCCTTTTCCAGCATGGTGTTATATAGTTCTATCTGTGTTCCACAAGAGTGGAGACCATCCAATATTATCATATGCAAACTGAAAGCACATAATATTAACTGCAACTTCAACTCATACCTCTTTATTGACAAGATTCAGAAACTCTTGACGTTCCTTGGCAACAGACTGCAGTAGAAGATGGAAAAAAAAGGTGAAACAGAATATTAATGGTTTAATGTAGCTTACTCTAGAAAAGCAAGGAATATAGCTTAATGCTAGGATCATACAGAAGCAGATGCAAGCACGGCCAATGCTTGGCTGATATCACAAAGCTGCTCCTTCCTGTCATGCTCAACTTTTGCTTTCTTTAGTTCCTTTTCTTCCCTAGCAGTAGGCTCAGTCATTTCTTTCAAAGCCACATCTTCTTCAGTTGCCTTTGGTACCTCAAGTTTTGCCTTGTCTTCTTTCTCTTGCCTTTTCTCCTCTTCCTGAATATCATTCAATATGTAGAAGCATTAACAACAACGGATAATTGACAACATAGTTGGATTATCAAATAGAGGAACTGAGAGAACTTGTAGAATCCACCAAATCATCAAAACCTAATTATAACTACAATTACACGGGTGAATTACATATTTACACATTAATTGGGCTTGGGCAACCAAGGAATATTGAAAGCCACAAATTGGTAGCTAATCACATCAAGATTCAAACTGTACTGCATTGCTAAACAATATAACCAAGGATTTATGCAAGATGGAGTCTCATCATTTTTATCTCATGCTTTTTCTACAGGATGGCATTGCCCATAATTTCAAGTTCCAATGCATCTAATTGTGAGACGCTAGCGCATCAGTTATCATTTTTCTGTATTTCAAAGTAAAACCATCAAATCAAAACAACAAATTGTTGACAAGCTATGGGTCGTCACCCTGAACTTCTATTCATATCTAACTTCAGAAGTACTTTCAAACTAGGAGTAAGGTAGATACTTCATTGCAGCTGGGGACTTGGTGATACAGCCAATAAGGACATATTGTGTCAGGTAGGCATACCCAGTGGCAGATACATTAAATGAGATATGGAATTTAATCAAATCAAAATTTCAGTACCTTGATAAGTTCTTCCTGCATTTCCAGGAATTCCAATTTCCGCTTCCTGTCGGACACAGAATCTTCTGAAGGAAGAACTGTCCCAACAGTATCTACAACTTCATCTGGAAGAGAAGATAATGTTGCTACAACAGCCTCCTCGGGCTTCATTTTCCCAGACATGGTAAAAGCTCTGGAAGTATTTCAAACACAACTGAGAACTTGAATAGATGAACTGAACCCAAGGGCAACTATCACCAAAAATCCAGAATTACCTTGATAGTATTAGAAGAGATGATGGCACAGAATGATTAAGTGACAAATCCAACCAGTCTCTGAGCTGAACATTAAAATTAAATGTTTAATTCTTACATAACTGAAACATTTTTAGATAATTTGATATTAATTTAACATAGCTGAAATACTGATACAGTTCCTGCAAAGAAATGTGCCTTAAATCACTACAGAGAACTAAAATCATCTTCTACAACAGTTCTAGGAAGTTTTTAATTGCTGTGTCAATATGCATTGACACAATTTAGCAAACAAAGCATTGGACAAAGAAGCACAAAGCATGGTGCCCAATTGACCTTTTCTCTTTCAATAGAGTAACAGTACCAGTTCTACTAACACACTTAGAATATATGGTTATAAAAAAAGTGCAATAGATAACTGGGTTAGTCATAAGTAAAAACGAAAAAATCACAGGGAATATACCGGAACTATTTTAAACTGGAAATACAATAAAAGTATATTAAAAGCATCCAACAACAGGGATCTGATGTGCTGTATTTACTACCATTACCTACTCATCAATGCAGATGTCCCACCAACAATTTCAAGGCAAACAAACCTGATTTTGCATCTCCTCTGTTGACAACAAACCAAGATGGCCACGTTCTCGACATGCTTGTCGAAGCTCCTCCTCAGAAAGAGACTCCACGCCCTCAGCCTGGATCATCTTATCATCATTCTTAATTCTGCAAATAAAGATATAAAAGAGTTACTACGGTTAACTACCCAAAAAAATGTTTGCATAAGAACATGACGCTGTTTTCAAACTTGAAAGAGGATCGATTTTGGTGTAACATTAACTGTTCCTCTGTGATTCATCATGGCGCCATTATTTTACAACCGTACACTAGAGAAGATTTTACTCTGGACACATTGTTCTCAATTTCAGATGATGCAGTGAGAACTACAAAACCGCTCAAAAGTTAAATCTCTATTTGTCTTTCTGGAAAATTTTCAATTGCCTGTCGATCTTCTAAGATGTAAAATGGTCAAAACAGTATTAGATGTGTCAAAAACAAAAACGTATACAATGTTGAAGATTAATTAGCACTCAAGTTGAATTGGAGATTTGTAAAAGGATCATTCTACATCATCCACCATGTATTTTTTTCTCATCATCTAACTATCTGACATCTATATCTGCACACAGCATCTACATCAGAAAGCAACCGGTGGGCATACTCTTGCAATTTCTTCCGAAGCATGAATGTCAGGTAGTGGTCTGTACCAAAAGGTTGGATCCCCATATATTTACACATATTTACCAACCGTGCTCTGCAGGCAAAAAAGGACTGATCAGAAAGATGTGAAAACCAAGGGCTAGGGCTAAGCTAGATGTTCAAGAAACATCAACCTGTTCATGTTATCCAAAGTCAGTTCATCATTAAACAGCTTTGCAAAGCTCAAAATTTCTTCATTTGAGACATGTCCACCTTTCCTAACCTAGTTACAAAGTTAAGAATAGATTACTAGGAAATCAATAAAACAAACACTTAATGATCTATGTATTCAACTTGAGGTAACAAACAAAACATGTATGAACCCAAAACCTTGTTCAAAAATTCATCCAGATCTTCAGCTGTCTGTTTCATTTCTCCACTACGTGACGTCTGCACTTCCTTTGCCATTTCTTTTGCAGTATCTTGTAAAAATCTTGCATATTCCATCCTTGCTTTCAATTTCCTTTTCAATGCCTCCTGCACGTATCAAAAAAAAAAAATGTTGACCTGAGTCAATCTGTTTGTATTTAGCAAATACAGTGGCAAGATATCATAACATGTCTTGGTCAGTACCTCTTCCTTCATCTTGTCCTGGAAAGTCGATGGCAACATGTTAGGGAACATCTTGAGGAAGACTGGTAGTAAAAATTCCATGAAGGGAACAATGATGAACACAGCAAAAGGTACAAGCCTAAACAAATCAGCTGTTGTGCGTGTAAGCTGTTGCCTCTCTCTTCTTGTTAGGCTCTTTCCACCAGCAAGTTTCACTAACAATCTAGATGAAATCCTAACATCTGCCCACAGCAGCTTAGTTCCCAACCAATAATGCTGCAGTGTAGAAACAAACTCATCCTTCCAATGCTTCAATTTTGCAGCCCAGTCAGCCCTTCGATTCACAAGATAAATATAAATCAAAACATTGGATATGAATGTATAATCCATGGAAAGGGGCAAGACAGCAATTGCAAATATACTTCAATATACTGAAGGGAACTGAGACCTGCTCATTGAAGCAACAGCACGCAGAGCAGGTCCAATACCTAGAAGTATTGCCCAAAATTTATGTATGATTGACTGGTCAGACTTTTGTACTTCCTGCACCAGCTTAGCTTTAGCTTTAGCTTTTGCAGTGCTTAAGCCTTCCACCGCCTGATCACACTCTTCTGGGGATGCCTCCTTTTTCCCCTGATTCTGGTTCTGGTTCTCGCTCCGCTCGTCCAGAATACCAACTTTAGGCTGCCCAGCAGTGCTTGATGTTGGGCGTACTGACTGTAGGAAATACCTGGCTCCCAAGGGGAAACCAAAAGTCTGTGGTTTAGATTCATAAGAAGCAAGTGAAGCACCACGAGTTGGGTGACACAGGATACTAAGGCCCAAAAGTCCTTGTTTCCTTAAGATGTATTGTGCCTTCTCATGGTTTGATTCTCTTGAGTTTTGAGATGCAGTGCTTTGCTCAATTTCACATCCAAACTTTTCTTGCCCAAAAGTAGAAATAGATGAATGTCGTAATAAAACAGGGATATTAGTATGCTCCAGAGCATACTTCCTTCTCCTAATGATCGCCCTCGAGGCCATTTTTGGTTGCTTCTTCCTTTTCTCAAGAGAATGTCAGGGTTATGCCTTTCCGGGTAGAACCCTGAAATACAAGAAACCTATAGTTATGGGCATTGATGCATCTGAATAACACATTTAAGTGCGACAAGAATGAAATGTAACAAATTTTTCATCAACCTAAAAGCATAGTGTCATAATATTTCACAAACAGCAGTACTAATTCCAAAACTCCTTCTATTTTTATGTCTGACAGTCAGCATTGTCTAAGTGCTGCTAAATCACTAGCCATACTTCAACCAGTAAATGCATATTCCACATACATAGAAGTCCTCGCATGAATCAACATCTCCAAAGAACTTTACAAAATGAATCTAGAAAGCAGTGCTCGCAGAAACACTAGCCTGTGAAGGAGTTTCAACAGTTCCATGGTTGCCAGGTGACTATACATCTAGAACACCAAGTTTATACAATAACTAAAGCATCATAAGAAAAAGGGAAAATAAAACCGAGCTATAATTATTTGGCAGGTACGTGTTTGTTTTATGTCACTAGAGCCAGCTGATTAACAGTATATTTGGTATGATGTCAATGTGCCCAGTAGTTGCCCACCCAATCCAAACCATCTAAAGCCATGTCATATGTGGATGGATTTCAGATATTTGATAAGGCCGAAGGACTAATCGCATCTGATATAGGACGCCGCCACCGAACAAATCAAACCCCAATCAAAACCATCCAAAATGCCATTCGCCCCGGAGGCGCACTCGCGCGCCGCCCACGAGCTCTCCTGCGGCGGGCGATCCGCGCCGCCAAAATCACCAGCCAGGACAGGAGCCAAACGGAAACAACAGGGAGGTTTACCACCGGAGCACGAAGGGCGGCGCACCTCGAGAAGGGACGATGGCGCAGCAGCGGTCAACCAGCCGCCAAGCGGAGAAGGGAGACTGGGGGGGAGGGGACGTGCGCGCTCACCGGGGCTCTGGCGGCGGATCGGCCGCACGGTGGAACCCGTCGCGTCGAGCCGCGTCGTGCGTGCGTGGGATCCGGCGGGGCGAGGGGCTCCGCGGGAGGAGTGGGGGAGCAGAGAGCCGCGGGGCGCTCGCGGTTTTGCAGGAAGGAAGGAAGGAGGCGGAGGCAGAGGCAGCGGGTGGGGTGGAGTGGAGTGTGCGGAACGAACCAAGTCACCAACTGCTGGAGACGTTGCCGATTTGGGGAGGAGAGCAACTGGACGGTATAATTCGGGGAATCAGGAGCTGAGTGGTGGCATATGGAGAGATCGGGGATCGGTGGTGGGTTCAGGCTGTTGGGCCGAATGTTAACCGTGGCCAGTGGGCTCTCGTGCTGGACTGCAGGGTTTGGGTTCCCCTACCTGCACGATAATCGGGCCTTTTCATCAAATTAAAAAAAATATGAGTAAATTTCACAAAACTATATATACTTTGATCAAATCATCACAAAACTACAAATTTAACAACAAAATTTCTCACAGAACTACAGATTTAAGGTGGAGTATCGTAAAACTATAGAATTAGTAATAAAATTATCACAAAACTATAGGTTTAGTGATAATTTAATCACAAAACTTGCACGTGTATAACTCAAACATAACACTAGTGCTAAGAATTTAAACTCTAAAATATGTAGTTTTATGATAACTTTGTTATTAAATCTGTAGTTTTGCGATACTCCACCTTAAATATGTAGTTTTGTGATAAATTTAGTGCTAAATATCTATTTTTGTGATACATCACTATAAATCTGTAGTTCTGTGATAATTTGATCAATAGTTTTATAAATTTTAATCAATATATATATATATATATATATATAATTTCATATTATTGATAAATTTCATTTGATATTTTCACTTTTCATCACGGTAACCGCACGGCTAACGTAGTTATCGGGGCATAAAAGTACCCTTCATCCCTGATAAGGCAAGACCCACGTCCTCGATTGGCGAGTTCAGGTAAAGTCATATTTGAACATCTCCTGATTGCTGAAAGAGCAAATTGAGCAGGTTAGAGCTATTGCACGGGGTGCGACGACGACGAGCTTGGTAACAATAACGCTCTTCTCCTTTTCGTTCTGGTTGCTCATATGTAGTTGTCGTGGTTGCACTCATATATTATGTCAAAGATACTTGAGATCCTAAATGGCTTGTCGTGGTAAAGACAAAGCCACGTGATCTGTATGACTTTCCTCCTACAGAGGAAGAAGAAAATGATCCATCGTTAACAAAAAAGTCTACTTCTAAAGCATGCCAAGAGAACTAAGATATCACAGTGGCACTGAATGAAAGTAGAATCGATGATGATATTGTCATGGTTTTGGACAGAAATGGAGTTGAGAGTGAAACTGTCGAAGCAGATCCGATAACGCATTCTGAAGAACAAAATAATGAAGAAGAGGAAGATTCTGATAAAGATGAAGAAGATTCTGAAAGTGACGGCGCTGAGTATATGGATACAGATGATGACAATAACACAGAAAGTGATGAAGATACATATGATAGTTAATATACAATTTTTTTCAGGTTTATGCAAATTTAGACTTACTAAAATAGTTGATTAATTCTTATTACATATCTAAACTCTTTTGCTCAGTACCCTCGTACCATATGTAAGCAATATACATGTGGTATTTTTTATGGAGGAGCTAGAGCTCATCAGCCATCACCAGATTTTGCACTAGTCGATAATTTTGTATATGTGTGATGGCTCATAAACAATTCAGATATGCCAAATTGACTTGCACTAAAGAAAATTAGTACAAAGTTTAGTATAAAAATTAAGTTGAACTAGCCATTGGATGGGCATGTGCGATCCAAAAACAAAAATTGCAGATCTATAAGGGATGCTCAGATCGAAGTAGCCATTGCTCCTCAAGCAACTGGACCGTTCGGGTTCACTGCCTGCTAATCAGAGAGGAAATTTGAGACAAAGAGGACAAGGAACATATGCATCTGAGATCAACAAACTAGCACTACTATTTCCCATTTTCCCATCAACAAACTCAGCGTAACTATTCCCCATTTTCCCACCAATGGGATAGTTGCCGTCAGCCAAGAGGAACATAGAGATCTCGATGAAAGAACAAATGGGACTTACCCATTCTCGCGCTGCTGCAAGTCGAGCTCGCTACACTCCTTGCAGCACTCCCGGTCATGGGGCCGAGCTCACTGGCCGTTCTCCAGCTCCCAACACATACTACCACAGCACTGCAGGGGTGGTGGCTTAGAGCTTAGTGGAGGACAACCGGGCTGTTGACCTCCTAGTTCACACAAGTACTATAAAAGATTAAGAGAACCTCATTTAGATGATTTATCTTGGCCAGTTGGTCAACAACCTTACCTATACATCCTGGTGGTCGTGTGTTCGAAACTTGCCAAGCCTTATCTACTGCTATTTTTTTCTTTATTTTAATTGCCTTGTAAATTGTAATCATTTTTTGTGATAACCATCTCATCACTAATAATAATTTTAGCGATGATAAAATATGGCATCACTAATTAAAAATTAAAAAATGATAATATGCCAATTCATCACGATCAACCCGTCACTGTTTTTAGGTTTTTTGATGACTTAACATTTTATCACGGATTGAGCACAGTAGTAGTGAGAGAAGATTAAATCATCACAGTTCACTCGTCACTGTTGGTATAATTAGTGGTTAGCTACCAGGTTATCACATTTTTTTAATAAAATAGTGGCAACACTATGACTTATCACAATTGAGATGTCACTGACGATGTGTTTTGTGATGACAAAATATTTTCTCACTAGTTATAGGTGAAATAGTGATGGAAAATAGTTTCCCACTAGTTGTACATGAAAATAGTGACAACAAGATAGTTTGTCACTGTAAAACCACTTATTAGTGAGGAAGTAAGGTTTCATCACTAGCGTTCGTCACTAGTGGGCCAATTCCTTGTGGTGTTGGCAGAGTATGGAAAGCTTTAGGCGAAGCCTTTCCCTACCTCTAGCTGGTATCAACGAAGCCAACGATTGTGGGAACCGGTTTTCCTTCTTGGAGAATGGAGACGTTATCGTGGTGTTTCTATCTTCCTTCAAATGAGAACCTAGTTCTGGTTTTTCCAAACAAGCGATGATAGCGCCATTGCCATTATTTTCCTTGGAGATGTTGCTTAGAAGGTCATACTCCTCGTTTGGTACTTGCCGTCTTTGTGAGGTCGGTCATCAAGGCTGAGGCCCTTCATAAGAATTTAGGACTTGTCTCAGGTTTCAGTTTATCCTAAGTTGTAGTGACATCGACCCAGTTATCAGGTTGGGTGCTCTATATGGGTTTTAACCAACTGGGTTGTGGTAAGGTTTTTGGTCCTAATTTTTTTTCGCGATAAATAGGCCCAACTCTCTTCTTTCTAATGAAAAGCACCCTTTTCACTTTGAGATTTGCCTTTATAAAAAATTAGCCACGACACACTGAATATTTGTGAGTAACTATTTGTAAAATGCGCACTGCAGTGGATTAATAATTTTCATAGGCCATCCAAACCAGGACTTTTGCGTGATTCAAATCGACCTGTAAGTCGCTATCCTTTGGACTCAATTGCGTCTTATCCTCGATCTATCCTCGGCATGATTTGGCTGTTGTGACAAAAATGATTTGGCACGGGATGGGATCAATGAAGGTCCTTTAAGAGTAAGGATAATAATAGAGCTCACTTCCTACTATTAGCCAATTTTAAAGCCAACACATATAATAAATTAGCTATAAGGTTGGCTACAATTTTCTTCTCATCTATCTCTCACTTATACATTAATTGTATTTGTCTTAGAGCTTGTGTTAAGCTAGCTCTTGTATAAGAGCCAACACCCTTAACTTTTTGTTACATCTCTCCTCCACATAAGCTTATAATAGGCTTATAGCTAACTATTATACTTGCTCTAAGAGCAAGTTTAATAGTATAGCCAACTATTAGCTCCAATTCATCTATAACCAATCTAATAGCTCATTTATACAATAGCTACATACTACACTATTAATATCTAGTCCCACCTGTCATATACACACTGTGTCTTAGAATCCGTGCTACAGCTGGCTACCAATCTATAGCCCTCATTTATCTGCTTAAAATATGTTTGTAGCTGGCTTATAGCACCTGCTCTAATTTGCATGATTTGGCTGCTGTCGACAAAATGATTTGTCACGGGACGCTGGGATCAACGACATGCAGACGATGTAACCTTGCGATTTTGTATCTTGAACATCAGAGACCGACCTGGCGTTCTTTTTTTTTTTTTTTGCGGGGACCGACCTGGCGTTCTTGTGAGCAATAGAGCCAAATCACTTTAATCTTGTCTTACTGTGTATTCAAAACAACTAAACACTTGTTAAAATACACCGTTATTGATGTTCAAGATACAAAATCCAACGCATTCAGCTAAGCTTGACACATCTAAACACAGCATCAGCCATCAGGACAATGCACAGCACTAGTGAAGTGTAACCATACCGCTACACGTTTAACTACACATCTCGCGGTTACTCCCTGGCGACGACGACCACCTGCTTGCCGACGTTGCGGCCGGAGAAGAGCCCGATGAGCGCGGCCGGCGCGTTCTCCAGCCCTTCGGCGACGTCCTCCACGTACGCGATCTTCCCCTCCTTCACATACCGCGCGGCCTTCTCCTCGTACTCCCTGTACCTGGCGTAGTGGTCGGACACGATGAACCCTTCGATCCGGAGCCGCTTCGTGACGATGGCCGTCAGGTTGTGGACGGGGTCGGGGTGCTCCAGGTTGTACTGCGAGATCATCCCGCAGGCCGCGACGCGGCCGCGCACCCGCATGTTGAGCAGCACGGCGTCCAGCATCGCGCCGCCCACGTTTTCGAAGTAGATGTCGATCCCTTCCGGGAAGCACCGCTTCAGGGCCGCGCTCAGGTCACTCTCCTTCTTGTAGTTGAAGGCGTCGTCGAAGCCGAACTTCTCCCTGAGCAGCCTCACCTTGTCGTCGGAGCCGGCGCTCCCGACGACGTAGCAGCCCATGAGCTTGGCGAACTGTCCCACCAGCTGCCCCACGGCGCCCGACGCGGCGGAGACGTACACCCTCTCGCCTTCCCTTGGCGCGCATATCTCGTGGAACCCGACGTACGCCGTGAAGCCCGCCATGCCTGAAACAGATTATGAAATTAATTAATCGTCGGCCATGGATGCTGATCTGCTAATCAATCGCGGCATGCATGGTTCAATTCGTACCGAGGAGGCCGGTGTAGTAGGAGAGCGGCAGGTCGGGATGGCGGATGGCGAAGAGGGCCCTGCTGGGATCCTTGATGAGGCTGTACTCCTCCCATCCCGTCATTCCCCACACGAGGTCGCCGGCTTTGAACCCCGGGTGGCTCGAGTCCACCACCTTCCCGACGCCATAGCCGGTGATAGCCTGTCCACACCACAGTACACATCACGAGCATCATCAGAACAAGAAATTAACAAACTTTTCCCCATGAAAAAAGTACGCGTTTAATTACAGAGTTAAATCAAACTGAAGATCAAAATTCAGAGAGCAGCATACCTCGCCGACGACGAAAGCGTCGACGTAAGAGCCGTCATGGCTGGACATGCGGCCGCGCATGTAGGGGTCGCAGGACAGGTACAGGTTCTTCACGAGGACGGCGCCGTCCGTGCCCTCGGGCACCCTGGACGGCGCGGCGCCCGTCGCGGCGACGAGCTCCATGTCGGACTCCTTGGGGAACCCCGTCACGTGGTTCCTCAGCACGATCTTCTTGTTCGTCGCTGCCATCTTTGGTCTCTCCAAATTTCAGATTTCCCTGCTCTCGAACTCTCCGTCTGTGGCCGGTGGTGCGGGTCGTTTGCTCTTCGAGATTGCTCTGCGATGTGAGGATTGGGTTGGGACTTGGGGTGGCACTGCCCCCGCGTTATATAGGGGACCACGAAAAGGGATTCGTTTTGTGAACACGTCCACATCGTACGTGTGTACCTGGTTCGCCTAAACGCGTATGAGACGTTGCTGGGCCCGCCCGTCCAGTGGACGATCGGGAGTCGAGTCTCGACTTTGGTTACTCCAGCTTTCCATGTGTGTGACGACACCGTACGTGTAGCACGTTGACGGTTGACGGCTTGACGTTATGCGCCTCTAGAACGTGGCTTAATTTACGGGGGCATGTTGGCCTGTTGGGTCTATTTTCGCTGCAGCAAATTGTTGGATTGGGATTGGGATATTATCTGTACTTCCTCGGTCTCAAGTATAAGATCCTGTTTCGATCATTTAGGCTGCGTTCTGTGGGACATGTTCCTAACTCCTATTTCTTGTTTTATACGCGCACGTTTTTTAAACTGTTAAACGGTGTGTTTTTTGTAAAAAATTTCTATACGAAAGTTGCTTGAAAAATCATATTAATCCATTTTTGAAAAAAAAAAGCTAAAACTTAATTAATCACGCGCTAAACGCTGCTTTGTTTTGCGTGCTGGGAGGGAGGGTTCCCAAACACAGCCTTAGTCCTAAGACTAAAATTAGTCCCTGAGTAAAAACTTTAGTCCATACTGTTTGGATCCAGGGACTAAAAGGTACTCAAAGGCACGTGTATCGAGGGAGAGAGAGGTTGTCACTTTAGTTCCGGTAAGTACCTCCAAGAGAGACTAATGGATTTTAGTCCCAATATGCACTTTTAGTCCTTTTTAGTCACTCCTATTTGGATTCTTAGGAACTAAGAGGGACGGAAATGGAGAGACTAATGGATTAGTCCCATGAACCAAACAGAGTCTAAGTATTTTTAAACTTCAACATAGTTTTTTTTTAAGATGATACCTTGACTAACAATATCTATAAATATAAGATGTTCTAAGTAAAAAGAATTGTATTGTATTATAATAGTTTGTTTAATGATAAATCGAGTAACATCAATTTTATATCATTGTTTTTTTTATTTTTTGTTATTAAAAGTCAAAGTTTAAAAATGTTTAAAACTAGGAAGAAGTACGAATTATCCCCCTGAACAATTGCGACAGTATGAATTACCCCCCCCCCCCCCAAAACCACAAAACCAGACATATTATACCCTCAACTATTCATACCGAACATATAACCCCCTCATTGTTTTTGACCGGTTTTGACTTCAACTTGTACACGTGGCGCCAACGTGGCAATCCAGTCAGAAAAAAAGTAACCGTTGGGGCCCACCTGTCATAACCCTTCATCAACCCAATCCCCTCTTCTCTCTCTCTCTGTCTCGCACACGCGCTCGGACGGCTGGTAGCGGAGGAGGCGCACACTCTCGGACGACCGGCGGCGGAGGCGGAGCTCGTCCGGAAGTCCGGCTGCGGAGGCGGAGATCGCCCGCGTGGCCGGCGGCGGAGGCGGAGCTTGCCTCAGTTGCCTGGGAGTCCGGCGGCGGAGGCAGAGATTGCCCAAGCGGCACTTGTACGAGGAGCACTTGTACGACAAGGACACCGGCAACTGCACTGCCGGTGTCGACTTCCACAAGTGCGGCCACTTCGTCTTCATAGTTAGGCTCAACTTCACCAAGATCGGCTGCGCCCCGCGCCGAGTGCTTCAACGGCAGCGTCTTCATCACATGCAACTACTACAAAGACGAGGAGCAGCCGGCTGCCCATCTTACCTACTCCTAGTTGCATGATATGCTCTTCTTCTTCTCTCTCATCAACACCTTACTTGCTGCCTGCCTGCCTGCCTCATGTACATACAGCTGCCCGAACCACCGCCGCCGCCGCCGCCGCCTTCTTCGCCCGGACCGCCGTCGCCGCCTTCTCAGCCCAACCACCGTCGCTGCACTGGAAAGGATAGGGAATCGGAAGAGAAGGAGAGGGGAAAGGGATGAGCGGCGGCCGCAGCCCTCCTGTGCAGCTCCATCTCGTGCGTCGCCGTCGTGGACGCGGCCACCGACACCGCCCTCCGCTCCAGCCAGGACGCCCTCCGCCTCGAGTGCGACTCCCTCCGCCGCGACGCCGCGCTCCTGCCACACCCGCCCCCGCCGCGCCCATCGCCCGCTCTCCGCCATGCCTGCCGCCCGCCTCGCCCATCGCCGGCCACCTAGTTGCCGCTCCCGGCGACATCTGAGAGAGAGATTGAGAGGAAGGGAAAGGGGAAAGAGAGAGGTGGGTCCCACCATGTTTTATTTGTTTTTAGCTGACAAGCGGGTCCCATATCTTTTTTATTTGTTTTGCTGACTGGAGTGCCATGTATGCATCCACGTAGGATCAAAACTGCCCTGGATCGACATAGGGGGGTAATTCATCCGGTTTGTAAAGTTTAGGGTTAAAAATAACTGGTATTAGAGTTGATGGGGTAACTCGAACGACCGCGATTGTTTAGGGGGGTAATTCGTACTTTTTCCTTAAAACTATGAAAGAAAATGTTTATATGTGGGGACGGATGAAGTAGCTTTTTTTTTAAGAGAAAGGCTGACGCCCAGCTTTCATTAAAAAGCATGAGAGTTCATACAACAAAAGACATGAAGTAGCTTTTTTCCATCGTGAATCTCATGGAGATGTATACGTCACTGCAGGCGTCCCGTTGTGCGCGCGCCAGCCAGGCCAACTTTGCATTCTCCCACACGTGCGCGGTTGCGCACGGTGTCCTCGCTGGCGGATGCAACGGGACACGGCTGACGACCGAGTACCGATTGTGACTCGAGTAAAAGATCGGTGGAGGAAAACGCCACAGCTTTCGGAAAAGTTGGAAGCGATGCATACAGGCATACAGCACACCGGGGCTGTTTGATTCGTATTTGTGTCAGCCTAGCCGCACACGGCTCACCGCTCACACATCCCGATCGCCACGTACGAAGCCGTGTGTGCTGTGCTGTGTGGCTCGCCGTCGCCGCTGCCCCGTTGCTTTGCTCGTCCAGACCTTTGGACGCGTCAACAGATAGCGTTGTGTTGCATTGCTGCCCAAGTTCTCGTACACGCCACGACACGAGAATTAATCGCAGGAATCATGATGCTGCACAGTTATTTTCTACCGCGACCAATTTTTTTAGAGGATCTACCGCGAGAGCACAGCTGCGGCGTTGCAATGTGTGGAGATGTCACTCACGGAAGAAGCCCAAAGTTTGCTGGGCTGTACGGAAAATAAGAGCTACTCCAGCTTTAAAGCGGCCGGCGCAGTCAGCCGGTACGAGATCGAAAATTGACACGAACCGCGAGTCCGCAACCCATCGTGATATTGTGGAAGTGGAGGCCTTGGAAACACCAACGGGCCGCTGCAATTTCGGCTCGGCTGGCAGTGGCCTCGTCAGCGGCTATATTGCCTTGACTAGAACATATATGTTTGAAATTTGAGTAGAACTCGGTTTAAAAACATAAAAAAACTGAGATTCGTGCAGTCATGTAATTTTGGAATGCTGGATATGCTTTTAAGATTCGTGCAGAACCCCCTTAACCCTAGCTCCTCTCCTCCTCTCGTTCCCCACGCGCCCTCTTATCCCTCGCCACGCCGCCGCCCGCCTGGTCGGCTGGCCGAAAGATGTCAACGGCACCAGCGAGGCCCCTGTCCGTCCCCTTCCCCCTCTCTCTACTCTTCTTTCCTTAAGCCGATGGCAGCGAGTTGTCCCTGCGCCACCATCTTCCCCGTCTCCACCTCCTCCTAACGGCCCTTCCGCTCAGCCCCCGTCGCCTACACCGACCTACCGCCAACTTTTGACCCTACGGCTTAGGCGGCAGCTTCGCCACTGCCTCGCTGCTCGCTCGATCCGTCGCCACCGCTGGGCTGCCGCCTACCACAACCATCCCTTTAAAGTTGATGAACTCCCACTTCCACCCCCACCTTCAATCCGGGACCCTAACCCGTAAGGTCCTTTGTCAAAGTATAGGGTGTCGTTGGTGTCAGAGTTGGAGAAAAAGGCCTAGAGCACGAATCGTGAAGCTCATCCAATAGTCTAAAACCTATAAGATTTAAAGATGAATTTTTCGTAAGGTTAGCAATTCCTTTTTTTTTTGGAAGATCCAGCTGGGTGCCGGCATTATATTCATAGGAGGAGAAAACAAAAGGTTCTATATACAAGGTTAGCGGTTTGCGCTTTAAAAGGAAAAGAAACTAAGGCAATAATCTCTTGATATGCTTTGCACCGCCCATACCAAGTTCTGGCCTCTCGTATGATCCCTTCGACAGTCTGCCAAGTGCCAAGTGGCAGTTCTTCTCGTCGGAAGATAGTCACGCAATTGTAAGAGATCATACTGATTTGAATCCCATTTTGTTGCAACTTGTTTGCAGCCTATTTGTAATCACATCTGTTGATTCATCCACCGTGATCATAATTTATATGAAGAAAACATCTTTCATCTACAGGTCATGCATAAAGCATTCCATCATCCACAGTATCGATTTTGCCGAAGTTAACGTGTATAATACAAAAGAATTGCGTGATCACCAAAAACTGTATGACCAAACGAACCGAAACACCTCGTTGATCTAATCAAACACCTTCGGAACCACTAGGCACGGCGATGTACTTGGCCGGCCGGTTGGATTGAATTCTCTCTCACGGCTTCCACTTGGACGGCGGCGGCGGCGTGGCCGGGAACATGGGCGGCACGGCGGAGAACATGGTGTTCTTGTCGACGGCGGTGACGCCCGCGCCGCGGCCGCTGTTGGTGAGGGCGACGAGGGCGGCCACGAGGCCGGCGTTGCCCACCAACGTCGGCTCGTTCTGCGCGTAGGTGAGGCGCGCGTCCTTGAACTGGTCGTTCTTGTCCGGCCCGCCGACCATGGCGCCGACGAGCACGTTCGGGTCGGCCCCCTTGGTGTCCCTCCACTTGTACCCGCCGGTGCACGAGTACTTGATGCCGTTGTGCGGCGTCGACGCCCCCCTGTGGTGCAGCCGCCGCGGGTACTTCTTGCCGTACCCCACCACGTAGCTCATCTTCTTCGGGTTATCCCCAAGAATGTAGTTCACCTGCACATGTACATCGCCGTCGTCAGCAAAACAACTTCCAATTGATGCATGCATTGTGAAAATCTGTGATCGATCGTCGATTACACGTACCTGAGACCTGGCGAAGGAGCGGAGATCGTCGACGGTCATGAAGTAGGGGCCGCAGTACCAGCCGGGGACGTTGACGGACTCCATGTAGTCGGCGTAGAGCGCGGCGAGGAAGGAGTTGGCGACGGTGTACTGCAGCGGCTGGCCCTTCCCGTGGTTGAACTGCGCGAGCCCACCCTTGGTGAAGTTGAAGGCGCCGAAGCGCGGGAAGTAGGTGCACATGTTCATGCTGGTGGTGTTGTGGTACCCGATGAGCGACTCCTCGTAGGGGTAACCCGGGTTGAGGAACATGCGGAGCCGCGACAGCAGCAGCTCGGCGCCCGGCAGCTTGTTGTCCCAGCTGAAGACGGAGAAGTCGAGGATGCTGTAGAAGGCCTTGGCGTTCTTGGGCAGCCGCGGGTCGGTGGCGAAGGTGATGTAGGTGTTGTTCCCCGTGGCGTAGTACATCCACGCCGCGCTCCACATGTACTCGTCCCAGTAGCTGGTGGAGTTGTAGTAGTACTCGATGTACTGGTTGCCGCGGGAGTACGGGGTGCGGCGGCCGCTGCTGCGCGCGAACTTGTACACGGCGGCCGCGCCGTTCACGAGCTTCTTGGAGTAGGCGGCGTTGTCGCGGAACACGATGGAGGCCGCCGCGAGCGCCGCCGCCATCTCGCCGCCGAGGTCCGGCGCCGAGCCGGCCGTCTGGACGGGGCGTGGGTACGCCATGTCCTCCGGCCGGTTCCAGCAGTAGTGGTCGTCCGGCTGGGTGCCGTTGATCTTCGCAATGCCCACCTGCAGGAGCATGCATGCACCGTTCAGACCTAGTATGCTTGATTTGACATCATTTTCTTTTTCACTTAATACTGATAACTTCAAATGTTTTTACATAATTTTCCTGGTGGATCAACCCAGAGTAAGAGAATGTGAATCAAAGTTTTACCACTGCATCTTTCATTGTATGCCAAAATGTAGTTCTGAGAGATCGAGACAGATCGACCACTCCTAAGTTTTAATTATATTATTGTTCAGCACATGCAGATGATTGGATGATGAACCTTATTCTACTGGAGCCCATGTGATAAGAGTCAAAGGTTGTTAGGCGTGCCAATCAATTACTGATGGAATAGATTGCTCGGCATGTAATACTGTAATTGACAGAACTGACCAGTTTGCTCACTACGACCTTATTTCAGAAACTTACTTTACTGCTGTAGTAAGAAACAGTATGCTTCTCTGCATTTATAAATTCTACGGTCTTCCAGCTATGATTACAGCAGAAAAGAACCAAGATAGTAACAATGCACCAAAATTTTCACAGATCAAATATTTCTTCCAAGATTCATAATGAAATATATTCAGAATTGGGACTTTGAGCAAGTACCTGGCTATAGACTTTGTCAATGGTGGAAGCAGAGGAGTTGAAGGTGAGGAGCAGGTAGTCGGTGCCCCACTTGATGAGCTCCCTCACATGGTCATACTCCCCTACCGCCTTGTACTTGGCGCTGTACTCGATCACTGACCAGCTGAGCATTGTCATGGAGAAGGCCAAGGGGAAATGGAACTTGATGTTGTCGCCGGCGTCGTAGTAGCCGCCGACGAGCCCGCCCTTGACGTCCGTCAGATCGGAGCCATCCGACAGGCCGGAGTTGCCGCGCCATTTGATGCCGTTGTTCTTCGGGAGCCGGCCGGCTGTCAGAGCAGAGAACGAGACATGGCCAAAATTGTTCGTCAGAGAAAGAAGGGCTGCATTCATCAGTGCACGTTTCAAACTGAATTTTGAGCATGGAAGTCAGAATCGGATGACTAGTAGTACTGTAGTGTAAGCTCAAGATCTACAAGTGCAGAGTATCTGTCAAGATCCAGAAGCAGATCATGCGGCGAGATCTACAGGTACACTAGTATTGCAGAGGAGTACTTCGTGCCGCGTTAAAGAATGGATCAATTGGCTGTCCTACATGTGCACGAACGTGCGTGAGACGCCAAATTGCCAAGACTCCAAGCCAAAGCGCAGCTGGATTTTTGGGAGATTTCTCTCCACATCAGAGTGTCACTTTCTTCAAAGCTGTGGGACTATGAACAGTAGCACAGAACATTCCATTTGTGGGGTTGCAGTTGTGCACAGCTCAACTGAACTGATTAAAACTAACTAGTGCTACTACTCGCCTGTAGATTTGTACTTGCTCGATCCTCTCTCCTCGGGATCAACACATAATCATGCAGCTAATATCACGGGTCAAAAGTTCAAAACTCAGTAAACCTAAGGAAATTCAAGGCAACATACTTCTACTCATTTTGAGCAAATCCGTCTGCAGATTCAGAAGCTCTAACACAAATGGCAAATGCGATGAGATCTCTACTGATCAAAGTCAAAAGATTCTTGTTTTGGCAAAGGTTTCCATCCTAGTTAGTTAATTAACTAACGCACAAACAGAGGATCATATCACAGGATGGAGGGGGGACTGACATTTCTGGGCGTTGAAGAAGAGGAGGGCCTTGTGGAGGGCGTCGGTGTACTGGTCGGGGGGAGGGGCGTGGGGCTTCTTCTTGGGGATGGACTTGGCGATGATGACGGGGAGGCCGATGAGGATGAAGGCGGCGAGGAGGGTCCAGAGGACCCACCAGAGGAGCTTGCGCTTGACGACGACGCAGCCGAGGTCGACGTACTTGTCCTTCTTCTTGGCCTCCGGCGGGCCGAGCAGCCAGCTCTGCTGCGTCTCGTCCAGCTGGTGCTGCCGCGCCGACAGCGCGCCGCGGTCCAGGTCCATGTTGCGGCTGTGGTCATCCTCCGCCGCGCCGTCCGCGGCGATCTCGAACGACCCGCCCCAGTGGTTCGCCGAGTACATGGCTGTGGCTGCGGCTGCGGCGGTGGGCTTGGCTCGCCCCGCGGCTGCGGGTGGCTTAGCTGGTGGGTCGATCGGTCGATCAGCGCATGAAACGCGGGTGCTATTCTTGGGGCGGTGGTGGCGAGGTGCGGTGGCTTTGGGTGGGGGCGTTTTGAAGGGGGAGAGAGAGCGGGCGGTGGTTGACTTGGGTGGCGCACCCGGACTGGCGCGCGCGCGTGACACTGTGCCGTTGTGAGCGGGTGGCGCGGTAGCTCTAGTGAAAGTATCCCTCCGTTTCATATATATTACTCTCACCATTTTTAACGTACGACGCCGTTGATTTTTCGACCAATATTTGACCATTCGTTTTATTCAAAATTTTTGTGTAAATATGAAAAAATTTATGTCATGATCAATGAACATTTGATGACGAATCAAGTCACAATAAAATAAATAATAATTATATAAATTTTTTGAATAAGACGAATAGTCAAACGTTAAATAAAAAGTCAATGGCGTCATACATTAAAATATGGAGGTAGTATAATTTTTGTTTCTTAATCAAACTATTTTAACTTTAATTAGGTTTAGAGAAAAAAATTAGCAGCATATATAACATCAAATTATTTTCATCAAATTCAACATTAAATATACTTTGATGAAATATTGGTTTTGTGTTAAAAAAATTACTATATTTTTCTACATATTTAATCAAACATAAAAAATGATTAGAAAAAAAATTTAAAATGACTAATAATATGAGACGGAGGGAGTAACACTTTTTTTGGATGTGGAAATGTTTTTGCAAATAGTTAGATGAACAGATCAAACCAAAGTAAATGCAAGTTTTCAAATGTAAGTTACTTTGACTTTTTTCTTAGTCAAACCTTTCAAAGAAATTTGATCAGGTTTATTGAAAAGATTAGCAATATCTACAACACAAATTTAGTTTCATCATACGTAACATTGAATATTTTTGTCATATTATGTTTGTTTTGTGTTAAAAATATCGTTAGATTTTTCTATAAATTTGATTGAATTTTAAAAAATTAACTAGAAAAAAAATCAAACCGATCTATAATTGGAACGGGGATATGGCTGTGTTTAGTTCCTTCCAAAGTTGGAAGTTTGGATTGAAATTGATATGATATGATTGAAAAGTTGTGTGTGTATGGCAGGTTGATGTGATGAAAAAAGTTAGAAGTTTGGATCTAAGGGCCTGTTTGGCACAGCTCCAGCTTGGAGGTGGAGGTCAGACAAACAGTTTCAGCTCCACCAAAACTGTGAGTGGAGTTAAGTGGAGCTCTCTCACAAAATGTACTAGAGTTGTGGAGCTGGGTTTAGGCAGCCCCACAACTCCACTCTAGACTCAACTCCTAGAGCAATATTTAGGAGTTAGAGCTGTACCAAACAGGCCCTAAACACAGCCTATATCTGAAAGACTGCATGTTTATACTCGGTTCGCCTGCTTCCTTTGTGACGCTATGCCATCAATTCGAGCCGCCTTTTTTTAAACTGATTTTCGTTGGAGGTGCCATTGGGATCTGTCCAGTACAGACTGACTGATGACTTCTGGATTGCGACGTTAACGGGGGAGTTCAGGCCAGCTAGATGCAGGGCTACAGCGATGGTTTAACTCCATCAGAAGAAGAAAAAAAAAGTAAAGGAAAAAACCATTGTTTTCCATGTGTGTTTGGTGAAGCATTTTCTGCTCCATGCAGCATGAGAGTAGTGGTGGTGGTGGGGTACACTATTTTGGTTATCCATGGTGATGCTGCACAGGAACAAAAGAACAATCCCCATTTTGCTGTCAGGATGCAGAGCCGGCTAGGAAGCTCCTCGCCAGTAGCGATCACTTTTCCCCCTCGCAATATTCTACTCGCACTAGCGTTTGTCATTCGTGCTGGCGTGTGACATGTGGATTTCAGAACAATCTGTTCTGTCTGTCTGCTCGACCCGTCTGATTGTTAATCGCTTACAGTATCACCTCTCCACAGCTGGTGAAACCTAACTGTTCTTGTGTCGATCTTAATTTTCTTATGCTGGCCGTTCTACTAATTTTTTACTCCTGTATCTGTAAATATGGCATCGTCAGGACTTGGGTTTGATTCAGTTGAGCAATCAAAATCAGCAAGAAAAGGGCTCGTTGTCTGTCTATGCTGCGCACCTGCATTTTCAGTCTGAACTCTGAACATGAAAATTCCAGTAAGAAAGCCTCTTGCCTCTCATGGCAGGGTTAAGTTTACAGCAATTTGCAAGCTCAACAACCATCCGGCTATGTGTGTCGGTCGATCGGTGGAGTCAAAGACGGGAGGAAACACATGGAGTGCGAGTTTTGCGTTGGTTTCTTCCTACTCCCCTGGATTTTTTATTCACATGGTGTTAGCATGTTCAAGCCTGGCAAGAGGTTGGCACCAATTATATACGGATCGTTGAAACCTTTTATGATTAAGTAGACTAGATGTGCGTATCCTCCTTGATCATTTCGTGTTGTAATTGGCCAGCCATCCTTCTGTCACCAAAGCGATGGCTCAGAGTTGTACAGTGACCTTTCACCGGAAACAATTGTGCAACTACGTCCTAAAACTGAGAGATTTTCTCTGAGTTAGTACATTTTTGTACTTAATTTAAAGTGTCGGGAGAATATGGTCACATCTTAAAGAGAACAGTGTGTGTTATGAGATGACAGGAGGCTGCTCCGGAGGTGTGGCTAACTTGCTGACAAAAATTCAGAAGCAAACCTGCACATTCAGAGAAGCTTAGGATGCTATAGTATTCTGATGCGTAAAAATGTAAGATTGCTTAATCTATCAGGACTGAGCGAGTGGCATTGGTACGAGTGAATATAGAAATTGATTTGATTGCAGCTGTGGGAGGAGCGAGAGAAGGTGACATGCCACTGGCTAGGGGGCTTCAAAAAATTATTGTCATCGAGTTGTTAGAGCCAGCCCGTGGACATTAGGAAATTCAGACACCGACAAAATCGGCAAAGAACGGCAAGCCGCAAGCATATGTTGTGAGGGAAAAAAATATTCGTCACCGACAGTACCAACTGCTATGATCGAGAGAACGCCTGTGGGCCTGGGGCTTGAGAACCCATTTCCCTTGTGATTTGGGGGGAAAGGTAGAAGAAGATGACAAAGGCCAGGCAATGTTGGTGTCAGGGATGAGAAGGTAACAGAAGTTGTCCAACGATTTTTTGCAAAGCCTTTTTATATATGGTTTCCTTAGAATCCCTTTTTAAAACTACTTTTAACGTTGTAATGGTTAATTCGTTAATCAGTATCCTTGAATAATTATCATAAATCATTCATCTATTCATCCATTCCATTTAACGTGAAAGAAAAATGAGATTTGGAGAGCGACGTCCCTCTAAACTTTTTTTTAAGAAGAAATTGTGAGCGTATGGGGGATTGAACACGGGACCTCAGAGTTGAAATCTCTAACCCTGTTTCTTAGCACAGTAGCGTCTTTAGATGGCTCCTAGCACTCACGGTTTACAACCTCGATGGATAACCAAAATATCATGCCAATCAAAATCATGATATGTGCAAATTTTTGAGCAAATTTTAAAAAGCTAAAATTGCATAAGAAACCTCGCAATTTCCCAAAAAGGTGATCAATTTTTAGTTGGGATACTTGAATTTTAAACAATTTGTTCAAAAAATCATGAAGGGATCAATTGCTCGAAATTCATTCAATGTACTAGATATTCTTTCAAAACACTTAATTTGATCAAAATCCTCAAAATTCGGTGGCATTCTCCTGAGTGTAGAGAAAACATGGAATAACTGTTATAAAAGTATGAAAATATAGGATAATTGACAAAAAAAATCTAGAAATGTAAGGTAACTGTAAAATAATGGAGAAAATTGGGGAAATGGATGATAAGTATGGAAAAATAATGGGGATACGAGGGAAAGTGTGAAAAACATGAAAACATACAAAATATAAAAAAAATGAATTTTTTTATACAACTTAGTTCTACAACCTATAGGAATTTTCCAATTTTAAGTATGTTTTTTTATTCTATTCTGATTTTAATAATGATTCTATTCTGATTTTAATAAATATTTGAATTCCCACTCGAACCCTTTGTGCTCGCTGGAAATGTATATATCTCACAAAATTTGTCAACAATGTAAACGCAATTGGATTTGTAGAGATCAACTTTAGGTTTAGTTTCTCTCATCACCACTTCAGCGGCGGACCCATCTCCTGCACTCATTCACCCGATTTTCATGTGGACATGATGTCCAACTACTGCTGCTATGTGGTTCAGAACTTTTTTCAATCCTAAGATCCCGTGTTCAATTCACAATACGCTTACAATTTCTTCTTAAAAATTGTTTGGAGGGACGACTCTCTCCAAATCTTGTTTTTTGAGTTTGTAGGGGGTAGAAAACTTGACATGAGAAGTCATGTTTAGCTTTTCTCCTCTTCCGTCTTTATTTGGTTGATTATTTCACTTGTTTATTTCCAATGTTTTACCATCATGTTTAATTTCGTTTTGCTTTAGTACGTGAAATGAAGCCTGTCGAGGGAAGGCCCTCGATAGCGGGAAGTCGTGAGACCCCCCTTTTGTGAGTTCGGCCGGGGGCAGAGGCTCGCCTCTTAGAATTCACCTATCCGTCCCTAAGACTGCTGGCTAGCTTGTACACAATCGAGTTATACAGGTTCGGGCCGCTATGGAGCGTAACACCCTACTCCTGTGTTTGGGATTATGGATGAGTATTACAAGGGTTCCTTTACTCTGGAGAGCGCTATCGTCTTTCTTCTCCTAGAGTTCAGGTTTTCTGAGAGTCGTCCTCCTGTCTCGGTGGGCAAGGTCCTCCTTTTATATCTCAAGGGGATACCACATGTGCCGCCTCTACCTACCCCTCCATAGGAGGGGGACCCCACTTTACTTTGACCGGGCCACAATCCGTGCCTTTGCCTGGAAGCTAAGCAGCAGCCTGCCCTTGAGTGGGACCCAGCGCCGCCCCCCGCCTGACACGGGGGACAACCCTGTCATTCCCTCATAAATGAGTGGAGACTTGTGGTAGCCCTCCTTCGAGTGACACTCCGATGGGACGGGTCATACCTACCCCCACTCCGCCGGATACAGAGGCGACGTGGGGGCACGGCCGCCCGTTCAATTGGACGTGACCGGCAACAGGCCGGTCACAGACTGGTCACATCCGATTGACAGGGGTCAGTTAGGCGGCACCGCACGTCTGCCCTCACCGCATTAAATGCGGTGAGGGACAGTTGGCGCCGCGTATTTATGGCTGTCCAGCCTGGGTCCCCTTTTCTCTCTCTCCCTGCGCCACATGGCAGTTGGGCGAGGGCCTTGGGGCGAAGCAGCGGGAGAGCCCGAGGGGGTGACGCTCCACCCCGAGGCCTCCCCCGTCGCTTTCGGGACTTGCGAGGCGTGAGAGTGGGGCCAGCTTGCAGAGCCACGTGGCTAGAGGGGAAGATAACTTCCCTTTACTTCGCATACCCCCGGGTCCATATCTCCGACAAAGCCTGATTTGGGTAAGAATTGAGGAATTTGAGCTACATAACATAAGTACATTTTGAAATGAGACATGTTCGTTGGCTAGTTAAATCAGTAACTTTTTTAACATTTATATATGAACTGGAGAGTGACATACTGAACCTGGAATTAAGAATATAATGTATCTTAAGACAGAATGAATATATATACACTACTTTCTCCATGTCTTACCTTAATACTACTGAAGAAGGTGGGAACTAAAAAATATAGATAGTTGACAGAAGCAGTTGTGAGCTATAGCCCAACAAGTTTAAACGACGCAAAAACATCTAGCTACTACCTATAATTCTTTTTATTTCCTACAGATTTCAGTTCCAAAATATACTTTGAGTTTATTGATTGGTTGTTATGGCATTGTCTTATGTTGTTAGCCATGTTTGATGTTTAATTGTCTAATATAGTCATTTGTGCGGTCTTTTTTTTCCCCTTATATCACTACTACTTGGTTCTACCTTTGTGAATCCCCTAGCCAATGGATAAAATAATTTCTCAATCAGTTACAAAATTAGTAATGATTATACGATATTCTATTTCCGCAATTAGAATTTAAATGCCACAATAAACTATTACAAAAAGAATATGTTACCACAAGCGTGCAATTAATAGATGGAATTCAGCCAAAATGGCAAAAGTAAAACTACAACAAAAAGAAAAGATAAAACAAAAAAGTAGTGGAAAATAGTTAAATGGGTTTCGAATTTGTGGCAAAAGACAAAACTTTCCACGACAAATTTGGAAGATACAATGTTGTTCAGTGGGCACCCTTCTTTGTGATGCTCCCTCTCGTCCCATGTCACATGTTTTCCATGCAATACGAGTACTCACAAATTAGGCTCCTCGCATGAGGTGTGTTGTTGCAGCCGTCCGTTATGTGTTTCTTCTTAAGAAAAGCATTCAAGCCAGACTTCCAACACAAGGTGCACATCAAGTTCTCGGTTTATGCTTTCCATCTCGCCTTCTAGGACGTGCAATTCCACTACCAGCAATCCATTTGGCTTCATAGTTTCTAGGTAAGATCGCTACATCCATACTTGTTCCTACATGTTTTATGATTTCGTTCCTATTTTCTTATTGTTTGCACAGTTTTTGGTAGAAGTGTGTTTTATCTTAACTTGTAATGTGTATTTGGAATGTGTTTTGTGAGTTGAGTGAGTGATAATGATTGTGTGGGAAGTTTGTCTCCTTGATTTTTATGCGACTTCCTTAATACGGTTAGTTTAGAGCAATAAGGTTCTCGAACACAGATTGTTTGGTATTTAGGTGGTGTACATTCGAAGTTTCTTTTTTAGCTGTTTTGTGGTATGAATTGGGGCGGATCTAGAAATTTGAAACACCAGCGTCATACTACACTTGTCATGCTTAATTTATAGTTCATCTTCTATATGCAAGCTATTTATTGATGCCGATATTGTAGATCCCATCCCTTGTATGAATATCTAACAAATTGTCTAACTTAAGTTATAAATCGTGCGAATTTCACTAAACCACTTAGGCTTTGTTCGGTTAATTCTCAAGAGGAAGGGATTGGATGGATTATTTTCCTCCAAATCCCTCCCAATCCCCTTGTGGGTAGGATTAACCGAACAATCCCTTAAGGAAGATCTACCTAATTTTACCCTGTACATCCAAGTGAGCCATTTCAAATAGGACATTCTATCTTCTATTAAAATTTTCGATTATACTGTTTCTTGTGTCACAGATTTCTTTTTTAGCTTATACCATGGTTTCCCTTACCATTTCTAGGAAGGGGGCATTTCTTTTCTCGCTTATACCATACTGTAGTGATTATGGCAAACAGTGAAAAAACATGAGAAACATGACCTGAAATTATAAAAAAAAAATGAACTCAAGGTTACCAGGTTCCAACCGTTTACCGCACCCCGGCAGTAAAGTAAACCTTGGCTTATACTAGCTGTTTTAATATTCTTTACTTCTTTGTGCCCTTTTCAAATAAATATATCTTGTTATAATGGATTTCTGTTGGATGTGTACTGTGTTTTTGGAAGATGGTCATTATTCCAGAGGCATTTATTCCCCTATTCCCCTGCTCATAAATCAGTGTACTAATATAGTTCTGCTGCTCACAAAACACAATGGGCTAATATATATATATAGGAACAGAACCGTCGGTTGTGGCAAACTGGCAATCGTGTCAAATACACTCGTGTATGAGTACATCTATTACTCCAGAATTGTTCTAACGTAAGGAAGCATGCGGTACCATTTTTGCAGAGCCATCAACCAAGACATGGCGACCAAGTACATCGTCGGATCAGTGACGGCATCCTTTGCCTTTGCTTATGTTTGCGGCGTTTACTTCGCCGACAAAAAGGTTTTAGGAGGTCAGTTCATCTGAAATTATGAATTCGCATATTCATCTCAGTTTTGCTGCAGCAGAGAGAAGGTATATATATTTCACCTGTTTCATCTCCTGGAACCAGGCACAACTCCTCGCACGGTGGCAGACAAGGAATGGGGGAAAGTGACCGAGGAGAAGCTCGACGCATGGCCTCGCGTTGCAGGGAAGCCGGTCTCCATGAACCCAGTCACCCGCCAGAACTACGTTCTGGTGAAGAAGAAGAAGGCTTCAGGGTCAAAGAAGGCATCCGAGCCCTGAAAACTGCAAGGAGAGAGTTTGCTGTGAGGTGCTAAAACATTCTGTGGCAGTTACAAATAAATTACATCGAATGGGTGTAATAGATTAAGAATGTTGTTTGAAGTGTGTTACTGCTTAAGCTTTGATTTTTCATACCTGACATGTTTGTAGAGCATCAGCTGAGTGGTGACTTCAAGCAGCAGGACATCATATCATCGAATTTTCGTCAATTTCCGAGCAATCAGTTTGAATGATTCTTCCAAAAGTAAATTTTGGACAAAATCAACATATACAAGGGCGATCAAAAAAAAATCATTCATTTGCATGTTCATAACAAAAATCGAGGAAATATGTCAAATCTGCAGCTGAGCAGCTGCATCCGTTCTGACATTCTAGGAGATGCGATGAAATTAGACATTTGCAACACTACGCATTGGCAAATTATCAAGTGAAGCGGTACATGAAATATTTATCAACATATACACTGAAATAAGAGGCGAGCGCTTTCCTTTCACCGAAATAACACTACAGACTGAAAAAAAAAGGTGAAGCTATGAATTGCAATGAAGCCCAAGTGGGATTTTCAATCCTACTGCCTGGCCAACCACAGTTAGCCAAGCTGGTAAGTATCGCACTTGTTGATCCTTGTCTTGCATTCCTTCAAGAAGTAACTTCATACAGTCACTGGTTCCACAGGGATGCAAAGTGAACCATGGCCTACTAAAATGGGGATGCTCCTGCAGAGGGTGCAAGAAAAGTTCAAATTTAGTAAGTGTAGGGAGTATAAAACTTTCCAACAATAGAGTAATCAGTCAAAAGAATTGTGTGGTTCACTCATACCTCTCGAGTAATAAACGTCCACCTTGATTCGCCTAATAATTTGAGTGAGAGAGAAGGAAGGTCCTCTTTAATCTCATCTAGAGTTAGCAGCTGGCCACCTAGGAAAATGTTTCAGAGATCATATGCCAAACAGGACAGGAAGAAAGAAAACATTCGTTTGCATCCTGAAATATGCATACCAGACTGATGACCCTGAAAGTATAGCACTGGAACCTTGTAAGAAAAGCTGTACACAACATGGTAATCGTAAAAATGAAGATTGCCACTACAGCTCTGGACCTGCAAGGAGAAGGAAATCATAAGTAGAAGTACTGAACATATGTGAGAAATAAGCAGTTAACAGAAATATAAATTGAACAATGTAATAATGTACACTACAAATTTTTACCCAAGTATCATCCCTGACAATGTCCGCATCATCGAAGTTATCACCACCCTTAGGGAGTGTTTGAGGAGAAGGGGATTGAGGAGATTGGGAAGATACGCAAAACGAGGTGAGCCATTAGCTCATGATTAATTGAGTATTAACTATTTTAAATTTTAAAAATGGATTAATATGATTTTTTAAAGCAACTTTCCTATAGAAATTTTTTGCAAAAAACGCACCGTTTAGTAGTTTGAAAAGCGTGCGCGCGGAAAACGAGAGCCAATCTCCCCTATCACCCCTAAACGAACGATGCCTTAGTTTGCTCCTGGAGGACAATTTTATGTCAACGCAACACTAATTTGCAAGCTCACACTACTCATTACACATGTGAATACGCGAAGAAAGTACTGACCTGGCTTCCTCCATGATTACGGTATACTCCTTCAAGAGCCAGATAGCCCTCTTCCTGCAAAAAAAAAAAAAAGAAAGAAAGAAAAAAGAAACAAGAACAAGATGATCAACGATCGCCATGTATAATCTGAAAAGAAAAAAACAGTAATCAAATTCGGTCATCATCGCATAGCACAACCTCAGATGGAACTCCCATCTTGCAGCAAGGCTTCCATCGCCAGTCGGGAAGAGCGTCGTCAACATCGATCTCCTTCCACTTCTCGATCAGAGCCTTCGCTGAGGCAACGAAGTCGCCATGGGACAGAGTCCCATCCCTCACGGTGGTGGAGCCTCCCATGGTTAGGGATATGGGAGGGACACCAGCGGCGGGGTCGGGAGGCGACCCGCGGGACCCCGACCGCGAAGGGCACCAGCTGCGCACGACGACCTGAAGCAAAAACTACGCGACGGCGGCGGGCGTCGGCGGCGAGATCGGGGGCGGTGGCCTAAGCTACGGGCCTACGGCTCCACCGTCCCGAGTCAGGTTGCCTCGTGGCGTCGGGTTGAATTTGGGCTCGTGGGGTTTCCGGATTGCGGCTGGCTTTCCACCACCGCGTGAATCCATCACCGTACCGTATTCGGTGGCCGGAGCTGTGCACGGAACCAGAAGCAGTGGACACGGACGCTCGGCGTTCGACCAAATGTGCCAATGCTCCCCAGGTCACGCACAAGCCAAACAATGGGAGAGGGAAGGGACACACTGACTAGTGATTAGTACCAGGCAAAACAAGGCAACGGTTCTGTTAAAAAAAATAAAATAAAAAATCACTGCAGAGTTATCCACAAGTGCAGAAATCCTGCTTTTTATTCATGGACGAATCAAAGTACTTGGTGACGTACTGACGTTTATTCAATTCAAGGTCTCATGTTTCTCACATACAGCAGTTGAACAGCTTAGCTGGACGGTGATACCTCTTCAGTCTTGCAAAAAAACTCGACAAAAAGAACAGCGGTAAAAACACAACCATCATCCCGATCAACCAGTTGGGGACAATGGATAATAATGGCCTCAAGATGCTATAGCAAACGGCGAAAATCTCTAGCAGCCAAAACTTTGCCGTCCCGATGATATCAGTAGCCCCGGCGGTCAGGCCAGGTGATGCTGGAACAGCGAGGCCATCTCGATCTACAGGAAAGATAGTTTGTTGAGATGAAAATGAATCCAGGTTTCTATCTGACTTGTCAAGAAATGGTACTCACTGCAGTTAGAGCGGCTTCAGCTCCCTTGTTTCCAGCCTTACCACCAGCACGATTTAGAGCCTGTAAAGGTTTGATGTGGCATGTATTTTATTAGTAGAGGGAATTAGTTAATAAGTAGATAAATAGTCCGTGACTTCTCAAGGGTGGTTGGACAATCAAGGAAAGATCTGTACAGTACGCATGGCAATTTTATCAGAAAGCATGTATGATTGTCTTGTATCATTAGTCCACCCATGTCGAGTTGATTCAGGTTCATTTTACTAAAATATTCACACCAACAATGTCACATGACAGCACGCCAAAGTGGTGGTGCATCTTCCATTAGAGTTAAACATAAGGGTTGGGAACATGACAGCTACATTTCGAGTAAGAAACTTTCAAAATCCATTGCTTCTCAAATTACTATGGTTCAAAAGTACAGAATAACTACTTGACAAACGACGAGTTATAAATTGGATATGGAATAATAGAAACTTTGGTAAGATACATGTTAATGAATGATGAATTACCTGGTCCATGTCATCACATGTCAGAACACCAAATATGCATGGGATCTCTGTGCAACAATAAAAAAATAATAAATAATCTGCCATAAGTTCCACTGAGAGTTACCCCAGCTGAAAACAAAAACTTACAGAATTAGGTTCCTACAGGCACTACACCCAAAGAGGTGAAAGCAACGTACCAGCAGACAATCCAGCAGACAGTACACCTGAAGCAGCAGAGTTTGCAACAGCATCGTAGTGGGTTGTGTCACCTCTAATCTGCAAATTAGCATAAGGAAGACTTCTGTAATCAAATCGCACCAACTACTGATAACTAAGGGCTTGCAAAAAATAGATATAAAGGTATTATCATGCCAAGAGCGGTGGGATTAAGGGAAAATACTTTGTGACTTAGTATTGTTAGCTAGACGGGCCTGTTTGGTAAAGCTCCAACTCCTAAATTTAGCTTTAGGAGTTGGGTCTGGAGTGGAGTTGTGGAGCTACCTAAACCCAGCTCCACAACTCTAGTTCATTTTGTGAGAGAGCTCCACCAAGCTCCACTCCCATTTTTGGTGGAGCTGGAACTGTTTGGCTGAGCTCCAGCTCCAGGAGGGGTGGAGCTAGAGCTGGAGCTGTGCCAAACAGGCCCTTATGTTAGTTATGATAAAGCTCCTAGTTGAATTTTGTCCAGTGTAAATTAGACATATGATTGGCATTGTTTAAAAGACACCCTGTAAAATATGAGTTACATAAACATTTCAGAACTCATTATTTGGCACACTGCACCAGGCTATATAGTATCTGAATCAGATAATTATGATGTGTCTGGAAAATAACCTAGACACAATCTTGGAGCCATGATATATGGTAATATGAACAAAAAGGCAAACAACTTACCACAGCGCCAATGCACAAAATTGCATCAAACTTTCCAGACTTCCCAAGCTTTTGTGCCGCAACAGGAATTTCAAAACTGCCAGGAACACTTACAACCTAAACAATCATTTGAATTAGAGTGAGGCAATGTGCACCAAAAGTTTCTGAAACTATTTAGAAACTTAAACAAACTAAGGCTGTTTACCAATCATGGATGAAGTCTGAATTCATATGTTTTGTGGATCACTTTATATGTCTGATATGCAACAAAGGTTGTACACAGCTTAAGTGCGTACCATGCTAACATTAGTTAACCTCTACTTATGAATGCTACATGTGTGAAGTTCATCTCATACATCGAAAGGTTATTCACAATTACAAATCCATGAAACATGCTGATAATATGTAGTTCATACATTGTCAAGCATGGAACAAAAGGAAAATAGTTAATGGGCCTAGAGAAACTGCATTACATTTTTTACTTCAGAACAGTATTTCTGAACAATGAAATAAGAAAGGAACAGGTGGATGGGCATGAAACATATATTAACCCTACAAAGTAGGTAAGTCATCCAACAAGAGTGCTATGCATGGTCAATACTTCATGACAAAAGTATTTTTTACCTTAACATCGGGAACAAGGGTAACAAAACAATTTTGTATGCATGCATAACGGTTACAATAGTGGTCATTATCTAAAAAAATAACGGTTACAATAGTGGTGATATGAATGATGTTCAAGACTAGTTAAGAAAAATGCTCGAACAATGATATGACATTTTGATGGCACAGGATTACTCCAATCTTTTTGAAACAGAAATTCACTCAGAACAAGAAAGATGCATACTGTTATATTTTCTTTTTTGACGGAATATCTCTCAAATGTCTCAAGAGCTCCCTGCAGTAGCAAGTTGGTGACAATCTCATTGAACCGTGCCACAACCTGTAGGACAAAAAACAACAACAACAATAACAACAACAACAACGTTAGGCAGTTGAGGAGAAAAGGTGTCGAGATTTTTCAGTAAACAATGGCGTTTCAGTAAAGCAACATTTTTTAGACCAAACAACCAGGTGTTTTCAGCATTATCAATAAAGCAAACGAATCAAATAGTTCCTCTGGGGAAGGAAGCTTTACTAGTAATCAGCTAGAAATTGGCCAGGAGCAATGTCTCATGTGAAGCACAGAAAACACACAATCAAACTTCACGAATCAGTAAGAAATTGGGCAGGAAGCTATCTCGCATGTCCATGTAGAGCCGCGTCAACTCAAAGTTAGCCCAATCTACAGTCATACACAAGTCAACAATGGGAGAAGTGGAGGACACACTAACTCACCACTCCAAACCTGAGCCCCTGGGTGTTAGTCAACGACCCCATAAGCCGCTGGTGCCCGCCGCCGGCGGCGACCACGACGGGGCTAACCCGCGAGGCCCGAGCGCCTGCAGCCAACGCGGCCGGCCGTGCTGCACGTAAGTAGACAAATTACAGAGAAGAGGAAAAATGAAATCAGGACGAGTAAGAAAAGACTCAGATGGAGAGAAAATTTGGTTGTCCGGCGGGCGCGTACGGGAGTAAGGGAAGGAGACGGTGGCGGCGCGCAGAGGAGCGTCGGATTGCCGCGAGGAGGAGGAGGAGGAGGAGGGCCTCGCGGCCGCGGATGACGTCGTCGCGGGGGCAGCCGCCGCCATCGCCGCCGGTGGGGTGGGGTGGGGTGGGGTGGTGCAGGGGAGGAGACGGCCCGGGAAGTCGGGGGGAAGATCTGGCTGCTCTGATCGGGTGCGGTGCGGATGACGTCGCGGCGTTTCCCTTCCCTCGGGCCCGGGTTTGTAGGTGAAAAGAAACCCACGTTCGTTTGATGTCCAAAAGTTACTCTCCTCCGTTTCATATTTAAGTTTGGCAAAGTTTATAAATAAAATTATAGTAGTACTTATAATCTCTATCTCTATCTTCTCTACTATTATAAAAATTAAAGATGTTTTTATCAGTACTTTGTTACGTCATCCGTTTATGAGTCGGTTTCTAAATCCGTTCGCTTTTAGAAATACAAAAGGAGTTGTATAAGAAAACTCTCATGCTAACCTTAAACGAGCGAACTCCTAACTGCAGCTCATGATTTTTTAAAAGGAAAATGTACGAATTTTTTAAAAGGAAAATGTACGAATTACACCCCCCTGAACTATTGTGGTAGACTGGTAGTATGATTTACCCCCCCCCTAAACTACAATATTACAATATTGGACATTTGACACCCCCAAACTCTTAAAACCAGATAAATTACCATCCTAACTCGATTCGAAGCGGTTTTCAGCCTACGCCTACAGTTAGAAAAACAAATACTGTGGGACCCACTTGTCATCGTTTTTCTCTCTCCTCTCTTCTCTTTCGGTGAACAGAGGAGAGAGCACCCGCTGCCGGAAGGGATGGAGGCAACTGCGGGCAGCAGGGGGGAGCCGAGGACGAGGGTTGGAGGGGGCGGAGGCAGCTGCGAGCAACCGACAGGCAACAAGGGCGGTGGGACGTGGAGCGAAGCGGCGGCGAGATCCTCCTTCCCCTCTTCCCCACCGTCGCGGCGGCACGGAGCTCGAACACACCTGCGCTGCTGCGGCCTCTCCCTTCCCCTTCCCTGTGCGGAGCCCACTGACCGGTTCCCCCTCCTCGTCTCACGCCGCTGCCAACCGCCCGCCCCCGCGCGCTGCTGTCCGCTGCCAGCCACACACGCCTGCTCCCGCGTCGCTGCCGCCACCGCCCTCCTCCACAGCGTCGTCGGCCGCCCGCTCCGCCTCTGCCTCAGCGGTACAAATTATAACGAGGCATGGTCTCATTGTCAGTTGTCTCGACTCTCGATGTATCAGATATTCAGATGACGGAAGTATTAGTATATATATCAGATACATGTAAAGGATTCATCCCAAGCTTTGACCGAACAAAATTTTCCGTTTCATCATGAGTTCACCGTTTCTTACTTCCAAAGAGCATAGCTCACGACAAGAAACACAACACAAAAGGTTTGCTCCCAAAGTTGTGGAAGCAAGCAACGGAGCAAACATTTCCGTTCCTCACTAGAGCTCATAAGCTGAGGTTACTAGTATAAGACGACGAGGCCTTTAAGCAGCAGCATCGACTTTTCGAGCTTTATTTGCCCTTTCATGGCCGTCCGAGTGGCGACCACGCTTCCCACCGAAGTGCCTCCCGCCCCTGTTATTCTTCCAGTCCCTAGAAAAGTTCATGCAAAGCAACCAGCATTATCTTCTGCCAACAGCTTATCAAAGTGTATACTGTACATATACTACATGAGATTGCATTTCATGACATGCCTGTTGCTTTTTTTGTAGTACATATTTGAAAAAGGACCATAGGTTTGTAGCTAGTGAGTGATTAAATAGGGGATGGCAATCCTATTGACAGATAAACTGGTTACTGCCAGTTCCATGATAATATAACTCCAAATATATGTGTTGGCATTCTTGTGTGCCATAAGGCTTCAACTTCTATTTTAAGTTTCAGCCCACTCCTAAGATTCATTCTAGGTGCATTATGATATTTAAGAGGATCGGCTCTAACAGAGCAAACAGACAGGAAGAATGATTCTGAGGTAAAATGAAATACCTTCCCCTGTTACTTCTATTGTCTCTATATTTTCCTTGACCGCCCTTTATCGCACTCCAATAATCCTTCTCAGCTTGACCTGAATGAAAGGAACAGTAAATCATCAAAATAGTGATAAAACATAGCATTCAAATCCGCTGAAGTGTTATGCTTTTTCTATACCAATTTGATGGATCATTAGCGATTTTTTGAAGTCAAGCATCAATACATCAAGACAGCTTCTGCTTAAAACTCATGGTTAAACAGTACACCTAAATACACCTAAAGCAGGAATGCCAACCATATGACATATCAATAAGGCATCAATTTTGTGGTTGATTTAGTTACTCAGTTCAACAAAAGCTAAAAAATAATAATTAACTGAAAGAAAGTGCAGTTCTTACCGGACACAGGTTCCAAAGTAACAAGATGGCCCTTCATAATCAAACCACCTTCATCTGAAATAGCCGCAAGTGCACGGGCCTTTTCAGCTGCCTTAGAATCCTCGAACCGAATGTATCCTGAATCCTCCCCTATGCTGAAGTCCACATACTTCAAGGGGGGAAAATGGAACAATAAAAAAGAAAGAGTTTTGAATCAGCATAAGTTGTCTGATAAAAGAGATTATGTTTACTTGTAGAAATTAGAAAGCAAGATACAGAATTGCATAAAAGCATGGTGTAGATGTCTTTACAAGATGAAGCATTATTTCTCTTGCTTTCTCTCCAGACAAATGTGTGCTTACAAAAGGCAGTAAGAGTAAGAACACGAACTATTGGATCATCTCACTGTAGCTCTACACGTTTGACTAGATTAGGTTTGTCCAATTAGCACAAAGGTAATATGATCGACATTGAACTAAGTGTTGCTATCATTTACCAAATCCTACAAAAATAGCATGAATAAATATAACATAACAGCATGCTATTGTGATCACATAACTGTATGACTCCGTCATTGAAGCCAACAAGCACTTTTCATTAAAAAAAAAACTAACAAGCTAAGCTCAGTTGTATGCATCATAACAGTCTCACGATCTACAGCAAACAATAGTCGGCCAAATGAAATATGCAACCTATCTATTCTGGATATTTTATGCAATGCACACCAGATTTACAACCTCAGGTTACTCCTGGTGAAACAAAATCAATATGAAAAACAAACATCATCAATTATTGGAAAAGTTACCCGCACTGTGCCGAATTTGCCAAATTCTTCTTTAAAATCTTCCCTTGAAATTGGATCATCCGCATTTTCTGAAGGACTTTCTCCTTTCTTAACAGATTGAGCAGCTGCCTCTTTTGACTTCTCAACATCATCTGACAAGTCTTCCTTGATATCACTGTTCTCAGGGATTTTCTCGTCATGCCCTGTTCTTGATTTATTGGCATCATCAGTTTCACCCTCTTTGTCCCCACCATTTTCTGCCATGCCACCATCAATTTGAATTATCTTCAGCTTGAAGGCCACAATTAGACCTTTTGGATATCTATAACCAATTTTTATGACTCGGTTATCTTCAACTCAAGGAAATTGAAAAAACCATTTGTAAAGTTGTTAGTAAAGAAATGTTTACCCCTCATCATGACCATTCTTAGTAGGTTGTGACTTCTCATAAGCTTCTTTCTTAGCCTCTCTTTCAGTATCAAATTCTTTCCTTCATTTTTTTCAGGATTGCATGACGGTTATCAGAATGATATTCAGTTAATAAATAGATTCAACTATGTGAAATGAGGAACTGGTTCAGTTAACATTTATCAAATATGATGAAGAAACAACAGGACATATTGCAGCTAAGCAAGTTGCAATCAACAACTGCAATTACTATAGAAGCATAACATAAAAAATAACTAAATAAGAAATGAAAAATTGTCGTTTCAAAAAAGAAATGAAGAATTTGCCCAAAGCATGGAGACATAAATCTCTAGCTAATCAGTATAGTACGAGGAAAGAAGCTTGAGCAGTAGTTGGCTTACTTTGGTTTTATTTCCAGATCTGCTTCTGCAAAAACAAGAGTATTCTTTAATACAGCATTTGCTTCCTCTTCTTCTGAAAATTCGACTAAAGCAGTGCCGCAGAAGTGTCGTTTGTCGGCAATATGTCGAGGTAGCCTCACACTGTTCACCTGTGATGCAAACAGTTCAGATGCAGCATAGCATCATTATCATCATCATCATGGCATCATCATTTAAATTCCAGGACTCATAAATGTCCCATGTTGTTGGGGGTTGCTGAATTCTTGACTACCCTATGCATCAATCTTAACAGTTTTGCAGACCATATGTGATATTTGCTTTGCTACTAAATGCTAGTCATGTATACCTTGCCATACTGAGCAAAGAAAGACTGAACATCTTCCAGCTTTACATTGTAAGGAAATGGTGATGCAGCAATTGTCCTAGAGTCCACTTGCTCCATGATCTCATCCAGTTTCGACAACTCAATTGATCTGCCAACTTTCTTCCCTGTCAAAAAAACAGTTAAAGGGGGCGAAAAAAAAACATGGTATTGGAATTTAAGCTGACATTGTCAATATGAGCAACAAATTTCTCTCTAAAAAATCTAAACAGAATGAAGTTAAGCCTCTTTTGCTGTCAACACATGAACTTCGACTGTGTAATGGTGCACGTATGTGACAAAATAACTTCCTTACCATCCTCGGTGACACGGAGGGCCGAGGAACGCCGCAGCACCTCGGCAACGGCGAGCACCGTCTCCTCCGGCATGGTCTCCTGCTTCACGTCCAAGTCCAGGCCTAGGTGCTTCTTCATCCGCGAGAAGGAGCAGATGAGTGCCAAGCTCACCACTGCCCAATCCCAACACACCCATAAACAACACCAGACTTAGCACCAGAAGTCCAGAATCACACACAGACAGGATCATGAACAAAAAGGAGAGGAGACGAATCCTTACGGCCATCCTCGCTCTCCTCGACTGTCTTCCGCAGGAAGTTGTCGCGGGGGAGGTTGCTGTCGCTGAAGTAGAACTCCACCTGCGGTGCAGAACAAAAGAACGCTAAGCGACTTCGATCTGAAAAATTCCCCCATAATTTGAGGGGCCAGAACGGGCAGGATCCGGGAACGGGGTAGGAATCGCGAACCTGGCGGAGAACCTCCTTGGCTTTGGCCTCGTCGAGGGGGACGGCGGCGGTGGCGGCGGCGGCCATGGCTCTAGCGAATTTGGGGGAGAAGGAGTTAGGGTTTTACGAGGACAGCTCGGGGGTTTTCTTAAGGGGAATTTCGTAATTACGAAATATGCCCCTCGTGAGGCGAGGGGAGGATATGCCACTAATCTCCCGCTGTCATGTGGGCCTGAACTTTATTATATTAAGCAAATCGTCAGGGGTGAATTTTATCAATGGTATGAATCTCAAATTTATTTTTTTCCCCAAAAGGTAGGACTATGACTATGAGATCGAATTCTTTTTGGCTACTAGAAGGTTCTGGTTGCTAAAAAGTTTCCGTGTGTTATTGATGAGGGGCTTTTTTGAAAGAAAGATTATTGGACTTGAGAAATTCCCCTTAAGAAAATATCATTCTCATCATTTTATCATTTTATTTTGATATAGGCTTTTAAGCTAACATTTTTGTTAGATGTGGTTTCGAAGGTTTAATGAGAGTCTTAAATATCATTCTCATCATTCCACTTCCAAGCGCAACGGTTTATTAACAATTAAAAAAATTAGGGCAACATTTTTTATATTATTTTCTTAGTGATTTAAAAAGAAAATAAATTGCGAGGAAAAGACTGAAAAATCAACTTAACTAACTGAGTGGCCCGCACAATTGCGCAATTAGCATTCATATAAAATTATCTAATTTTTTTACACATGGTTTTCTCAAAAAATGTAAAATGGTTGTTTCGTTGTCTGAGCATATTAAAATAAATCAAATATAGGGTTTTTATTTTTATCATTTTTAAAAGTCACAACCACTTATGTATAAACAAACAAACCTTCATATCTTTTTTAAGATAGTGGATAATATCCTGTCTTTACTCTAACATAAGCTACAACCACTAGTTACATAGTCATTGTTGAAAACCAATTATAGCAAATTCTAACAAAATGATAAAGAAACGAAACAATAACAAATACCAACATTAAAGAAGAGAAACAACTTATTCAAAGAACAGTTCTATTGTTAAATCTTCATCAAAGTTAACGAAAATTTGCATGGCAATTATCTTCGAGTTCGGACATGCAGCACGAATAGTCAACATATTCTCTTCACACCATCGTAGTTGGATCCAAAACTGAAAACACTAGGTTGCTCTAAAGAGTACCTACGTATAAATTTTGGTTGATGTTTTGTAAAAAAAAAAATGTCATTCCTACTCCAACATAAAAAAGATGCTCCAACTAAAATATGTTTTTTTTGGGTTCTTTGAGTCAATCCCAACCAGCCAATTATCAATCATAAGAGTAAAATTATGTGGTGATTGCAAGCCAAAAAAGATACAAATGGTTCACAAAAAAAAAGCCATTTGACAATCAAAGAAATATGTATTAGCTAGAGGCTAAACGATGGGATTGTATAATCTACATAAAAAAAAAAGAAAAACGATTCAAACCTAATTTCAGGTTAACATATGAGTACTTGTAGCTTTAGAAAAGACAAGATGAAAATGCTATATGTTTGTTTGGGTTCCCGATTTTTGGTTTACATTTGAGTTAGAGCAAGCAGAGAAAAAAAAGAACTTCGTCTAGTGCAACCATTTTGAGCTTAACCGCTAAAAATACAAAATTAAGCACGAAGTACCCGTACGAAGCACCATCACTCCGACCAATCTACATGGTTTCATTTCAACCAAGGCATCACAAAAAGCAACCTTCCAAACGATACACATGCCAACATGTTCAGTTCATATCACACTATCAGACAGTGTTTGGAAACAAGCCAAAATGGACCCCTCTAATCCATTAAACAGCAAAAGGTGTGTATGTCCATTACCTTCCTCCAACAAATGCAAAAGGCGCGAACCATAGAATCGACAGCCCAGTTGCCCAAGACGATGATCTATTCAACATAGAAAACCAACACGCAGAAGTTTCGTATGATGATGGATGGGATTCAGATTTTCAGAGTTTGCGTTCGGTGTTAGCTAATGGTACGCTATGAGCGATGAGATCGACAGATCGTCCTAGATGAATTCATCACTACCTATTCCCAACTTTCCATCACATCATATCACATCAAAAACTTTTCTACACACATACACTTTCATTTTTTTTTCAAACTCCCAACTTTCTTCAAACTTCCAATTTTTTTTTAAGAACTAAGCACACCCTCAGAGGAAAAATTGGTCTCACAAACTGCCAATGTGGGTAAAGTCTGGAAGAGTTTTAATTGAAGCTATAACGAACGGAGAATAAAACTATTGCTCGCAGATGAATCAGTGACGAACATGACACCGATAATCGCTTCCTTTCTCATGAATAGTACTGTTTGGGGAACTTATAGCTGAAGATTATTCTAGAAGTTGCACCTCCCATAAGCTCCTCTAAATAGTTCATATTTTCATTTAGATTATGAGAAGTTATAGTTATAGAATAAAAAGTAATCTACTCCATCCGTTTCATCATGTAAGACTTTCTAACATTACCCATATTCATATAGATGTTAATAAATATAGACACATATATATCTATATTCATTAACATCTATATAAATGTGGGCAATACTAGAAAGTTTTACATTGTGAAACAGAGGGAGTAGAATTCAGAAGCTGAGTTTTTCTTCGTATTCTCACCCGTTACTTAGAGTTGGTTTGGTTTGAGGCCTATATTGGCCTTACCAATATTTGGCAATTTCAGTAGTGTTTATTGTCTATTTGGTTTGGAGCTAAATTTTGGCATGCCTAAGAAAATAGGCCATTTCAACAGTTAATTTAGGCTATTTTGGCTTCAATCCAAACACAATTTTACCTTTGCCAAAATTAGCCATGCCAAAAGTTACCAAAATTTGATATTGATAAGGTCAATTTAGGGCACACACCAAACCAGCCCTTACAACTTACACTTTGTTCAGAGCAACAAGCCTACCTACCATGCCTCGCCGCGGGTCGCTCTCCCGAGCCGAAGAAGAGATAAGGGAGAGATCGTGCGAGCCAACCCGGGGGCGACACCTGTTCCCCCGCGCTGGGCCCCACCGCGGCGACGAATCGGGCGCGACGCCATGCAGCCGTCGTCGTCGCATCCCGGCCACTTGCCGTGTGACGACGCCGGTCAAATTTTCGCCTCGACAACGACGAGCACATTTGCCGCCTTTCCCTTCCCCCCGCGAGACTGGGACGCGCGCATCCAACACACCCCCAACCCCGTCGGAGTCGAGCCGAGCCGAGCCGCGCCGCGCGGCGGCAGCGCTGGCGAACAAACAGGCCCGCCGAGACAGGGACTTCCGTGGTTGGGAGCGCGTCCACGTCGCGCGCCCCGCGTCGAATACCTCGAGCCGCACGGAGCTCAAATCCGCAGCCTGGTGGGGAGGGGAGGTGGGTCGCCGAAAGCTTGGCTGAGATTCGCCTCGCCTCGCCTTCTAGCTCGCGGCCGCCGCTAGCGCGAGTGAGAGACTGAGAGTGAGTGAGGTGGTGTGGCCATGGAGGGGGACGACAAGTCGGCGGTGGTGGGAGGGGCGTACTGGGGGCTGGCGGCGAGGGCGTGCGACGCGTGCGGCGGGGAGGCGGCGCGGCTGTTCTGCCGCGCCGACGCGGCGTTCCTCTGCGCCGGGTGCGACGCGCGGGCGCACGGGCCCGGGTCGCGCCACGCGCGGGTGTGGCTCTGCGAGGTCTGCGAGCACGCGCCCGCGGCGGTCACGTGCAGGGCCGACGCCGCCGCGCTCTGCGCCGCCTGCGACGCCGACATCCACTCCGCCAACCCGCTCGCGCGCCGCCACGAGCGGCTCCCCGTCGCGCCCTTCTTCGGCGCGCTCGCCGACGCGCCCAAGCCGGGTTCCGGTGCCCACGGCGGCGACGCGGCGGCGGCCGACGATGACGGGAGCAACGACGCCGAGGCCGCGTCGTGGCTCCTCCCCGAGCCCGACCACGGGCAGAAAGATGGCGCCGTCGGTGCAACCGACGAGCTCTACGCCGACTCCGACCCTTACCTCGACCTCGACTTCGCGCGCTCCATGGACGACATCAAGGCCATCGGCGTCCAGAACGGTCCGCCCGAGCTCGACATCACCGGCGGCAAGCTCTTCTACTCCGACCACTCCATGAACCACAGCGTAAGCAATCAACCCCAGAGAGTTCTTGAATCTCGATGAGCTATATCCAGTGAGTGTCCTGAGACGAGATGGATGCTTTGCTGACACGACGCAGGTATCATCCTCGGAGGCGGCGGTGGTGCCGGACGCGGCGGCGGGCGGCGGCGCTCCGATGCCGGTGGTGAGCAGGGGGCGGGAGCGGGAGGCGCGGCTGATGCGGTACAGGGAGAAGCGCAAGAGCCGGCGGTTCGAGAAGACCATCCGGTACGCGTCCCGCAAGGCGTACGCGGAGACGCGGCCGCGCATCAAGGGCCGCTTCGCCAAGCGCACCAAGGGCGGCGCGGGCGCGGACGCCGACGCGGACGCCGACGCCGACGGCGAGGACGAGGAGATGTACTCCTCCGCCGCGGCCGCCGTCGCCGCGCTCATGGCGCCCGGCGGCTCCGACGCCGACTACGGCGTCGACGGCGTCGTGCCGACCTTCTGATCGATCGCAACCAAAGCCGCTGTGTACACTAGCCCTTCTCCCCCATTGGGCTGTAATTTTGTTGCATGCATTTCGCGCGCGCGGGAAATGCTTTCTGTAGCATTAATCAATTGTATGATTATTACACGGAAGTAATCCGGACTTCCAATCTCCTCTTCTCTCTCTCTACTCTGATCCTTCCATCCTTGCATGTATATTATCATCGCGAACTGCTGCTAATCTGCAAATTGTAATTTTACTAATCAGTAATCAGTACAGTGGTGGTTGCATCGATTCGCATTAAGATTCTGTTCATGCTTATGCCTTTGCTGTGCTGGTTGTAACTGTGTCGCCATTAGAGGTGACGCGACGGCGCGGAGGACAGGAAGGAGGTTAGGCCGTCTTTCTTTATTGCGCGCCATATCTGTTTCGATGTCGCCGTTGGTGTGTTTAGTGTACTTATCTTTCTTACTGGCACTTAGCTACCGATTCTTATTCGTTTGCGTCCTTTTTGTAGCCTAGATTTTGATGTGTTTGGTAGGGTGTGCCTCTGTTTGTTAAGACTACGAGTGAAAATGCAATCTCCAGGTGCAGATGTGGATGTCATTTTTCTTTCTCGTGAGATCTGTGCAAAGCTCATAGGAATTCTGAATTCGTATCGTCGGAACAGTTCATCCGCTTCTAGAGTTCTAGTGTCAATCAATCTATGGTATCACGAAGACAAAGTTTTAAAAGAGCCTCCACAGCCAACACAGTGGCAAAACCAAAGAACTTCACAAACAAAAACCCAAACACATCTTGACAGTTGACATTCAGAGAGACCTATACTTATGGCCTTTTCTTTTATAAAAACTAGAGCTGATCAGTGACTGCAAAGTGCATAGTACAAAACTTGGCCAGTTTACCGAGAGGGAAACCAGCGATCGACAATTTAGGGTTACAAACAGCCAGTCCAATTTGGGCCGGGCCACGTAGTGCCAAGCAAGGCCGGCCCATGGGCCTCAGTTATCACCTCCGTCTCTTAGAATTTTTTTCATTTTTAGATTTTTTTAAAAATATTTACAGAAATAATCTATCGGTCAAAAAATTACAAAAATAGACCCTGCCGCCCACCTCCGGGGTGGCAAGCTGACGTGGCAAACGGGGGAGGGACGGGCAGTGACGGAGGGAGGTTTTTTTGCAGGAAAACCTTTGCCGCCCTCTGTTGGGGCGGCAAGGGGCCCCAATGCAAAAAAGCCAGCCGGAGCCGGCCAATTTGCAGGCGGCCCCTTGCCGCCCTCTGGCCGGGCGGCAGGCCTCGCTGCCTATAAAAGGCCTGTCGCCCAGCCCCCAGCCCTCATTCCTCCCCCCACAAATCCAGTAAAAAAAAGAGTTGTTGGTATGAGGCCAAATGTGTGCCTGATACATGACAGGCACGCTGGCATTCTGAGAGCGATAGAAGAGTTGCAGTTTGGGAGTATGGAACGAGGATATCCTGGTGAGTGGGAAGATGTACAGAGTAGGTGGTGCATGCGTCATATGGGAGCTAATTTCTTCAAGCAATTCAAGAACAAGAGCTCATGAACATGTTCAAGAGGCTATGCAATCAGAACCAGGAGAAAAAATTCAATGAGCTTTGGAAGAGATTAGATGAGTTGACAGCCAAATGCAGTGATCAGCGTGCAGCGGTTTTCGTCAAGGGCTAGACGCCTGGGCGTTGAGGATCCGAACTGGCATAGCGATCCTTGTGTATACCTACTACCACCTTGGTGCCAGCGTCCTCTCTACCTATGCAGTGATCGATGCCAACTAATGGCTTCGAGGAATCCTGATATTCGAGGAAGGCGCTTTTTAGGTGCCCTAACTATGATCGTGAGGTATTTTACTATCTGCATATGCTTATTCATTCCGTATGAGCAATCGTTTTATTCTTCGTAACACTACTCTATTCGGCAGACTCGCACTACGGCTTGCGCATACATCGAGTGGGTCGATACAGAAAATCCCGTTCTTGACCTAACTACTTGTTTACAAGAAGGTCGCTGGTATTTCGCATCCGAAAGTACTGAGCAATACTTACAGAGAAAAGCGACTTACAAACGACAATGTCATGAACAACAGTGCGACTGGCGGGTGCTAACTACGGCACTCCCTCCATGGGAAGCCCGTCCAAGATGCAGGTGTGGTGATCGTTGTCAGGTTCTTCGTTCCATAAAGCCTACAACATTGGGTCAAAGGTTATTTGTTTGTCTAAAAATTCTTGACGACGATTTCATGGTAAGAATATTTTGATTACATGAATCCTTATTTTCTCACAACATTTACTAACTTTACTCGCTTCACATCTATTCTTTCCTCCCAGGAACCACCAAGGAGATGTCAATACAGAGAATGGATAGACACCAGAAGGGTTCTAACTCCACCTAGCCGTGTTGTGCAGCTTGAACTACCAGAGCAATACAGGGTTACTAAAGAGCGGTTTGAGAGAGGAGAGGGATCCTCACGTAGGGGTTAGCTATTATCGGACAACTTGGCATATTGAAATTTCTACTGTCATGCTTCCTTGTCCCATTACAACATGGTCGTTGTGTTCAACTATTGCACTACCTCCCTCCTAGTTCGAATCTAATATCATCTATGTAACCGCAATGGAAATAGTTGTATCATGTTCAAATTGTACTACTATTTCTTCATGTTACATAATTCTCCTTGTTTAAGTCCATACAATGTTTCTACGACCGAGACTGCGATAGGCCTATATCAATTATCCGAGTACTAATACGTCGAATAAGTTACAAAATAATACCTTACCTAACATATGAAATTACGAAACAACCAACTTCAATCCATTTTTATAACAATATTAACAAGTTTTACCAATAAATACTTCTTTAATTATTATTAACATAACATAGAAAAATTGTTTGGGGTACTTTTTGCATCTGGTTCCCTTGCCGCCCTATAGGGGCCCAAATGCAAAAAGTACGAGCCCCAAGCTCTTTATGAGCTGCCAAAATTGCATTTAACCCGCCGTCTGCCCGCCCACCTCTGGGGCGGCAGAGTCTATTTGTGTAATTTTTTTTGGCCGATAGATTATTTCTATAAATATTTAAAAAAAATCTAAAAATGAAAAAAAAATCCGTCTCTTACACGCAGAGGAGAAAAATCCCCAACCCGAAGCCCCAGGCCCCCAGCCATGGCGTCCGCGTCCGGCTCGGCCACCCTCCTCTACCCCAAAACCCCGCAATCCCCTCGCCTCCTCCGCCGCAACCCCCACTACTCCGGCCTCCGCCTCGTCCACCCCCTCCTCCTCGCCACCGTCTCCCCGCCGCCTCCCGCCGCCCTCCGACGCAGGCGCAACTCCACCACCATCCATGCATCCTCCTCCTCCGCCGCCGCCGGCGCCGCCGCCGCTTCCTTCCCCGCCTCCTCGACCCCGCCTCCGCGCCCGCCGCGGACGGACCCGCCCGAGGAACACCCCACCGTGGCCCGCGCAGGCCGCAGCAAGAAGCACAGGAAGCCCTCGGGGGGACGCATCGAGGGCGGCGGCGACGTGCGGCGCGAGGCCAAGTCCCGCGCCCGCATCCGCAGCCGCCGCCTCGGCGAGAACGCCTTCTACCGGAGGAAGCGGCGCGCCGCCAAGGAGAACCAGGCCGACGCCTTCACCGACGCCGAGCTGGAGATGATCGGCCTCGGCTACGACCGCTCCGTCCGCTTCATGGACGGGCCCGACGACCCGCGCCTCCGCCACCGGCACGACTGGTACAGGTTCGGCCGCTACGGGCCCTACTCCTGGCGCGGCATCGTCGTCGGCCCGCCCATCCGCGGCCGCTTCTCCGACGACCGCGTCTCCCTCATGTCCGAGGTCTCCGACCACGACGAGTGGGACCGCGTCGAGCAGTTCGACATGTCCAACCAGTTCTCCAACCGCCTCAACGAGCTCGACGCCGCCGTCGGCTTCCGGTACTACTGGGTCTTCGTGAGACACCCTAGGTGGCGCCCCGACGAGCTCCCCTGGGAGCAGTGGACGCTCTCCGCGGAGGTGGCCATCCAGGCCAGCGAGGAGCAGCGGCTTGACAAATGGAACCTCATGGGGAGGCTTGGCAACCCAACGCGTGAGCTGATCACACGGTGCGCGGCATGGACGCGCCCAGACATCATATATGTCAAGCGGCCGCTCTACCAGTCGCGGTTCGAGCCGCAGAAGAATTTCTATAGCCAGCTCCGCCCTTTGGTCGATCCCGTGACAGAGAACCAGTTCTTGTTTGATCTCGAGCATGATGGCCAGGTCATTCGCACTACCTACTTCGGTGGCCTATGCAGGATTGTGAAGGCGAGTCCAAAAGCTTATGTGGATGATGTTGTGAATGCGTACTCGAAACTGAGCGACGTGGACAAAAACAGGTGCCTGGAGTTCCTGCTCACAAATCATCCCATGGAACTGCTCCATCCCTACACCAAGGAATGGAAGGTGAAGCTAGAGGAGATGGAGCTTGGATGCGATGCGCCTGATGATAACGAGAGTGACGATGAGGGTGGTGATGAGAGTGGAACTGAGGTTGTTGATTGGGTTGAGGATGATGGGTTTGATGAGGGTGGTGATACCGATGATGATGAAGAACCTGGTTATGATGACGACGAAGTAATCGATGTCAGGGAAGAGGTGGAAACAGAAGAAGTAGAAAGTGATGATGAGAGTGAGAAGTACTGGGATGAGCAATGGAAGCAGGCCATGAAAAGTTCTGATAAAATGGAGAAGTTGGTCAAGACAAGCATCGAAGCGTCAAATGAGTATAACAGGCGACGGATGCAACAGGAGAAAGAGATGGAATTGAGAATGGCCCGTGCAAACACAATGGTTATGAAGCAGGAGCAGACTGAGGATGAGGATGAGCAGCAGGAGCAGATTGAGGATGAGGATGAGCAGCAGGAGAGTCCAAGGGGCAGAAGCGCAAAAGATAAGCGCAAGAGCAAGGCTCCTGGGCACTTTCTGAGGGCCGCTGTCCGACCATTCACCTACAGGAATCTTGTGAAAGAAATTGTTCTTATGAGGCATTTCATTGTTGATGGAGAGATAGATTAGCTTTAAAATGCTAAGATGATATATTTTCAGAGCCACTAGATAACTGTAGAGATGGCAGAAACAGGTACCTGCAATTCCTCAATTGTGTTCAATTAGTGGATCTTACCAATTTTGATCTGTGCCCTTAGGGAATAGTCAGTCATGATGTAATCCTTCCTTTGTGGAATTTTCAGTAAATTTTCGAGAATAGAAGCAACTACGGTATCTCTGAATTCTGTTATACTGTTTTATAGTCAAGTTGGAGTTTGGCTCAATTCATATTTGAGATTGGTCTTGCCCCAGCTGGTTATTTCAAAATTGCTACTCTATTGAGTGATTTCCATTCCACATCCTTAAATCATTTATAACATCTGAAATCATGAAATGAGAACAGCTCAGCTAACTGGGGACTGAGGGGAACGGTCAAAATGTCCAACAGAAACCAACTAGAAATGTCTACTACAAGCAGGGCTGCCTGGACATCAAGGTTAGCAAGGTCTTACTGCAATGCTGCTGAAATTTGCATTTCATTCTTCATCTTCACAAAAGCTAGTAAAACCCTTGACAACAATTGTAGACCGACAAATTAATTGACATGATTTCGGCTTCCCCTGCGATTTCCCTGTGAGAGACTACATGAATCTGCAGCGGCAAACTTTACATTCAAAAGGAGTTGTAAAGTGCAGCGATCAGACTCCTATCCATGATCAAAAGGGACTCGCCGTAACATATAAAATCTGTCCGAAGGTTTTTTTCAAAAGGTGAATGATGAGCAGACAGGATTAGAGGCCTACACATGAGGATTAGAATAAACAATGGATAAGAGGCTTCAGCTGGAATGCTCTTGAGGCGTCAATATGTAAAGAAAAGATCTCCGTAATGCATGCGCTTAGGCTGAGGATTAAAGTCACTGATTTTTGCTTTAGAATTTGATAATTGCATCAGCCAGCAGTAGGAAGCTGCAGCTCTCTCTGTAATCTGGAAGGAACATTATTTGGGAGCAGCTCAACTATTCCCAATCAGTGGCATTTGGTTTTGGAATTTGGATCATTTTGAAACACTATTCCTACTACACATCATGCTGGTATTTCTGGACGTTGGGGGGCTAATGATCCAGCAAATAGCTAACTTTTTGTAACACTGAATTACTCTGCTAAACTCACTGGCTGAAACTGAACAGTCTAAAGGCATATACTACTGAAATTGTGAACTCCAGAATCTGAATATTTTCATGCGTGTCAGTAACATCGACAGCGACAAATACATGAAGTGTAGATCCCTTGGCAGCATCACTCTACCTACAGACTACAGTTCCCTAAAGCATAGGTTCTGATTGTCTGAACTCCAGTTCACTGAACATCCGCTAGATTCTCGGACTATGCCGCTACTGGATACTACACTACAGCTATACAATCTACGACCCATGAAGTGTACGTCTCTTAGCTCCAACATCGCAGTACTGCACGCATGGCAATGAGCCAATGATGCCAAGAAAGTTCCACAACATCGTATGCATGACACCCTCATCCCGCTGCCCCTAATTTTTCTATTGCGCTAGTGGCAGCCCAACACCTCATGTTCTCCCACAGAAGCATTTGCCTTTAGCAGATTTTAATCGGCGATAAAATATGCAGGATCGTTGCATCAAACCCTGAGATATCACTTCTTTGTAGCAGTTCTTTTAAGTGGCACAAAATATAAAAATCAAACCTCCTTGATGTATTTAGGACGGTCATGCCGCTAATTAGTTTTCTACTGAAAAGGTTCCGAGGTCCCCATTTTGATTCCATCCTCTTTGTGTGCACCTAAAGCATAGATGAAGCTAATGATCCAACCCACTCTTACTCCTCCAAAAAAGCCACTAATAAGCTTGTTTAATTGGTGTTTAAAGGTTTAAACAAATCTCTTTCTCTGTGACACCTGTCTTGTTTAAGTGTTTTTTACAGCTAAAAGTTGGCCTGAAGTGGTTGGAGCTATCCTAGTGATTTGATCAAGGATCTGGTTCCTGCTAGGCTGCAAGTGAGCATCAGAAACAGAGAGGCTGCACCTGCACAAGCACAACCACAGCCACCAGAGAGATCAGATCACTGATCTGTATAAATCTCTGGCCCTTTGCCTTTTACCAGTTGCTTCTAAGGGCACAATCTTGGCTTCTGCAGTGGCCATGGAGCTTGACAGGAGCCTGATTGCCTGCGAGGAGCCGCCTTCAGAGCCGATGGACTTTCTCTCGAGCGCGTGGTGCAGCTCGGCTATCCAAGTTCTTCAGACGGGATCGATGGATTGCTCGATGGCGCTGGTGGAGAACCCGGTCATGGCGCCTGACAATGATAGGAGAGACTTGTTGCCAGTAAGTGTTAGTACTTCAGTACTGTAGCAAATATTTGTCAGAAGATTACTCTGAAGATGGAATTTGAAGTGCATGATACACTATATCTGGATGCTTTGCAGAAGAATGACCGTAGCTTGGTTGTCGACAGTAGCGGATTCAGCACGACGCAATGGAAATACGATGATCTGAAGGTACACATTTCACAGTAGTGCGTTACTCATGTTTCAGTATATATGCAATCTTCATTTAGCCTGATCTAAAATGTTGTGTTTTCGTGTTGATCTGGTCCTTTTTTTCAGTCATGGATATGGCTTCAGAAGGCAATTCACCCAGAGCTGGATTATGATCTCAAGAAGAAATGGGTGAGTGAAAGAGCACAGTTTTATATTACCATTTTGTAGGAAAGAAAACAGGATCGTGTTGCAAATGGAACGGATCACGAAATTGCAGAAGCTAGATGGATGCCACGCTTCTTTCCAAGTTTATCTTCAAATTTCACTCAACAAGAGGATCGCTGATTGATTCCAACTTCCCATGTTATGCAAGAAATCGAAATGGTGAAATATATGTTGCCATTGGTGACGGCTCTGTACTTCGAGCTCAAAGATTTGAACTTGCGTGCAGCTCCCGCGCAAGATGGCGCCATGGAGCGGCATCTCGCTCAAGAAGTGGGTCAAGGAGCGGAAGCAGAAGCGCAAGGAGGAGGCGCGCCTGCACAAGGCCGAGGTCCACGCCGCGGTGTCCGTCGCCGGCGTCGCGGCCGCGCTCGCCGCCATCGCCGCGGAGAGCTCCACGCCGGCGGCGACGATGAAGGAGACCGCGGTGGCGTCCGCGGCCGCGCTCGTCGCGGCGCAGTGCGCGAAGGTGGCCGAGGCTGCGGGCGCCACGCGCGACCAGGTCGCGGCGGCCGTCAACGCCGCCGTGGCCGCCACGGACGCCAGCAACGTCATCACGCTCACCGCGGCCGCCGCCACATGTATGCCTCTGATCACTGAGACCGTCCTTCTCCCCTTTCCGGCCATGTCTTCCGCCACGAACACCCCGAAAATAACTCTCCGGAGACAACTCTGGTCTTGACAGCACTGCGTGGCGCGGCGGCGCTGCGAGGACGGCGTAGCAGCGGCGGCGGCGGCGGCGGCGGCAGCCAGAACGAGCGGATGGACCACGCGAGCTCCGCCTTGTCCCAGGACGACCTCGACTTCGACTTCAACTACGCGAGGTCCAAGGCGGCGCTCGCCAAGGGGGACGAGATGTTCGTCGCCATGCCCGACGGTAAGCCGGAGCTCACATTCACAAATGGCCAAACACAACTACTCGTTTCGCTTATTCCCCGAAACGGCATATTTGCAAACAAAAAATAATTTGTAATTAAAACTTTTATATACGTGCTCTAAGCGATCTAAAAGCAAATGCTGAAAAATAAATTTCGATGAAAAATTCCAAAATCAAATTCAAATTTAAAGTTGAAAATTTAAATTTTAGCTGATAAGTATAAGTATAAACGAAAAGATGAGGCTCTAAGATCGCGGCGTCTCTTCATCGATTTTTTTTCTCCCATTCTATGCAGGGAAGTGGAAGCTGCACACGGTGTCCGCGGCGACGAGCAAGGGCGGCAAGGTGGTCATGCGGATCAAGAAGATGAACCTGGTCATGGCGTTCTCCAACGCCAAAGAGAGTAAGAAACCGAACGCGCAAGTCGACCGTGCGACTGCCATTCCCGTTCATCTTCTGACCTTGCGTGAAAACGATCGAGCAGGTGTGATCCACGACGTGCAGCCGTGCGCGCCGGAGAAGCCGAGCCGCGACGAGGACGCGACGTACCCGATCGAGGTCACGACGAGCAAGGGCAAGGTGGAGCTCCGCGCCGACGACTACGGCGTGTACAAGAGGTGGGTCACGGCGCTGACCCACATGCTCGCGGCGCCCACCGCCATCTGCAAGGCGCACGAGCTGCCGCCGCCGCCGCCGCCTCACCGTCGGAACTGACCGGCCGGCGAGGCGACGCCGCCGACGCACTGCATGAACCAGACGCGGTTTAGCTGATGAAACGAAATGTTCAGGCTTAACTACGGCCACTTCAGTCATATAACAGCTGCGAAAATCTGTCATGCATCTTATCGATTGGAGCTTGTTATTTTTTTTAGTTCTAATTGTTCCTCCATGGTTTATAATAAATAATGCAACTAACCGCCCCCCTTCTCTGCCGATCACTCAAATTAAGTTTTGATTATCTAATTGGAGTACATTTTAGCTTGGCAGAAGTACATGCAAAGAAAGGTTGGCGAAACACGACGAGAATTGGTCGCCTCGCTCCGATGGTCACCTGCGTTGCGCCGTCGTAATCGCTCGTCATTGGCCAAGCAGACACGAAAAATCCCCACAAGCCAGGCAGCCAGCCACACAATCCAAACCCTAAGCCAAGTGACAAAATAAACACAATGGGCCAAGTGGGCTTTTGCTAAATTGGTTAATTGGGTCGTTTAATGCATATTGATCCAGCTCTATCGCTACTGTTCTTCTTCCTCGCGCGGACAGGGACACATCTTCGCCTCTTCTCTTCTCCTCGCCTTCTCCAACTGCTGCCATGGGAGTGAGGCTATATAGGCCCTGTTTAGTTCTAAAGTTTTTTTCCAAACTTTCAACTTTTCATCACATCAAACCTTCCATACACATACAATTTTTCAGTCACACCGTTCCAATTTCAACCAAACTTCTAAACTTCGGTGTGAACTAAACACAGCCATACTTGGAAATATTTTTGCAAACATCGGAGGGTAGGCTCGAGCCTGATGAAGAATATTTGCACTTGAGCCCTTGGATCCGCCCCACGAGATAACGAATATTTGCACTTCTCTGAACCTACGCATACACCGGTCGGCACATTGATTACTGCATTGTGGCGTAGTACTTGTAGTAGTACGGTGCTAGTGGCCGTATGCAGGCTAGCAGCTAGCACTAAAGAACATGACAGCGAAAGGGCATGCGTGCACCGGCTTGGCTAGCTTGTGCCCATCCGGCACTGAAGACGATCCCCGCGCGCGCGTTACACCGAAGGGGGCTACCGACTCGGAGGCTGCCCAGCACAACAAAAGCGGGCCGTCGATCGCTGCGTTGCCTGTGACTCCGCGGACCCCGATCGACTACCCCCTGTCCTGCTGACCATCGATCGCAGAAGTGAATGCGAGGAGGAGTAACAATTAGGCAAAATCTAAACTGAGAAGCCTCTCGGTTTAGTACTAAATAGCAACGAACCAATTGTGAAAAGTACGGCTACACGTGCTGACGTGCATGCTGTTTTTCCTTTTTGACATGCATGTCTTTTTCTTCCTTCTTATAAAGTTTTCTCTCAAATTACTTATCCGATCTACAATCCGATTACACCATTGTGTTCGCTACAATTAAATCTTTACAACAAGTTCTTACATGATTATATTACGATGAAAAAATATTTATATTTGTAAATTACTTTTATTATATACGTAAGTTACTTTTATCATATATATATATATATATATATATAAAAGTTACTTTTAGTTTTGACTAAGTTACTTCTTAGACATATAAAAGTAAATTCAATAAAGTCTAAAAGTAATTTATATATATTATAAAAGTAACTTAAAACAAAACGGAAGTAACTTTGTCACGATATTAGAAGTATATTCGTTGTAGGGATAAAATATGACTTTTTAGTTAAGTCAATAATTTGTGTTGATTAATTTAATTTCTAGATAGAGTCATATTTTTATCTCTACAACGGATTTATTTCAAATGACATGCCAAAGTTACCTTCGTTTTGTTCTAAGTTAATTCTATAATATATATAAATTACTTTTAGACTTACTGAATTTACTTTTATATGTTTAAGAAGTAACTTAATAAAATTTAAAAGTAATTTAGACATATCATAAAAGTAATTTGTGATTTTTCATCAAAATATAATCATGTGAGATCTAGTTGTAAAGATTTAATTGCAACGAACACAACGACGTAATCGGATTATAAATCGGATAAGTAATTTAAGAGAAACTTCTCGAAGAAGGAAAAAATACATAGATATTGAGTGTACTAGTAGTTTTTTTTTTAAAGAAGGGTGTCTCTTTTTATCACTATCCAGCTAGCACTCTCGGTGTAGTTGTGTCCTAACAATTAACAAACACCCATGCATGCATTGAATTGCAAAACGAGAGATTGACGAAGTCATCACAGACGCCTCGCTGTCGACGAGTACGTCGCCTATCACTGAAAGCACAACGCCGTTAAATGAAAATTCGCTCTCATGGGGAGTCGAACCTAGGACCTCATATGCTACTGAGGCTCTCGTAACTACTAGGTTACAGGCCCTTTCGCCACCCATTCTATTTATTTGAAATTAGATCATTTTCTAATATTTTTGCAAAGCGGGCGAAAAATGCCCAGACTATTCCGACGAGATTCGTAAGGTGGTGGGCTAGTCAATCTAGGTTTGAAACCTCACACTTTCTATTTATTTGATATTAGGTTTCTGTATTTTTTAATATTCGTGTTTTTTTAATTGCAAAGCGAGCTATCGAGAGGAGTAGAGCTTTGAAGCAACTCCACTCCGTCGCTGGATTTGGATTTTCATCCCTTAATGGGACATACCCTCATTGATGGCATGCTATCTAAATAATTTTAATTTTTTTTTAAAAAATAACGACATAGATTAATACAAAATATATCATTCCACAAACATGCATGATCAAATTAAACTTCTATAAGTTGCAACAAAATAACAAATTAAACTGAAAATAGTTATCGTACATTCGCAACTATATTGGTTATTTTTTTACAACTTGTAAAAGTTTAATTTAAACTTGTATGCTAGTGGAGTGATATATTTCATATTAATCTATGTTGTTTTTTTATATATAATTTTGATAGCTATTTATATGGCATGTACGAAATGAGGGGATATCCCCTCGAGGATGAAATCACTTTCCCCTCCGTCGCCGGCAGATAACTCGCTCGCTCTGTGCCTCCGGTGAATTCACGCTCGCTCTCGCTGCTGGATTCTTTGGGGTCGCAGCAATCTAGCGAGACGAGAGACTCTGCCTTTCTGTGTGTCGCGTGAGTATGGCCTATGGGGCGAAGGAAGATGCGATGCTCTGAGGCGCGCCGCTGATACGCGGTACGTACAGCCCTGGCGGCTAAGCTAGCGAGGAGTAGCATCGTAGAGACCAACAACCATGCCTGCCACTAGTGGCACTTGTATCACTGGACAACCAACGTGCGTGCAGTTGCCGTTATGTACTTGTACAGAGTCGTCACAGCCACACCGCAAGTTTATTCCTTTTTTGTAAAAAAAAATAAATCGGCAGAAGAATTTCTAATTACATTTCATATAAGCATAAGTAAAAATCCAAACGGATCACAAATAAAAGAAAAAAAAAAGCAAACTCTCTCTAGGAAGAGACTCGCCAAACATCTCAACAGTGATTAGAGAGATATTTAACTATTTGTCACTCTTACCCACGGATTTTAACAATTTATCACTAAAGCTTACTGTCATCGTCATATGAGTGACAAATTATTTTACTTCAAATCTAAAAATGGCAAATAGTTAAATGCCTGGAACCACCACAAGCCACTCGATCAGCCACTGCAAGCTTTAAGCTCGATCCCCTAAACCGATATAAGAGCAGGTACAATAGAAGGCTATAAGCCAGCTGCAAACATATTTTAAGGAGATAAATGAGAAGAGAGAAAGACAACATGCTACAGATTTATAGTTAGCTGTAGCACGGACTCCAAGACACATTGTGTGTATGACAGATGAGACCAGGTATTAATAGTGTAGTATGTAATTATTGTATAAATAAGCTATTAGATTAGCTATAAATAAATTAAAGTAGTAGTTGGCTATACTATTAAAACAAGGTCCTACCGCGCTGTGCCTAGATCGGCTAGAGCCGTTAGCCTCTCATGTGAATACCACGCACCCGCATTCGTAGTCGATCCGTACCTGAGATATCGGATCGATCGCCGCGCGCGTCGACGTCGCAAACAACAGAGACGACGTGCGTACTAGCCCCCCCACCCCCCCCCCCCCCCCCAGTCCTCTTGTTGTACAGAACCCAAGCTGAAGCCGGAATTGAAGAAGCCCCATCATGGCCGATCACGACGCGACCCAAGGCGGCCATCGTTGCTGCATGGCACAAGCTAGCTCCGGATCGCCCGCTGCGGACTGCGGAGGGAAACACATGCATGCGTCGTCGCCATCATCTCGATCGATCGTCACATGCATCGTAGTATTGAGTATATTGACCTACCCCCCCTCATCAGCTCGATCGATCGCTACAGCTGCAGCGTCTCATCATAAAGTCGTGTTGTTTCATCCTTTCGGGCATCGTCCTCCTCGCCACGGACTCCCACCATTTTGCACTCTCTCCATTAATTGCGACCACCCGCTCTCTCCACATACACAGTCCACACACACACACACACACACACACACACACACACACACACACATTTCGGTCTTCACAGTTCACAGCACTAAGCTATGTGCTCATGCCCCCTTTTCTGCTATAAAAAGGTCTCGTCCATGGCCTTCTTCTCCACAGAGCTACTCACAATATCTCATCACACATTTGCGCCCTAGCTAGCTAGTTTGCAATGGAGAGCATCGCCATTGCTGTTGTCCCAGCTGGCTCCCAGGCTGGTTCGTCTTGGCTGATGATGATGAGGAGGATGATGTCCTCCTCCATGGTCGGGCTGCTTGTGAGCTCGCTGGAGAAGAAGAAGAAGAAGAAGACGCCCAAGCCTATGGTGCGTTGCCACGACGCGTCGTGCTGCTGATCTTGGCGATGGCTCTATCCTCCCTGAGCTCCCTTTCTTTCCACACGCCCCCCGGCCGCCTGCTGTAGTGCTGTACCTTCGCCGACCACGGCGTCGATCCTTGGAGCAACTCTCCCTATGGTCCAAGGAGCGCCTCTTCTTGACCTTGCAAGACTTTCGCTTGCAAGGCGCTTCCCTGCATATTGTCCGTGCCATGCTCATCTCTACCACCCATCTCCTCTCTGCCATTTCTGTCTATCCCTCCTGAGCTTTGTGGTTCCGAACGATCGAGTTGTTTTTTTTATGCGTGATGAAGGTGTGTGATCTTGCTTTGATGTAGGTTAATTACGTGTTTGTAATGTGTGCTGAAGGGCTTTCTTCATTGTATCGTTGAAACTTCCAAACTTGGTCTCTTTAATTTCGTTAGTACTTAACAATATGCACGTTCGCTGCTTCACTAATACTCTGTGGGGTTTAAGAATACGATGATAAACTTACCTTCGGCAGAAACAAACGCCTTCAGAGATGAAAACGTCCGTCTTGCATTCATGGTAGCTGCATGCAGTTATTTTGCGAGACAGGACGGATGTAGGACGATTAGCATATAAAGTACACCAAACCATCAAAACCCTCTCATAAAAGCCATCACGATCTTTGTTGGGCATATTTGTATGTGCATGTGTGTACAGCGGCGATCTTAATATGTCCTGTACCATCTGACTGAATCCTGCATAGGTTTCAACCCTCAAAGCAACAAAGTGTCCACCAACCAACAGTGCCATGGCCACAACCATTCGGAATAAACACTGGCCAGGCCATTCAGAACTCACATTAACTACGCTACGATATGTATGCAGTCTACTTTTCAGTTCGCGTCATTCATGATTTGCTGAACCCACATGCAAAGTTATGTTCGTACGACATAAACTAGTTTGACCCGATTGGACCGACATTAAATCAACTCATGCTTTCACCAAATCAAGTGCAACTGTGCAAGAGGTTGATATCTATCTGATGAATATAACCTGAGCCTCAAGTCAAGTGGGCATTCATCGTACAAGAAGTTGGCGTTTGGCAATTCTATGTAGATTACATTCTTTCCATGCCATTACTTCCATTGTTTGATTAATCCCTTTAACTTTATCCATTTCAGCATTGAAGCGTCAAACTGAGAAATACTCTAACTACAGGCCATGACAGAAAATTGGGCAGTGAACAATGAAGTATCAAAATGCTTATATTTGAATAAAATCATGTGAATAAACAGATCTGTGAAACATCATGTCAAGCAACCATGCTAAATTATTAGTGCAACACATATAAAAGGATCTCTTGCTTTGCAACACAAGCTTGAAGAACAAAAGCAGCAGCATAAATTCAAACCAGATGATAGCAGTGACACCGACGAGGGCAGTGGACTGATCTGAGAAGACTCTCAAACAGGAGATTTAGAGTGGTCCTGCAAATGTCCCATTCTCCCTCTGTTCATTCCACTTCTCAACCTGAGACAGGAAAAGCTAATGATGACCAAGGAAAAAAAAACTAAACTGTGGTTCTTTTAACAGCTAAAGTTCCTAGTCATGCACCACAGTAATAACTTGTAAAACACACACACACACACAGAGGGCGAGAGAATGCGGTACAGTTAAGAACTAACAGACAATAAAAAAATGCAGAGAAATGAAATCAAAGGTATAACATTAGTTGAACAATTGAAAGCCAGAGCACATGAAACAGCCAGCTGAAAAATAAGGTTTTAAAGCACATGTGAACCTACATAAATGGGTCATCACATAACAGTCGTTCACAAACTGAGTAAATCTCCACCATATTCTATAGTTCGTTTATCAGATAAATAATTTTGCACAAGCCACTTCGTTCACAAGAATCAGGTCATCTTTATTAAATCCTAATGATTCTACATTGGCAGATATGTTTTTCACTCAAAGATTTAGTTTGCACTTGCTACTCTGTTGGACAGGTTAGCATCACCACTGAAGCATCAAACTGACAGAAAATAATTAAATATCAATATGTATAACCAAATATACCGAAGGGAATGTGCTGTTTTCTACTTCTGACCAGTGATGTGATATGTGGCAAAACAACTAATTTTATGGACTGGTATTTACAAAAACAATAGCTTTTAAAGTCCAGAAGCAAAGTTTCAGATTTAGATTCAGCAATTCAGGTAACACATTAGCCCATTTCGGCAAGTTCTACTGCTATTGAACTGAAAAACAAGATTGCCCCGTTTATATTCAAGATATCAGCTATAATTCTTTTACTGTTAAAATAATAAAATATAATTGTGGTGCCAGTTAAGGACAGCAAAAGCACTCACCCATTCTGCTGGGCAGAGAGACCGGTAGTACTTGGCAAATTTCTCACAGTCAGCAGTTGCTTCCCCTTTGGCATTCACACACCTGATTTCATAAAAAGTTTAACTAGTAAATAAATTTACTGGCATATTTTGTGCATGAAAAGTAATTGCAACTGATATACCTGTGGTACTCAATATAGCGTGTGAAACAATGCCTGGTTTGGTTTGTTGTAGGAAAGCGGAAATCAGCAGGTGCTGTTTTTATCTCAATCTGGTGAATAGAAATAATATGAGCTGCATTGAGTGCAAGGAAATAGGAAAAAAAATACCAAGCTGATGTGAAGGTCTTGGGAATCAATGTATCATGGGATTCAGAATAGAAAAATGAAAAAGGGATCAATCAGAGAATCACTACGATGGTAAAATTTTGAATGAATGGACAAGGATAGGTGCTTTCTTTGACTACTTCACTTGCCATACGCACTGCAAACCCAAGTCACTTACATACACACTGCAAGCCCACGTGTAACATCATTTTGGCAAGAGGTGGGAAACGCTAAGCCGGTTTTCCCCTTGATTGAGGATAAGTTGAGGAATTCCAGCAGATGGTCAGCCCTCAACTCGATAATTGCATGTAGCTTTGCCTAATTCCCCAACAGATAGCTAAAGCAACCACTCTACGTCTCTACCCATCTTTCATACTCTCTCAAGCTGTTTAGCATATCGACTTATATCAGTCACATGGATCATGCAGTACGATTAAGCCATACAGGTTGCCATTCTAAAATGAAACATCCAAAGATATTATTCAGTAATGCCACAATCATTCTTCAGAAACATCACAACCAAAAATGGACCAATCTCCCCCGCCCCCGAAATGAAGTATGAAATGCTAACCATATAACCAACAGAAGAACCTAATCCACAAAATCATCCCTGACGATGGACTAGTAAGCATCACACAACGAAAAAATTGTTGGAAATTCATAGCGTGATCCTTATAGTGATCTAGCCCGCTCTACCCATCAAAATCCCGTAATCTTAGAACGTATAGACACTCAGATCAGACAGAAGGATCGGGAAAATAAGACCAAAACACTGGATCGAGCGGGCACCAGAAACAGCCATCTAACACGGGCAGAAACAGGAGAACCTAAGTGCTCGTCAGAACCCAATACGCCCGCCACGAACTCAGCACCAGGCGCGGACATCGAGGTGCCATCCACACCGAAGAGATCCACACGAAAGCAACCAAACTCTGACCGCGCGATCGACGGATTCAAATCGAACCAAGGCACGTCACGGGCAGAACAGATCAGAACCCCCAACACACGGCATGATCTGATCGGGAGAGAGGGGATCCCTCACCTCGGCCATCTCGTGGCGTCGGAGACTGGGGACCGGAGGCGAGGATGAGGGGGGTTGGAATCGCGGCGTCACGGAGCGGAGGACCGAGCCGAGAGGAAGGGGGAGAACGACGACGACGACGACGTGGTAGAGCGTGGGCCTGGTCAAAGGCGGAGGCTTAATATTCGGATCTGGGCCGTTGATTTTTTTTGAGCCCACAAACCAGACGAGCGATCGTGGCACTGGCCTGTAATGTTGTGGGCCGGAAAAGGCCCAACTCGGTGATACAAATTATAGGCCTGTTCAGTTCAATGCCAAAACCAACCATATCGAAGTTTGGCACCTTCTCATCACAAACCTTTTCAATCCCTACCAACATTTTCACAAAACTATATCAAAATTTAGCAAGGTGTCAAACTAAACACCGCTTTCACATCTTCATTTAACCAAAATTTTAGCTTTATCAGTTTTTGGCTTACCAACAAATGGTAAGTTTTTTTTTAATGAACCGAAGAGGCCCTATCTCGCTCTCTTTATTTTTTCAGAAAAAAAAAGATTGCAAGTACAATTAAGTGGTGGCTACTCTGATGCGGCCAAACATTGCGTTGGGTTCGTGCATCGCATGTCCGAGAAATCAAAATCACGCAGCCGGATCGATCCGAATCTGTTCGACGCAGGCTCGGCAGAAATCCGGCGTGGGCGCTGCAAATCTGCAATGGGAAAGCGACGGCGCAACCTAAATCGCTTGTTTGTTCTGTTCACAGGTGACGGATCCGAATCCTAAGAGCCATTCGGATGTTTGGATTGGACCGTCGTCTTCTTGATAAGCTTTACCCTGTCGATCGATCAGCCTGTGGCCTGCCATCCAATCGCCGAGGCCATCGTCTTTATCTGATTTTTCATTCTAACGAAGTATATATAGACGGTAGTGCCACAGCTGTTATTTGTGAAGTGAGAACTCTTCCCCAAGTCATGATCAACCCTGAATGATTTGTTCCTGTCAAAAGAAGAAAACTCTGAAGAAATTGTGTTATCCTTTTGTAATTGTCGGGGTCAGGGCTTTATCGTGCAGTCAGGAAACGGAAGAAGGATTAGCTCATCTCGGTTGAACTGACCGGTGGTGTGTGTAAGCTGATACTAGATCACACCGTCACAACCACTCAACATCCTTACTTCCGTGACTTAGGTAATCTATGAAAGCGAGACAAACTTAATACTTATCATGTCACTTACCTATCCCTGAAACTAGCTGTCAGGTTCCAGGAAAGCATATACTTTCCTCAAGTCAAAAAGGAGCACATGCTTTCTTCTTTCTTCCACCCGTTCTGTCCGGATCTCCAACCTATGAAGGAACTGCGTGAATGCACCTGGTGTTTAAACAGGTAGCAAAAACATTCAACTCATTTAAAAGTTCAAGGAAATCACCTCAAATCGGTGTGTATCCAGAGCTGTATCCGCGCGAAACAAAGGAAAAACAAAGACTGTTCAACTTTGAAATTCCAGAGTCGACTAAAACAGTTGACATCCTAAAAAAACAGTATTAGAAGAAAACATCAGAACAGGCCATCATCCCTTCACTTGTCAGGCGAGCAGATAAGAGATAGTATTATGCAGTTTAGAGTACTATAGTAAATACAGTAGCCTTACTTTAGGCGGCTAATCCCGTCAAACCTGACCAAACCCGTGCAACGAATTCCTCCGTGCTTTGTATCTGTATTCTTGTCTGTTCATCGCAAATCTGCTCGTTCAAACTTCAAAAGGCCAGCCAGGCAGCAGTAGCCAGTGGACATAAAAGCTCAGGGATTTTTTTAGTGTATCTTTGGATGGATATGGACCGTTGAGGAGATGAGATCTAAGGGTGGAAATTTGTTGCTACTACACCTAGTACAGGGGAGTAGTGTAGTAGAAGGGTAATTTTGGAAAAAAATATTGTGGCATTCTTGTAATTCAACACTAAGAGAGGGTGTAATCCGTAATTGCACACGTGAGGAAAGGCCGGCGGCGGCGACCAGATCGTTATTTTTTTTTATCTTCGACCAGATCGCTACTGATTAATTACCAGCGTTCGTGTGAACAATAATTTCATGGATTAGTTAGCTCCTGGACATTGCTGAACTACAAACAGTGTTGAGATCAACAGTGTGAACAATAATTTCATGGATTAGTTAGCTCCTGGACATTGCTGAACTACAAACAATGTTGAGATCAACAGAGCATTAGTTCCAGGCCGTATCATTGTTTCTTGCCGCGGTTTTTTTCTTCTCTTAATTTCGCATGAAGATGTGCATTTCCCAGTTTCATGAAACAGACAAACAAAAGTTAAAAGTTTACAGTTTTATTCCCAGTCCATCTGAAATGAATGGCCAAAGCTCCTGCCATCCGTTTCGGTAAAAAAAAATGTCAGCGCAAAAGTTAGTGAAATGCATATTAGATTCTGTTTTTAGAAGAGAATTCAGAGCACTGAAATTCAATTTCCATGGGTTTTGAAAATACAGGGCAATGAACTGAAGGGGGAAAAATTATAAGCTAGCAGTGCAATATCCAGTACTGTCAGAATTGTGATCTTATTACATTTAAACTACCTTACCCTTTTATTTCTTCTACGGTTAAATTTGAGGGTACAAAAATCTCAAGGTGTAATCATGAAGAACAAAATATGAGCCACCAATGCAATTTTCAGTACGACTACTTTCATGCACTTCCATGCCTTCTGTAATACTGAAAATCTGAATCACAGAAACTGCAACGAATTCGAAACCAAAGCAAAACACTTCATTTCTTCTCCTCGCAGAGATTCTCAACATCAACTGATCTCCTGGCGACAATGAATTCAGAGATGGCAATATCAACTGTTCGTCTGCTGCAACATAGGAAATATATGATGCAGTTAGACTGTGTAATAATTTTCAGAAAACATTGAATTTAACATCCATCATATGTTAATTATAGAGTAAATTGCACCAACGGTACAACAACTTGGTAGATGGGTGCGATATAGTGCAAGAACTTGAGAATTGAACGTTCGAGTGTAACAACTTGACAAGTGGGTATGTTCTAGTATAAGAACTTGACAATTTAGTATTTTGGTGCATCAACTTAGCTAAGAATATGCTAGGTGAGTTTTTTTCACGATGTCAATATGCCATTACATAGCAATCCTAGGGATATTACCTTATAATATTGAATTTAATCTTTAAGAATTATACTGTACATCCAATTACCTTAAAGAATTTTTGTTTTCTTCATCTTCCCTAATCTTAACCGAAATATAATAATTTCTACATCCAGTTTAATTGACTTTCAGTTATTAGTTATTAGGATAAAAATATAAATATGCTTATGTACACATCCATGCCAGTATATTGTCAAAATAATTACTTAAAAATTGAATATGTATAAATAGTGCTCCAAATAATTAAGTTGTCATATAACTTCTTAACTTATTGTATCAAAATCATACATATCTTGCAAGTCGTTGCATTTAAGCGATCACTTATGAAATTCTTATACTAAATTGTACTTAGCTGCCAAGTTATTACACTAGAACGCTCATTTCTCAAGTTCTTGTACCAAATTGCACCCACCTGCTAAGTTGATGCACCGTGTGTGCAATTTACTCTTAATTATATAAGCCCAAGTTGAAAAACAGTGCATGGGGAACTTACACAGTAATTACAAAATCACAAGAAGTCTCACCTTTTTGTAACTCTAAAGATACATCTAGTTTTCAAGAATATATCAACAAAGGGAAAATCATTATAGAACTTATATCCTTCTGCCTCGCTTCTAAACTCCTTGGTTATCACACTTTCATTGTTTGCAACCTCCTCCAAACTAATGTGATTGTCAGCCATTCCAAATTTCTGCAATTCATATTTCCAAAGTTCAACTGTTAGTCAAACCACAAAATTTAATACAACCAAAATGTACTTATATGGGCAAATGATGAATCTTAAAAATTCCACATTTAGAGTCATCTAGTATACTAAGCTTATACGGCTGTTATGTGTACAGTGATGGCAGAAGTATACAGTAAATCACAGTTTAAGGGCTACATATATGCACCTGATCAGGTAAGTTCAGGGTTAATTTCCTATAACCAATTATACCCATATATAGATTTATAACACAACTACATTCCCAATAATTGAATGATTACACTCCATTGTGAATCTGACAATTTCTGTTTTCATAAATAACATTAAGTTATAAGTTTACTGCTAATAAATCCAATCTAATAGCATATATAGCATCAAATTTAATCTAGCACAGTTCACACCATTCAAACATTATTGTATTTATGTAATCGCAGGAAAGATCAAACACCATTCAAACAATCCTGTATTCCTCTAATCAATAGCAAATACTTCAGACCTGTCTTTCTCTATTCTATGGCAGCTAGCAAATCCTGAAGACCTTAAACTACGACGGTAATTAATCGATTAGGGAAATGGATAATCTTGCTCAAAAAGAAGCCTTCCTAAAGTTTTTTGCTGAGCAGCTGCTGCATTACCTGAATAAAAATAGAGAGGTGGCAATGACTCCGATTCCAAATCAGACGAGGGTCGGCGACTCCATGCAAAACGAGGGCAGGCGGCCGTTGGGGAGATCATCGAGAATCCCGGCGTGGGTCAGCGAGGTGTCCGGCGGGGGAAAGCGAAGGGACCGGCGAGGGGCAATGAAGCGCCAGGGGCCGCGTGGTTTGTCGGCGCCGGACCTTGATGACTAAGGTGGACGGCAGTGGAGGGGGACGACGAGGGCTTTTCGGCGCTCCGGTGGAGGGACGGCGTGGCAGCGGCACCGGCGGAGCGCTCGGGCTCTGGTGGAGGGGCGGCGCGGCGGCGCGCTCGGTTTGGTGGATGAGGGCGATGGAGGCGGCGAACAGAATCAACAGATGGTGGGGGATCGGGAGAAACGATGAGGAATACTGTGCGAACGCGAAATTACCGAAATATCCTTCCACCGAAATAAACATAAAGACTAAAATGCCCATGACAATTAACGGTCAGATATAATCTTACTACACTACTACACGTATAAGTGGGGGCACTGTAAAACGTCCCCGCAGGCAGGAAAGGCAAACAGCTGGGGCCTCCAGAAGGAAGAAATAAACACAGGAGAGGACAAGGAGATGCACAGCCATTAGCAGAGAAAAAAAAGGGAAGGAGTAAGGACAATAATCATAACACGCATAAAATTGTACTACTACACCTAGCTAGCTGCGCGGAGGAACAAGACAAAGGGCAAGTGGTGAAAGGAATCATGGACCAGAAGGATGATCATTGCCATACGGTTGAAAAACGCCGGAGATATATATATCGTCAGATTATCTATCCACCCCCATCCATATTCTTTGGGTTTTTAAATTACACGGCCTCGGAGAAAGAAATTAAGGTCCGAAGTTAAAAAAGAGTGAGAAAAAAAAGGATCGCATTTTCTTTTGTGAGAGCTACGAGGATCCACCCATGCAGGAAAACCCGATCTGATCTGCAGATATATGTTCTGGTGATCAACAGTTCAACACATGGAGCGATCTCATGCACGCCCACACAAATTCGTGTGGTTTTGGGCAAACGCAGCCGTGAGCTTTTTTTTTTTTTTTCCCTGAAGCTCCTGTGTGTCATCTCTCTTTTTCTTTTTTGAGCTAGAATTGGCAAAACTTTTTTAATCCGGTGTCTTTTCATCCGTGTTCCTGTGAAAGCAGCGCCGAAAACTACCCCCGCTTTGCAAAAAGAAAAAAATCCTCTCGCGCTTTGTTTTTTTTTTTTTTTTTTTTGCCTTTGCGACCTCATCGGCATCCGCTTTGCGACCCGGCCGATGAAGAGGGGGACCGGGGAGACGGACGGACGCTGTGAGCCGCGAATCCCACCAGCGCGTGTGGGCCCACCTGCCACGGGTGACGCGCCGGCCGGTCCAGCCTCCACGCGAGCAGCGGGTCGGGCGCGTCCCCTCTCCTTGGCGGTCACGAACACTGAAAAACCCGAATCCGATAAGCGGCCGCTATAAATACCGGGCCAAATCAGGGTTTCCCTTCCCCAGCCGCACCGCACGCTTTCTTGCATAAGAACTCCCCCCCCTCCTCGCTCCCCGCCGCCGCCGCCGTTTTCTTGGAGAGGAGAAATCCGTAGGCTCAGAGGATTTTTGGTAGTCTTGTTTCGTGATATTCGTGAAGAGGGGGGGAGCTAAGGGGGGATTCGTAAGATCAGAATTGGATCACGCGGGGGCGCGCTCGGGATCGGGGGTTCCAAACACAGCTTCTTCGTTGAATTGTAAGTTTCTTCGCTGAAACCCTCTCCGTAGGTTGGTACTTCTGATTTTTTTTTCCTTTACAGATTTTGTGGTTTGTAGGGCGTATTGCTATGTGTTGCTATTGTTTATGATGGGAATTTTGGTTTGTTGGTGTAGATAAGCTTATCTATGTAAAACAAAAGGTCAGTAGGTTACCTCTTTGATCTTGCTTGTGCAGTTAGGCTATCCTGTTTGAGTTGTTCGTGATTTGCAGATTACTGCAAAAGCTATCCTGTAAAATTTCTTGTCGTGGTAAAGATTGTACTAAGAATTTTTGTGTGTTCAGATCCTAAGACATAGAAAAATAGTTTTTTTTCGTCTCCCCATAGGAATATAACAAATGTTCTTTTTCTGTGACACCATGATCGAATTTTGTTTTTTAATGCAAATGTATGGTATTATCATTAACATAGGATGGGATCAGGGACGAAACATATGTGAATATAGGAACATTTGCATATGTCCAACGGAAAAGTCTCAACTCTAAATCTTAATCCAAATGACATCACGATTGTAAATCCGACCAGATCTTAAATCTGAATCCAAGTGAGACTCAATTGTAAATCTAAATATAAGAAAGAATACTGATATATGATTCATTGTAAAGGACGCTGTGGCTTGTAGGAATTGAGTATTACTGGAAAATTAGGAATTGAATCAGATTGTGAGATATTAATTGACCTGTCCTGTTGTGGCATATTTACTCCTAGTTAGAACTTGGAATCTATCATATTGTTATGTAACTGTTTACTCTTTGGTATCGTTTTGATAGCTTCTTATCTCAGTTTTACTTTTTTGCATTAAAGACTCAGATGCTTCGGTCTGGCACATATATCTTCTACAAACATATGCCCTTATTTTCTCTTTGGGCCATATATATTTGTCTGAACCTGATATTTACCTTGTTATATACTTGTGCAGTAAGTGGATGTACTAATGGAGTCAAAGGGTGGCAAAAAGAAGTCTAGCAGTAGTCGTTCCTTGATGTATGAAGCTCCCCTTGGCTACAGCATTGAGGACGTTCGACCTGCCGGAGGCGTGAAGAAGTTCCAGTCTGCTGCTTACTCCAACGTAAGCATCAAATACAGATTTAATTCCCTCCTTTGTATCTTCCGATGTGTTGCTAATCATGTCAATTGTTCCTTTTGTTGCAGTGCGCGAAGAAGCCATCCTGATAGCCCTTTCGGCTTCTCCATCCTAGTAGTTTAGGATTTCTTGCAATTCCATTTTGGCACTTTTCTTCTGACCTATTTCTCTGGCTGCTGCTTCCTGATAATCGACCAGTTCTCTAGTCTTGCTCCCTGCACTCCTCCCTCCTCCATCTCCGGCACAGTGTTCTGACCAACCTGCTCCAATGGGTGTCTTGTCTGCTGCTGACCCTCCCCCAGTCTCAGCAATTGGGTTTGAGGGCTATGAGAAGCGCCTTGAGATCACTTTCTCTGAGGCACCTGTCTTTGCTGACCCTGATGGTCGGGGTTTGCGCGCCCTCTCCAGGGCCCAGATTGACTCTGTTCTGGATCTTGCACGGTGCACCATTGTGTCCGAGCTGTCCAACAAGGACTTTGACTCCTATGTCCTCTCTGAGTCCAGCCTGTTTATCTATTCTGATAAGATTGTGATTAAGACCTGTGGGACTACAAAGCTCCTGCTCACAATTCCAAGGATTCTTGAGCTTGCTGAAGGGCTTTCTATGCCACTTGCTGCTGTGAAGTACTCCCGCGGGATGTTCATCTTCCCCAGTGCACAGCCTGCTCCCCACAGGAGCTTCTCTGAGGAAGTTGCTGTCCTCAACCGCTACTTTGGCCATCTGAAATCTGGTGGTAATGCTTATGTGATTGGAGATCCAGCAAAGCCTGGCCAGAAGTGGCATATCTACTATGCTACTCAGCACCCGGAGCAACCTATGGTTACCCTTGAAATGTGCATGACCGGACTGGACAAGGAGAAAGCTTCAGTCTTTTTCAAGACTTCTGCTGATGGTCACACATCATGTGCTAAGGAAATGACAAAACTCTCGGGCATCTCTGACATTATCCCAGAGATGGAGATCTGTGACTTTGACTTCGAACCCTGCGGCTACTCCATGAATGCAATCCATGGCTCAGCGTTTTCTACCATTCATGTGACCCCTGAGGATGGCTTCAGCTACGCCAGTTATGAGGTCGTGGGCTTCGACGCCTCTACTCTTGCTTATGGCGACCTGGTGAAGAGGGTCCTCAGGTGCTTTGGCCCTTCGGAGTTCTCTGTTGCTGTTACCATCTTTGGTGGGCATGGTCATGCTGGAACATGGGCAAAGGAGCTCAATGCTGATGCTTACAAATGCAACAACATGGTAGAGCAGGAGCTGCCCTGTGGTGGCCTCCTCATCTACCAGAGCTTCGACGCTACTGAAGACGTACCTGTTGCTGTTGGGTCGCCCAAATCTGTTCTGCACTGCTTCGAGGCTGAGAATATGGTGAACCCTGCTCCTGTTAAGGAAGGTAAACTGGGCAATCTTCTCCCCTGGGGAGAGGATGCGTTGGAGGAGAATGATGGAGTGTTTGATGAGTAAGATGGGACTTCTGGTGACGATTCGCTGCTTTGTTTTCATTCCGTGGCATTTTTATCTGTTGAGGTTGTCGTTTGGTTATTCTGTGAAGCAGCCAGCCAGGCTATTAGTATTTTCGCTTGTAAGCATGTGTTCTGATCTTGGGACGTATGCTTGGTCTAAATAATAATGGTGAACTAAAAGCTCTAGGTGGTCAGCTGCGTCTGCCACAATGAGCATGCGTCGGGAGAAATGTTGTCAAAACATATGAATAAGTATTTGCGGGAAATTTCCTTTGCCTTCTGCTAATGTTCCTTCCGATCTCAATTGTTAAATTTTGTTGCTGCTGGTGTCTAAGAAAGTTCTGCTTGGGACACTAGATAGTATGGAGAAAACGATTTTCGAAAGTTTCCACTCTTGTTATCTCAACTCTGTAGAGCTCCCCCTGTTCCATGGGACTGCAAATGCCCATGGCACAGGTATATCTTAAGGTAGTACATTAATGAAAAGTCTGGGAGAATAGCATGTGCAAAATGCTTACTAGCTCTTATAAGTTAAAAATAGCTGGAAGAACTGCATTCTATAGCTTTCCCCGTGTTCATGGTTATCTTCTGCAAGATATGGCTGGACGAAGTATATGCCGCATGCTTGGCTCTTGCCGCCCCATTCGCCTTGGCATGGACCATTGACTTCGATTTTTTTTTTGGACATGTTTATGTATTTGCTTATTGTCCTCTACTTTACATGTAACAGTAATTTAAAGGAGTGCTGCCTGATCTGATAATTGCGTTTGGAATCCTTTAATGAGCTTGATCTTGTCGCGCTTGGAAAGATGATGCAGCGACCTGTTCGGTACCCTATGCTTATCTTCTGACATCCATATCTGTATTATTGTTTATGAAGTTGTACGCTTTGTACCCAATTATCCATGAATATATATATTTTTTCTTTCTGGAAACTGCATGTTGCTGAATTGGTTTATACTGGACGATCGCGACCTCCTCCATTATTCGGGTGCTTAGATTGGTTCGGCTTCGTTGACACGCGCGAACGAAAAAGAAAGATATTAGATAGATAGATAGATAGATTACGCGGTCTCGATCACGGACTCGTGAGGGCAATCGCTTCTCCCCTACCTTGCCGACCTGTTGTCCTTGGAACACTTCCGAGTTCTGACGAGCTGATTCCTCCGATGGTGGCGCTTCTGTCGCTGTTCCGTTCTCGCTCCAACGCTGTTGCTTGATTCATCAGTTGCAACTTGGCAAGGAACTGGAAGGGATCTGTGCTGAGGAGGTGTGATCTCACATTGTCGTCCAAAGCTTGGATGCGTTGCTTGGCCGCCATGATATGCTCATATGCCGCGTCTAGAAGGCGATCAGGTAGGCAGGCAGCTAGCTGCTCAAAAGAACGTGCCACATCTCCGGGCGGGAATATGCTCCTGGTCTGTCGCCCATATGATATGTGAGCATCAAAGCATCTCCCATTCCCAGCCACAGAGAGCGGATCGTTTGTTCCGAGCGTATCAATTCCTCCCTCCTCCTTGGCCCGCGCACTGCACGTAGGAGTAGGACGTAGCCTAGATTGTTGTAGCAGGTCGATTGACCGAACCTGCCACGCAGTGATTCGATCACACGGGCACACGGTTGGCCTGCACTGGGCTACCGATCGATCGGACGCGAGATGGAAACGAGATTCGCCGCCAGAGCACGAGAGGGAATCGATCTCCCTTACACGTCGGCCGGCAAGTGGAGTGGTTGATGGCTCTAGACGCCGCGGGAAAGGACAAAGGCGACCGACGGAATCCGCCGCCCGGTCGCTGCGACACACCCCGTGCCGCGTGCATGTGCCGCGCGCCGAACGAATTAATAAGCTTCCGTTCCGTTCGGCCGGTACGCGCCCGGAAGCTGGCAGTTGGGCACCCGCGGGGGCGAAACGAGCGGCCCACGCCGTTTTTTCACGGATTTTCAGCCCAAACTGCTGCTGCGCGACTGCGATTTGGGTCCGAGATTGGCCCGGCTCGTGGAGTTATTACGGGACAATCGCTTCCTCAACGGTCTTCCTGGTCATTCGTGTGCCAGAAAGGGCATGTGACTATCTGAGGACATGACACGTACAGCGTTTTCTTTTTCATTTTTCTTTGCAGGTTCTGACGAGAACGAACAGACGCATTTACTAATCTCATACGTGTACTCCCAGTCCGAGAGATTTGGTGATAAGAGCTTAACTTGGGCTGTGATCAGGGTAACATTTTTTAGCGTGTCACATATTATATATGGACATATTTAAAGTATTAAATATAGTCTAATAACAAAATAAATTACATAATTCTCTTATAAAATATGAAACAAATTTATTAAGGCTAATTAATCCATCATAAATTTATTAAGGCTAATTAATCTATTATTAGAAAAAGTTTACTGTAGCACCACATTGTCAAATCATATATCACTTAGGCTTAAAAAGATTCATCTCACAAAGTAGTCGCATTCTGTATAATTAATTATTTTTTAGTCTATATTTAATATTTCATGCAGATGAAACGTTCGATGTGACGGGATGAAAAATTTTAGGGTGACATGTAAATAAGGCCTTAGTTACAGATAAAACGCATCTCGCGCCATCTGCATTATACTCCTTTCGCTAAATCATTTAGAATTTAGATCACTTAATTTTCACTCTCCTTTCGCTAAATCATGACCATCCAGACCAGAGCATGGAGAAAAAAAAAACCAAGCTGCTACTACAAACAGATCATCATCAACAACAACGAACAAATCGAATATCGATCATTCTCAACATACATTGTGTCGATCCCTTCTATGCATGTATGTATCGATCGTGCGTGCACGCATCATCAGCCGTTGACGCGGGAGCACGTCCGGCGGACCTCGCCGTCGGCGCCGGTCCTGACGCCGAGGCTGGTGAGCCTGGCGAACGAGGCCGCCCAGCTGGCGAAGAAGCTCCCCTCGCTCCGCGCGAACGCCTCCACCGTGGCCCGCGTCGTGGCGTTCTGCACCAGCACGGCGTCCGTGCGCAGCAGCCCGCGCCCGGCGAGCAGGTTGGCGAAGTAGGCGTTGTCGAACCGCGACGCCGACCCCTCGTCGCAGTCCACCGCCGCCGTCGACGACACCGTGTTGTTCACCGCCGAGCACGCCCTGATCAGCCCCCCGGCGTAGTCCGCGTTCATCGCCGCGTCCGCGGGCACCGTGCTCCCGTTCGCGTCCACCCGGAACCGCTCCCCGAACGTCGTGCAGTGCGCCGACCCGATGGTGTGCCCCCCTGCGCGCCAGTGCGCCACGCCGGCGATCGACAGCCGTGTGCTCACGGTGAGACCAGGTGAAAAGTGAAAATCGCAGTTGATCCTCCAGCATTCAAGAGCGTGTGTGTGTGTACCTGAGAGGGTGACGAGGTCGTCCAGGGTGAGCCCTTTGGCGGAGAAGCTCCTCGCCATGGCGTCGACGGAGAAGCCGGTGTCGATGATGTTCGCCCTGACGTTGGAGGCCAGCGAGACCAGGCCGTCGAGCCTCCCGAGAGAGACTGGCACCAACGGTCCTCCGGTCTGGTTTGCAGCAGGTGAATGCATGTTAGTTCATGAATGTCACTCATTTTACATTGGTAGTTTATCTGCTTTGTAAACCAATCTGCCCTAACATGCCAATAGGATTTTGTGCCAAGACTAAAAATTGAGCTTTTAAGTGGCACAGAAACCGGAGCAAGCAATTAACACAAGATTAATTAATTATTAATTAATATAAAATTGAAAAAGGGTTCATTTGAATTTTTAAAGAAACTTTTATATAAAAAGTTTTTGCAAAAAAAAAACACGGTTTAGCAGTTTGGGAAGCATATGCTAATGGAAAACGAGGGTGTTGAAGTTTAGAGAAACATTTCCGTAGAAACAACCATATTATAAGTCTTGCTGTATTTCTTTTTTGTTACCAAGTCTATGCCGAATCAACATCTATATGATGTGGGTGAAATGGTGAAGGTGAATGTGAGTGTGAATGTTACTGCAAACTCTGTATTTCTAGATACAGAGGAATGTAGTTTCAAAGCATATCTGTTCTTAAGTTTCACTATTCCAGTTGTTTTTTTTATAAAAAAACCGAAGCCAGCAAAGCTGGTGTTATATTAAGCAGGGGAGAAAAAAAGTATTTACAAGATCACCAAAACAGTGAAAGAGAGAAAGAGAGAGGAAAGAAGAAGCTACTAAACAATGAAAAACTATTCCAGTTGTGCCCCCCTTCATTAGCTCATTTCATCAATCCCCTTAGGACCATTAATCATGTCCCCCACAGAATTACGCACATAAAATATTGTGGTCCAACGACATAAGATGACAATCATGAAACTAATGGAAACGGAATTGTGTTCACTTAGTTAAGTTCATGATGGTCTACCTGTCTGATTTTATTTGGGTGTAACCATAGTAGTTCTAATTATTTTCCAAGGTATAGTCGTGTAACGTATGCATGGACCAGGAGCACTCAATTCATTGGATGATTAAAGATCTAACTGTTGCAGCATTAATGTGGATTATTTCTGATGTCCTATGCTTATGAAGAGTACTACATCTGCTTAACTATATTTAGTAGCAACATTTCTAGGAAAATTCATCTCAGGCAACAATTTAAATATTTGGCACATTTACCTTTGAGTGGATTGTAGCAACTAGAAAAGAGAAATCACATAGTGCCATCATACTTACAAATGTAACAGCATCTCTTGCGGCAAGGACTAAAATGTCGCTGCAGGAAACAGTTACAGGGCACACGGCTTCAAGCAGCCTCTTGGCAGCATCTATGACATTGAACCCACCAAGTGAGAGGTTTGCAGGATCGGTCCTCTCCGTGCCGCTACCTTCAATCATCACTGATGCATCACATCCCTGAGACCAAGAAAAAATGTACTCTAAGAATGACTTTCTCACTTTCTGTTATTGTGCAAGCGTGGATGTTTTCACAATTCTTAAACCCGATGAGATGCAAATGCAAGACAAATACAATTGTTCCCATAATTGTGGCAGTGACAATGTGCAAGCTGTGGAAAACTACATTATGTTTGGTTATACCAAGCGTGCATAATGGATTAGGGTCTTAATTTTAGCCACCACATAGCTTAGTGATCAATAACTATTCTAGACTGGACCATTCAATCGACAAGATATACATTATATTCGAATAATGCCAGATTATTAGCCGATGCAATTAGTGCCACACATGTCATAACTATTCTGGGGAAAACTAGGGTGAGAAAAGGAATATCCTAAACTAACTAGTAGAATGAGCATTTGATTAGTTCTTCAGGTCTTCAGCATTTCAAACTAAGAAAACGGATGAAAATAACTATTATTCAGCTGCTAGTAAATTGGGCCGAAGGAACTATATATCATCATAAAATTGAACAAAAACACATTACTGCATTATATTTCCACCCCACCATTGTTATTTCTGAGAATATGAAAAACTGAGACGGCAAATGGCAATACCCCAATCCAGTGTGATGGAACAGGAATTGTTGATGGCTAGATCTACACACTTGGATGTGATTCATATAACCATCTACATTGCAGACAGCCATTTCACCATTTGCTTGCATGCACAAGAACTTCCATTGTTGCAAATTGCAGCCAATGTGACGCATTTGACAAATGCAAGCAGTATACTACTAGATTCTGAGATAAACAGTCATGGCATCAGTAGTTTCTTACCTCAACAAAGCAGTCATGGAAGAGCATCCTGAGAAGCTTGCCGGGGATGGTGGAATCCAATGTGGAGGCCGACCTGACGACATCCCTCACCGCCAGCTCCACGCTCGGGCAGGACTGCGCGTAGAAATTTGGCGAGAGCTGGACCGGCGTGGACGTCGACGGCGAGGAGGAGTTCGTCGTGGAATTCGTTGGAGCCGGAGGAGGAGAAGGAGATGGTTTCGGTGCCGCTGCCGGCGGCGGTGGCGGTGGCGTCCGAGGAGGAAGAGGAGGAGACGGTCTCGGAGCCGGTGGCGAGGACGGTGGAGGAGACGGCTTTGTGGTCGGCGTCGCCGCAGGAGGAGGAGAAGATGGCTTCGGCGCGGGTGGAGACGACGGCGTTGTGGACGGCGACGGCGCAGGAGGGGAAGGTGGCTTCGGCGCGGGTGGAGACGACGGCTTTGTTGGCGCCGGCGACGTCGCCGGTGGCGGCTGTGGAGGCCTCGGGGCTGGCGCCGCGGGTGTCCGTGGAGAGGACGACGAGTTCGTCGCCGGTGGGGATGCCGCCTTTGCCGGCGTTGCTGGCGTCGGCGGCGTCCGTTGAGAAGGCGCCCTCGCAGCCGGCGTTGCTGAGCTAGCAGCTGGCGCCGGAGACGAAGACGGCGGCTGCGACGACGAGCCGGAGCCTGCGGCGACGGCCACTGCCAGGACAGAGAAAAACAGCGCCGAGCAAAGAACACCAATGCACTCCCGCCGCCGCTGCCGCCTCATCTGATCCATCTTGCAGCCGAGGAGAACGGGATGCTCATGAGCTAGCCAGCCCAGCTGAGCTCGCTCACGAGCGCACAATCACTCACAGTCTCACACACCACTACACCACCACCACTATGTGCAAGAACAGCTAGCAGCTGATGAACATGCAGAAATAGTTTCGGTGGTGGACGCAGAGAGCGATCGATCGAGTTGGCGTAGAGAATCTACTAGTCGCGTACATGTATCTCTCGCGCGCCGGCATTAACGACGGTGGACGCACCGGCAGCAGCAACCACTATAGCGAATGCGCCGATGCGATCCATTATAAATCGGGGGACGCACAACCGACGCCGCGCTACACTAGACGGACTCATGTACGAGCATACGACGACATACCGGACGGTCGGCTGGGACAATCTATAGTAGGAGTACGTACTATGGATTTCGAACAGCGGTACACGTACGATTCTCCGGCAGCATGCGATCGAGAAAAAGTTTCGTGTCAACACGGCGAGGCCGGTTAATTCCCCGGCCGTACCAGCTGGTCCAGGAGACCCGTGTCTCGCGTGTACTTGTGCTTTACCTTAGCTCGGGCTCCCCCGTTAGAGCAAGGATAATAATGGGCTATAAGGCTCTCATACAAGAGCTAGCTTCACACAACTTTCAAGAAACATACATCAAATTTATAGAGTGAGAAAGAGAGAATGGAAAAAATAAAGTTAACATTATAGCTAACTTATTATACAAGTTAACTCTAAGATTGACTTATAGTAAGCAGCGCGCTTTACTATTAAACTTGCTCTTAATGGCGGCTATCTAGCTGGTAAAGCTGGCATCCCGGATGCACGCATGTTTCGTGTTTTTTTTTCTTTTGAAAAAGGATAAACATGCATGGCCGGCTCTTGTTCAGGCGCGAGCTAGTAGCATGCGCATGTGGATGCGTAAGGTGTATTGATGGCGAGGGAGTGAATCGGGTCGGGGTTGGGTTGGGTGCCTGGTGCGCCGCAGTAAATTCGGGGAGAGAGAGCCACGCCATTGATGGCGGCATTTACTCCGGCGACGCGGTTGGTAATGGATGGATGGGCGACGACTCGGCGCTGGGCGGGCGGGTTTGCAGATTTGCAGCTTCCTGATCAGAGTTGAGGCCGCGGGCGCCACCTGTGGCTGCACGCGCCGGCGGCGGAGGTGGAGGAGGAAGGCTGGAAGGGGGTGTAGTTCAGCCGAGAAGTTCAGCTAAAGCTCGCGCACCGACTTCTCCATTTCGGCATTTCGCGATTCCACGGTCAGAAGCGGGAAGGATTGGTAGGCGGGTGAGTGAGTGATTGTTTAGTTATCATTTTTTTCTTTAACTAGTTAAGTGCCTGTGCGTTGCAACGGGAAAAAAACGCATCAATTTCAAATTACAGAGTAAAATTGTGCTGAATAGTTATTGAATGTAAGCTTATCATAATCAGACCGATAAAATTATGTTAAATAATTATTGAGTGTTTCTTAAAAAAGTAGTAATATAATAAAATCCTAATTCAGTCCGGGGATATACGTATTCAGCTGTATTTACAGTTTTACACTCATGACATCAAATCAAGTAACTAATCAACTAATAGCACATTTGTTTGGCAACAAGTATATACAGATGACATTCTGTATTTCGTAACATAGCAAGTGAATGCAAGAGAAGTAATTTTGCGAGTAGAAGGGACTAAACCAAACAATACATGTATTTTTTAAAATGCCTCTATAAAATATCTCTACACTATAAAACTCCTGATCTAAGAGGCAGTTTGCAAAATGCCTCTACAAAAGTGTCTTTATATAAGGTTTTTTTTGTAGTGACAGCATAGGATCACACGTCCGCAATTCAAACCCAGAACAATACCATAATGTTCACACTGCTAGAACATCATAGTGTCAACGATTGATTGAGAACACACACAAGTATCTTTTGTCATGAGAAACATATTCTCTATGCCTGCAATATATTCAATATAAAAATCTACTGAACCACAACACATAAAGCATCAATATGTCCTCATGAATCACACACCACAGGTGCACCACAAGCTAGCTTGTTTGGTCATATTCATAGCAGGTGATGTTACAATGGGAGAGGAATTGAGGAAGGTTACTTGGTTTGGTTTGCCTGGATAAGGGGAAAATAGGTCAGTCCTTATTTACCAGTATATAGTAATAGTTATATATATGTATGTCATACCATTCCCGTATAACTATTTTCTCTATACGATAATACTATGTGTTTGCTTCTAATATACTTAAGCATAACATGTAATTTGTGCAAAGATGAAAACATCAGCCACAAGCAAAATCTTTTAAAAAAAAAGAAGGGAAAATAGTTGCATAAAAGAGAAGCTTTGAGATCTGGATCAAGAAAGGACATTGGCCCATGAACTATTTCTCAAAAGGACAAATCCGCTTTCTTAAAAGTATTATTTCTTAAATTTCTCCACAAGTTCTTCAACAACAAAGACATTTCATGGGTCACGTATAGAAAATACAGACCTAAAAACAAATGATAGAGCCTCTTCTTTATAAGAGAGAAGAGGGGGAACTTTTTGGTGGATATTTTAGAACAGTCGCTATGGTTCAAGGAAATAGCTAATCCTCAAGTGGGTAATGGACAATCAATTCTATGCTTGGATGATACATAAGCCAAAAAAATGAATTGGATTGCATATGTGCACAATGGTAGCCATATATAGTATTATCAGGGCTCCTGGACCCACTAAATTGATACTTTGCTGAAAAAAGAGAACAAATCAATCCAAAAGTCAGCTCTAAACAAATGACATCGATCTGTTGATGTAGCATAAGCAGTGCAATTAAAAGCCATGGAATATGAGTAAACAGATGGAGGGTTTCGTACAGAAAACCCCAATTTCTGATAGTCTAACGTTAACTAAATTCAGGGAACCTTATAAAGCTTTCTACAAAATGCAGGCTACACAGGAAATGCTATCTACTTATACATCAAAAGAAATTTAGCTTTGTTATTCTGAAAACAGATTTGTAGGCAGTCCTAGCAGCCTATGTACTCCTATTTGTAAGTTAAATATTTATTAACTTACTGTTAAAAAAAACATGTTCAGCATCCTTGAGTCTAGTTTGCATATATCTATATCAACACTGGCTACTTTAATCCCATGTAAACATATGAATATGACAGGCAACAGGATAAAGTTTAAGAGAAAAATATATAGAGCAAAAGGTTTGTAGTTGCAGCCTCAATCCCATATAAATGTTTAAAAGCTTGACAGCCTGATGCAAGATTTTTTTCGTTTTCTACCGCTGGTTGTACGATTTTGGGTAGCAACCGATTAGCTGGGCTGGATAGCTGCAGCCAAAAACGCCACAACAATCAGAACAGATCAGCCTCAATATGCTGTGACTTGAGACTTTAATGCATTAAGAAAAATAAAGCTGCACTTAATCAGAAGTTATGTGCAATTAATCTGAAGATAGCATTATATAGTTTAGAAAGGATATGGCATCGAGGTGGGGAACAAAAGCGTGAAAATCCCCAACGATAGAGCAGAACTGGACAGTGAAGCATGACCTGGTCATCGAACATCAGTTTCTTACGCCAGCAAGATCTCAACTAAATTGCAAGCTCAATAAACAAAAGAATCTCCTCTCTTGTTCTTTACACTATACAAAGACCATTTCATTTGATCTAACCCATCCATCCTGCCCAAGTTTTTTCAAGTCTAAGCCATTGGTTATGTATATGTATGTTTCTGGTGATAACCTAAATTAGTTACAGATTATACCTTCAGCCAACATTTAGCTTGTACAAGTCCAACTCAAGATCAACTTCTATATTGAGGCATAAATAAGGAACTCTCAATTTATTGAGGATGAATTATGAATACACTGAGAGGTCTTTCTTGAAAGGAAGATTACTATGATCTCATTAACAACAACATTAGTAGTGCAGCATACACATTTTTTTCTCAAGATTACTATGAAATAAATATCAGTTATCAATGTTGATAATTCAAAACCACAAACAAAACTATATACTTATTATGCCGTAAGGCTGCCCTATCAGGTCACTTCTTGCTATTTTTTGGGTTTAAAAAAAAATCATCAAACGCAGAAGTATTTAATACAATAATGACCTTTTCAATGTCAGAGCTTCGAGGCAACCTTCTGCCACGGCGGGGTGATCGGCTGCTGCTTGGCGCGGGGTTGCGTCGTAAGGGGCCAGCTCCCACGATCTGGCAGCAACTGCTGAGGTCGAGGAGGGAGGGGAGGCAGTGCGGGGTCACGTTGTCGGGGGCTGGCTGCCGCGATTAATACAAAGATCCATGCTCACTTCAAATATGAATAAATAGAACTGTCAGTTTAGCATAACGATTCACAGAAAAGGGCATCCACCACAATCTTTAATTTTGCATGTGGAGATATATATTCGAATGTGGCAACCCTATGGCCAGAGAATGCATAATATAAGCAGATCGGCACAAGTATTACCTTGTTGATGATAACCTCTGTTTGACTTTCCGACAATCAGATCACAATAAGGCAATATGAGGACACCACCTAAGATGTATCGGATATCAGAATGATGTTTTTTTTTTGAGATGTACCCAAGCAGTCTAACCCCTGCAATAGATTGAAAAACATACAGAGTGAGATTGTTTCTTTGCAAGACACATTTTTACCATCATATATTTTAATTCCATGATATAGCATAAGGACAGAAATGATTAACAGTTGTCTGTAGCTAAACTCTGAAATGTCTTTCTTTTTGATCCCTAGTGAGCAGAAAAGAGCAAGCAAGTGTACGTCCAAAAAATATAAGTACATTTTAATGATAAAACTGTTCCCAAAAAACAAGGAAATAGGAATCAGGATGATGCAGAGAAGATACATTTTATTCAGTGCCCCTGATCAACAAAGATTCACTGGCCAGGCCATAACCAATGTTGCACTTTCAACCGGGCTAATTTATTCAGGTGCAAACTACAAAGGTTTGATGTTTTGAAAGGAATTAGTAGCACTTGCTGACCGACAACATGCATGTGTGATACAGTTACATGAAAAGAACGGCAACGAGAGCCTGATAGATGCCATCCTGGAGGGCATCTATTGAAACTGAAAAACCAAAACCTTTTCAAGCTTCACCCTAAAAAAATCATTAGTCTACATAAACAAAGTCAGATCGTGAACAAAGCTTTTTAAGCTACATCCGCAATGGTGATAGTACATAATATAAGACATACATTTATAAAGGCAAAATTTGCTATGGGACATAAAAAACGTGCAATTTTCCTTGGAAGCAGATTACTAAAGATAAGTTCACTCACCAGCCCACCAACCATCACAATCAAGCTCCCCAATTTCTGCCTAGGTAGCATG